AAGCATATCTTAAACGTTGTCTTTCTGCATATGCATTGCTATGCTTGTCTTTTAAATATGAATGAAAAAGTTACCATTTGTAGTTTTCCTTGAAGACTTAAAATTTATCCACACCTGTTTGTTTTTTATTTTACATATTTTTTTCTTAGAAGAATAATACTCTTTAAACAAAAGTTACTTTTGCCTTGATGAAGTTATTTAATGAGGTTGGAACATTGAACCTTCATTATTGAATAACTTCCTAGATTTGTTTGCTGCTTAAAGCAAAATAAGTTTTAAACTGTAAGACTTTAAGGAAGTATATATATTTCTGTAAGATTAATAACAGATGGCAGTCAACTTTTGAGATAAGTTTTTTACTATGTCATGTATAATACTAAGAAAATAGGAGAAATTTAGGATGGATAGGTTACAAGGATAGAATAAAACTAAAGCTCTTTGAAAAAGAGGTTGTTTAGCAGGTATACTGTACTGAATTGAATCTAGGAACTTTCCAGATTCTTTGAAAGGATAGAGAAATGAAAACTTCTTCCAGTGTTTGCAAACGTAGAATACATGTAGAATAAGCCATAGATCAGTGTGATCATCCTGGGTTGTCTCTTTCAGACACATTTTTATACGTGGAAATACTTTTTGCATAACAGCCCTTTTGGGGTTAACTTTAACGAATAATTTAGGCTCATGCTCTTCTTTTTCAGCCCTGATGCTCTGATGATGTCAGGGGCAGAGCAGAACCCACAGGAGGGAGGCAGGGTTGACACAGTGTTCCAGCAGGAGGCTAGGTTGGAACACTGCATCAGGTAAGAGTAAAACTACACCCCTGCCTCCGGAAAAATACAGTCTTAAAGACTAACATTTGTGTGTGGGCAGGAAGCTCTTTGTTGGAGTACTTACATGGAGCAGAGTTGAAGGAAGTATAGCTTATTTGCAGACTGAATGCTTGTCTACAGACTTTGGTTTCTAGAATATAAGAAAGAAGCAATGTGTAATTTTGCTAATTTATCCCAGAAATAGTTTTTGGATGTTCTAGGACAGTAATTTTTCAGACTTTTAAATCATTTTTTGTTTGCTTGGTTGTTTTTGTTGTTTTTTGTTTCAATGTGGAACAATCTTTTAAATCTTAAAACCCCTTAAACATTCATAAAAATTGTGGACCCCAAGAGCCTTTGTTTACATGGTTATCTCTATCAATAGTTACATTACTAGAAATTAAAACCGATTAATTTGTATGTTTTTACTTTATGTAATAAAGTAAATCTATTACATATTGGCATAAATATTTTTAGGAAAATAACTGTATTCTCCCAAGATTAAAGAAAAAAATATAAAAGGGGTAATCTTATTTTATATTTTTGCAAATTTCTTTTACATCTGGCTTAATAGAAGACAGCTAAATTGTCATATTTGCTTCTACATTGTCTGTTGTTTATGTTGTTTTCTTTGAGGTATATCAGGGGTCTAAAAACTAAGGCCTATGGGATAGATCCAGCCTACTGCCCATTTTGATTAGCCTATAAGCTAAGAATTTTTTTTTAACTGTGGAAAAGAGTAATATTTATTACACATGGAAAATTATATGAAATTCAGATTTCAGTGTCTGTAAAAATTGTTTTCAAACACAGCCATGCTCATCATTTATGAATTGTCTAGGACTGCCTTTGCACCAAAATGGTGGAGTTGGATTGTTGCAACAGGTACCTTATAGCCATAAAAGCTAAATAGTTACTATCCGGCCTTAAATAGAAAAAAGTTTCCAAATAAAGCCTAGCCCACACAATAAAAGGAAGGACTATTTCGTGGCATTGTCAGATAAAGTAGATATTCTTACGTACTATATCAAAGCACAAAGAAACTTTGTTAAAGCTTAGTTGCAGTGTGGAAGCTGAAGCCACTTAAGGCATTTTTGTACAGTTACTTGGTTTTATGCCATAATGCATTGGGTATTTGTAAAGTATTAGTTCATTGAGTTATACACATCTTTCAGATGTTGATGTATTTTATTATAAAATATTTAAGTATATTTGCTGATTTCATAACCTATCTTATCAAAGAAGCCTTTAAGTGTTGGATATACATTTTCAAAAATTTTGAGTTTTACCTTGAAAGCTGGAGCATTGTCATTAGTAAACATTAGAAACAAATACTGAAAATGATTCTTTCCTTGAAACGACAAGCTTACTTTGTTTTTGAGGAAAATGCCCGCTCAGTACCCAAGTCTGAATTATTATAATCAGCTGAAAGATTATAATTATTATAATCTTTCAGGAAAAATGGTATTCCATGAAAAAGTGACTTGTTCAGCTTACAACTGAATCACACAAGTACTTTTCTGTGAGACAACCATTGTACTTTCTTTTTTTTTTTTGAGACGGAGTTTTGCTCTTGTTACCCAGGCTGGAGTGCAATGGCGCAATCTCGGCTCACTGCAACCTCTGCCCCCTGGGTTCAGGCAATTCTCCTGCCTCAGCCTCCTGAGTAGCTGGGATTACAGGCACGCGCCACCGTGCCCAGCTAACTTTTTGTAATTTTTAGTAGAGACGGGGTTTCACCATGTAGACCAGGATGGTCTCGATCTGTTGACCTCGTGATCCACCCGTCTCGGCCTCCCAAAGTGCTGGGATTACAGGCTTGTACTTTCTTATACAGCAGAAATGCTGTGTATATAATTTCCCATTTTGACATATAGAGGAAGATGTGTTTTTAGGGCTGAGATTTAATAAAATTAATTTTTACTGCTTCATGAACATTCATCAGTGAGATCAGCTTGCATGTTTATTTTCATTTATTTATATTTAATACTTATGTAAGTGGGGGGGCAGGGGATACAATAACTAAGTGAGGAGTATAATAACTATATTGTGTTGCCACTGTATTTAGTGCAGATGTCAACACGGGAAAAGCATTATTACAAGAATAATTTTGACTTTTCAGATCTCTAAAATAAAGTCTTGGGGACTCTCAGGGAGGAGTCTGTGGTCCACAGTTTGAGGATTACAACTCTTGGAAAATAACTGTATTGGAATAGTTATAAAGTACAATTATTTGGGTGACTAGCAATTCATTTCTTAGCTTCAAGTGGCTAGACCCACTGCAGCTTTGTACCAGTGAACCCGAAATATTCCCGGAATCTGTCCCAAATTGTAACTGCCCTGAGGTGGGGGTGTGGTACAGCCTGGCCCTAAATTTATCAGTAGAAAAAATCATAAGAACCGTGAACTTGAAAGCCCAATCAGGACCTCCAGATTGCCCTACGATTGATGTTTAAAAATAAAGTAATAGAGTCGTGCTTTAAATAAGTTCTTTTGAGAATTAGTCATCCTGTAGCTAATACTGTTTTAATTCTGAGTATTTTTATTTTCTTCCACATTCACCTGCTTTGGGGAATCCCTTAAAGATACTTCTTTATTATTCTTCTAGTAGTCTTTCAGTAAATTGTCAAATTTATAGCTACTGTCCTCCTTTCCCCTTGTTATCATTGGGGATAAAGGGTCATAATTTTTTCCCCCACTGAAAACTATCCAGTGAGGAATTTGCTACTACTGTCTATACTAATAATTTTTTTGTAAGTTCTTCTCTAAGAACTTTGAGTTGAGGTCTTCATAGGATAATAGCTGAAGGCTTCCTACCTCTATACTACCCGGATGCTTCTATTGAGAAGATATAGGACTTAAGAAAGAAATAATTTCTGATCTTAGAAAACAAAAATTAGATGACAATTCTGTACTGCAGACTAGAACTTGCAATTTGGTATAATTATAAAAGTATAACATCTGGGTAAGTAAAAAGGAAATATTTTGAGGGAGGCATGTAACAGAATAAGCAGAAGGGACATTTTGAGAACTTTTTCAACTATCAGTACTTAATTGTGGTTCTAGGAAAATGGCAGTAAAGGAGAATGAATTTAAATAAAAAAGAATACACAAGGCAGCTTATTCAGTAAATATATGAGTGCTCCTATGTATTAAGTCCTATGTTAGGCACTAAAACTTAAAGGGTTTACTAATGAATAGCTGAAAAGTTGAAAGCTATACATTGCTTGGTTATATGGCTGAGTATTTAGAAATCTTAAGTATAGTGCTAACTAACAATTAATGGCAGCTTTCTCATGGAGAAACTCAGGTGCTGTTTTATTCAACTTGCCCATGATCAGACAGTGATATTGGAATGGTGTAACTATGCTTAAAAGTAGAATACGATACCTCAAAATACTTCAAAAACCATTTTGAAATAGTATCATGGATTAGTAACTATCTCAGTTAAGTCTGTAAGTGCCAGTGAGGTTAATGATAAAAGTTAAGTTTCATACGGGCTTGTCGACTTTGCTTTTTTCCTGTGGCTGGGGACTCTCCTTTTGCTGTGTGCCTTGCAAGTATGTGCTGCTTTTTGTTAACAAGGGAGATTTGTAGAGAAAATGTGAGTGAATTAGTATAAATCAGCATATTCCAGGAGAATACTGAGGGATTCTATTTGATGAAAAAGATGTGTGTCTGGAAAAAAAAAATGATTTAAACAAAGCTTATTTACTTTGAGACATCACAAGTCTTGATATACAAATATGCGTACGGATGCTCCAGCAGAGAATTAATGTTTCCCCAAACTTATTTGAGCAGAAAACCTAATTTTTCAAAGCCACCTTACTGATTAGTATTCCATGGAGTAGCATGCACTTTGGAAACTGTTATAAATCTATTTCTCTTATCAGAAATCTTTAAAGCATGTGACCTATTACATTATTACCATGTATAACCTTTTTCTATTTATTTCTAAATAAAATAGATTTCATTTTCATGAAAAGCTATGGTTTTGGGTAGACCATAAGTAGCAGGAATAAGTAGTGTCTGATTGTTAAAATGCTGACTCTGAGAACATAAGGAAAGGAGATTTAGATTATATATTACTACTTGTGAAAGTCATCTTTTAGCTTTTTTAAATAAGTAAATATGCCTAAAATTAACTACAGTTTATTCTTTATAGAGAATTTCTCTATTTTTAAATTGCAGATGTTGGGGATCAGCCAGGTGAGGTAGGTTATTCAGGCTCTCCTGCTGAAGCTCCTCCAAGCAAGTCACCATCGATGCCGTCACTAAACCAGACTGGCCTGAGCTGAATCAGAGCAGTGAGGTTAGCAAAGCTTTCCTTTTCTTTCATTGAAAGTAACTCTTTCCAAAGAGGGTGATTTCAATCTATATCTGCATGCATAATTGAGAGAAGACCATATCAATTATACTATGACAAATGTTAGTAATTATGTGACTTTTTTGAGGTTTTCAAAGTATATATTCTGTCATTTGATTTCCACCACTTATCCCCATTAAAATCTTATGAGTTTAAAGAGGCAGATTCAGAAAGTTAACCATCAAAAGGTTAAACTTGGCCAAGATCTCATATCCAGTGAGGGACAAGAGCTAAGATTTGTACGTAAGTCCTTTAATACCTAATGAACTGCCACATCCACCGTGTCACACTGCCTTCTCAGTCCTGTAAACAAGGTATGTAATAATAATACATTTGGAATTTTAGCACTGGAAATGATAAGAGAAGTGACTAATTCAGTTTCCGTGTGAAGAAAATATGTTTTACAAACCCAAAATCTGTATAATTAGTTTTATTCAATATAGAATGTTTCACCATGCTAAATGTGTCATATATGACCAAGCACAATGGAATGTGGAATTTGGGACAAATGCACTGTTCTGCAATTTCTTTAGAACTCCAATATCTAAAATAACAAAAAAGCCACTGATTAGAATAAGTGAAGAGGACCCGAGGCCTCCGCGAAAATACCTGCTTAGGCCCCATTGTTAAATTTTACTGCTCTGGAGAACTCCATTTGGAAACCACTGCTCTAGCCTATTAGAGCAGTTTTCTTTGTGAACAAGTTACATTTTTTTTTCTTTTTGTAGCATGTAGGAAATGCTAAAAATATAAAAGTTTGTTCACTTTCAGGAAGAAGTTCTAAGCTTCTATCCTTTCCATGTCTTAAAAGTGCTGGATTAAAGAGCATGCTAGTTATTAATAATTTTGGATAGCTGGAAAACAAAGTAACTAGTGGTTTTACACTGCTTCCTGCTTTATGACAATCAAAGCCAAGATACTTGTGTCTGAGACATTAATAACATCATACCATCCATCCTACCATTGGATGCAAAACCATCAATATAAGTGTTTTTCTAGATAAGGGGATAAACCTTGAAAGAATTTGCTAATAGAGATGGTTTATGGAAAGTAAGGTATTGTTCTTGAGACACTGCTATTTATGCTGCATCTATTTATTTTCTGTCGTTTTTTTAAAAATGGTCTTACATTAAAGAATATTTTTATCCTATTGATATCAGTTTGTAAATAAAAGCAATTCTTTCTAAAGCATCTCAGATCTAAAGCCCATGTTCATGCTAAATAAAATCATGTGATCATTAGAGAGTAGAGATGGAAGTCCCTTCTAAATTCAGATTTTAGTAGTTGCATTTTCCCTACTGAAATATTCATATCAAGTTATAGTATTCGGTAATTGATGTCATGAATAGCATAATTATTTTCTATATGTGAAAATCAAAATGCTTTTTTATGATCTTTCTAAAATATCTAGTTAGGATATGGAATTTAGGTTACATTTTAATTGTCTTCCACAAAGCACTAGTAATCTTTCAACGTAGATTTATTCCGAACTTGTGGTTATGGATGAGACAGTACAGGAGATGACACTGATAATCTCTAACCTTTATGGAGCACTTTTGATATGTCAGTTCTGTTTTTTTTTAAAAAAAGACAAACTATGTATATTAACTCCTTTAGTCCTCTGAACAATCCTATGCAGTAGATAATCGTGATATAGTTGGAGAAACTGAAGCACAGAGAAGTTATGTAACTTGCCCAAGTTTGCATATCATAACTGGCATTCCAGTAGTCTGGTTCCACAGCTGTGAGCCCTTAAAAATTAAGTCATGAAGATGTTAGAGAGTGTCCCTTTGCCCTCCAGGTAGCTTCCATGCAGTCTTGTGAAACTAAAACTTCATGCCATCCAAATGAGGTAAACAAGTAAATACTTTCTTTTTGGCAAGAATCTTCTGTATCTAAACTTTTCTCCGCAGTTAGATAATTAGGATTTTAAAATTTGCTCTGTGTCCCTGTAACAATAATTATTGAGGAAAAAACTAATTATATTAAGAGATACTGATAAGTCACTTGGCTGAGGTGATGCCACATGATAAAGTAATTGTGGGATTTTTAATTCATGAAATACTTTGAATGCAGTAATATTTCTCAGAATATCTTAATTTTAATATGAAAACTGATCTGTAGGAAAAATTGTTGAATTACTGTTAGCCGTTTATGTAGGTAATTTTCACCAGTGTGGTCATTTGCTAATATTTCATTTTTATGTATCTTCTAATTTAAATGTCACTAATTTAAATAGTACGTTGAACTTTGAAGCATAAAAATGTATACTTGCCCAAAGAGGATTTTGGTTTATGGGGTAGTTTTGTCTTTGTGTGAATATTTGTGTGTATACATTGTATGTGTGTAGATGTTTTTTCCTCTTTAGAGGATAACTGATAATTCTTAAGAATCAGATTTAAATGATAATTTAATATAATTTTCATGTAAAAATTCTATACCATTTTATTACTAAGATCTCTAAAACAAATGGAATTTACTATAATTAATGTTGACTTATCACTCCACCTGTTTTAAGAGGTATGATTTTTTTTGTGTGTACCTCTTTTAGAAGAGTAGTATTTCATATCAAAATACATCTTCTGTATATAACTCATGCTCGATGCTTGATTTGCTCTCATTGTGGCCGCATTCTGATTTTTCTAGCATGGGGTGGGGAGTGGGGAAGTGGGGGTGCCTGATTGGCAGTTCTGTCTTGTGGTCTAGCATGGCCCTGTTTGTAGTGCTGATTGCTGGGGTTGACTTGCTACAGATTGACATAAGCTCAACATATATTAATTCCAGAATTCTTTGCATTTTATCTCAATTATATTTTATTAAATATACATACGTGTAAATATATGCACGTACATAATAGAATCATCTTTCAGGGGTCGCACTGGCAAGTCACACTGACTGCTTTGTTTTGACCAAAATTTTGATTCTTTAGGATCATAAAATCAGTACATTAATATTTGAATATTCAAAGAAGGATTTGATGCCTCTTTAACATTTTTACTTGGTAGATGTTTAGAGTTTCTTCCTGTATTTGTTTATTTTAATTCTGTCAAGCTTTAAGTCTCTTCCATAGAGATTGCAATAAATTATGACTATACTTTTGATTGTGAAGGTCCTCACCTTACGAGATGACTCAGAATAGATAAATATAAAATGTTGATGGAAAAATAGAAATTATGGAATTTTGTTAAACCTATGAACACAACTTGCAGTGCAACCTCTGAATTACTTTGCTAAATCTTCTCCAGTGATCTTTTACTCCATCTTTCTCATCATGCTGACTTGTCTCTCCTCTGTCTGTCAGCAGTGGGAGACATTTAGTGAACGCTCTTCAAGCTCACAAACTCTGACCCAATTTGATTCTAACATTGCACCAGCTGATCCTGTAAGTCAATCACTTAGCTTGCTTGTTTGAGATTAATTTTATTAACCCAAATTTCCATTCATTATCGTTTTAGCTGATATGCATGATTCAGTGGAGTACTTAGAGGGAAGTGGCAGCAGGCTTTCAGTTTTTTTGTGCTTAATGGTGGGAAAAACATTTTTTGCCATTCCTTTTTTTCAGTTATTTTGTTGAGAGAAAACTACGTTTTTAAAATCTGGCATATGTGTCTAGAAAAGCATTTTTTGTGACAATCTATTTGGTTAACCTTGTCATTACTAATTAAGTATATATTTTATATACATACTATTTATTCAGTGTAGTGACAATTTATGTAAATACTATGTTATTGTATACTTACATATCATGTAATATATACTACATATGTAACTATTTATGCAATGTCATCTTTTATTTTGACATGCCAAATGACGTAGCTTTATTTAATTAGTATGTTGAGTTCTGTTAGAGAGAATCAAGTTCAGCAATACAGATGTTGGTCAAATTCCCCTTTTGCAAAGGAGCCTCTGTCTTGTCTTCTTGTGATTTACTGTGTTGCGTTGAAAATGCTACAAAGTTCACATCCTGATTTTAAAAAAAAAAAACATTGTCTCCACAGAGTTAATTTTATGTATGCTCCACCTGTCCCTTGGGGTTTTTGAAAACCTTAGTTGTTAATCATTCTCCCTGTTCACTTCTCTGCTTTTTCTTTTTTTTTTTTCTTTTAAAGACAAGGACATGCTAATAAGCACTTTGCAAAAATGAAAAGAGGGAGTAAGTAGGAAGTGAAGAAGAGTGTAAAGGCAGGATTTTAAAATGAGCTGAGTAGAAAGATATGGAAAAATGACGTAAGACATTCTTTTTGGATGTTTCTGATCAAGACAGCCAGCATTTATTAATAAATGTAAAAATGGTCTTGTCATTTTTGAAGAAGTGGCATTTAAAGATAAAGTATCTTCAACAGTTTAAATTAATGAACCTTAGATGTGTGTTTGTTTGTGTTTGTATTTTAAGACTGAGTGTAGTCTCAAGACTGTCGCCCAGGTTGGAGTGTAGTGTAAGATCTCAGCTCACTGCAATCCCAGCCTCCCAGGTTCAACTGATTCTCCTACCTCAGCCTCCTGAGTAGCTGGGACTACAGCACCCACCACCAAGCTGGCTGTGGTTTTTTTTTTTTTAAGTAGAGGTGGGGTTTTACCATTTCATCCAGTCTGGTCTCAAACTCCTGACCTCAAATGATCCACCCACCTTGGCTTCCCAAAGTGCTGGGATTATAGGTGTGAGCCACCACATCCAGGCTGATGTGTTTTATCACTTTAAAGAATTTATGTGAATATAGATGCTGCTGTTGTATTTATTGAATTCAGGCAGATAATATGTTTTTAAAATGTTTATTTTATAGCATATTAAGTATTCAAGGACCAGTTGATATGTAGATTATTTCTGCCTTTTGCTTCTCATTTCTTGCTACATTTAAGGCATTTATTTTTTATTTTACTCTCTGAAAAATGTAAGAGAAAATACAAGGCAATGCTTGAAAACTTTGCTGCTACTAGTAGCTATAATTAAGATCTCTTAGGATATGACAAGTTCTGTAAACTAAAGTTTTACCTTTATGTTTTTCTTTTTAAGTTTAAAGTTTTGCTTCTCTATATTATTCCTGTCTCATTATTATACAGTTAATATGAAAGTACTTTATATGGGAAGGAAGGTTTGCTGTAACAATAAAGAAACTATTCAATAACCCTAAAAAATAGTGATGATAATCACCCATAGTATTATGATTCTTTGTCAGGCCAGGCAAGAACATTATGCATAAAAATCTAGAACTCAGAAACAAAATAATTGACCTGTGACTGACAAGAAATGTAAACAAATAGTTGGTTGAATAGCAGTGATATTCTCCATACTTGTTGGAAATAATATCCCAGTTTAGGAATGCCAGCTCTATATTAAAATTATGTGGCTCAGTACTTTCCTTTGTTACCTCTAGTGTGTCAGGAGACTCTAGGAAAACAGGGTGGTTAATTTGCGTTTAAAATTTCAGTTTAGACCTCTGAATTTGATAAATAAAATTGTCATTTTTAAATATTTATATTTATAATCTAATACCTAGAAATACCTTACTTCTTTTATGGTGGCAAACTTAAATCTGAACTTTGTTTCCCAACCCGTATTCTTAGTTTAAATTTTCAGTTAGAAGAGTAGCCTGCTTTTTGTTCTACGTTGTCTAAGTTTCTTAACCTGCATTTAATACTTACCTGAAGTGTTACCCATCTACAGACCCACACAGGCTGTAGCCACAATCTCACATGATCCTTCGCAAGGCTTCATAGAGATGAGGATTATAAGTATGGAAATAAGGCACTTTCAGATTAGAAGGGAATCACCTGGCCAGGGGAAGGGAGGAACTACACTTCTAAAATGAATTTAACATTTCTTAGAGTATTTGAAATATTAACGGACTATTAAAAAGAACCAAATTATAATAATTAGTCATTTGCTCAGTAAAAGTCTGTAAAAAGGTTCCAAACTGGTCTGTAGCATTTAGAGACAGCCACTGCACAGTGCAGTGACCCCATTTGCAGACCAGATGGTTAGTTATTAAGCTTTCATAGTTCTGATGAAATTGAGATTTTGATGGTCTTGTTTCCAGAAACTTGATCTCTTTTCTTGAACTGCTTGTCAGTTAATAGCCTTTGATAGAATCTGCTTCTGCTAGGGTATATATGAATCGAAACACTAGGAAAATTGTAGATGGATGAGAAGTGTAATGTATTAGTTTTTGCCATGATTTATTGTACTGCAAATATATGAAAATGCTGGTTAACATTCCCAGCTGTTCCAGGCTTTATAAATCTGATTTTATGTACACATATACATACATAGAATACAGATTAGATGAATGTTACGAATTAAAGCATCTAAAAAGTTTTCCTGTTTTTAATTCCTAATTTGCTTTATATTTGGAATAAGAACTTACTTTCTCATGAACCATCATATTTTCCTACTTTGATCTTGCCTTATAAAGGTAAATTATGATTTTCATAATTGTTATTTCTGATATTAACTGTAAATTAAGAAAATAGTAGAGTTGCTCCTAAAGCCATGTTTTTATAACGAAAATATAACTTAATCTCTTAAGGCATTCTTACAAATATTTTCCTGAAAATGACTCATTATTAAATGATAAATCTAAACTTCCATCTATAATGTTAATATTTCTTGTAACTATAATTTTAGAGTTATAGGGCAAATGTTAAGTTGATTGGTTAAGTACATGAACCCTGTCCAGATTCTCCCAGAGGAAAGAAATTACTTTGAATGAACTTGTTAGTATAATAGATGTAAAGAATTTGTTATAAATTGTTAGAATTCAGAGATTATGAGCATAAGCCAAGGAGATGTGTCAGATAGGAGAGGGTATGCTGGAACTTAACTTTCTCTAGCAAGAGCTTGGTGTTAACCCAGTACTGTCTCACCAAAACAGTTTCCAACTTAAACTGAAAGGACAGTATCCTCCTCACTAAATTATAAACTTAATTGATTACTAAATATTCAAATTAGTCAGGCTCAGTGGCCTATGCCTGTAATCCCAGCACTTTGGGACGCCAAGGCAGGTGCATCACAAGGTCAGGAGATGGAGACCATCCTGACCAACATGGTAAAACCCCGTCTCTACTAAAAATACAAAAATTAGCTGGGCATGGTGGTGCGTGCCTGTAGTCCCAGCTACTTGAGAGGCTGAGGTAAGACAATCGCTTGAACCAGGGAATCGGAGGTTGCAGTGAGCCGAGATCCCGCCATTACACTCCAGCTTGGTGACAGAGCGAGACTCTGTCTCAAATATATATATATATTCAAAATTTAGGACCTCAAGTTCAGTTTTTAGTAGCAGCACATACAGAGTGTGAACTGGCCCCTCATAGAAGGAGTTGAGCTCCCTTGGTGATGTTTTTCAGCCAATCTATTGCTGTTAAGCCGGATGCTTGATCTGGTCTGGTTTCTACCCTGGGAGTCTCAGTCCCCAGGACACCTCCCTTTTCCTTCTTTTTCTGACAGGCTACCATTGTCTTCATTCTCTCATCCTTGCTTTTGTGCTTTCATTCTTTTCAGGTCTTTACTGTCCGTTCATTTACTTCTCTAAGGATTAGACTCTCATGAAGTTTAGAAATATTAGCTGTATTACAGTCATGAAAAGGTTTAAGAACAGTATTAGCGTTTTAGAATGAGAATTTTACTTGTTCTGCTTTAAAAAAAATGGATTCCTTTTTGGCAGTTTCATGCTAAATTTTGAGACAATCAAATTTAACCACTTTGAACTAATCTGTAGGAAGTATGTATTGTGCCTACTATTGCAATGTAATAGGCATCTCATTAACTCTGTGTTACAGGTTTTAAAAAGTATGAAAGTTTATTGAGCAGTTTACTAAAAATGAGTCTTCAGTCTCTTAGTTCTTGGATTCTCAGGAAATAGTTTAACATCAAGGCTCACATTTGCATAATTTTATCATATAATTCCTCACTCCCCTCCCCCCCCATCCTGATAGAATGTTGCTCTGTCACCCAGGCTGGAGTGCAGTGGTGCAATCTTGGCTCACTGCAACCTCCACCTCCTGTGTTCAAGCAATGTTTCTGCCTCAGCCTCCCGAGTAGCTAGGAATACAGGTACATGCCACCACACCTGGCTAAATTTTGTATTTTTAGTAGAGACAGGGTTTCACCATGTTGGCCAGGCTGGTCTCGAACTCCTGACCTCGTGATCTGCTCACCTCAGCCTCCCAAAGTGCCAGGATTATAGGCATGAGCCATCGCACCTGGCCTGTTCCTCACTTAACGAATATTGTCTTGAACTGTGCTTTTATAAGAGCACTTTTAAAATTTAAATCTTTCACACACACACGAGACACTTTTGAGATGGAGTCTAGCTTTGTCACCTAGGTCGGAGTGAGGGTGGCATGATCACAGCTCACTGCAGGTTCTACTTCCCAGGCTCAAGGATCCTCCTAACTAGCAGAGCATAGTGGCTCATTCCTATAATCCCAGCACTTTGGAAAGCCAAGGCGGGCAGATCATGAAGTCAGGGGTTCCAGATCAGCCTGGCCAGCATGGTGAAACCCCATCCCTACTAAAAATATGAAAATTAGTCGGGCGTGGTTGTGGGCCACTGTAATTCCAGTTACTCAGGAGGGTGAGGCAGGAGAATCACTTGAACCCAGGAGGCACAGGTTGCAGTGAACTGAGATCATGCCATTGCACTTCAGCCTGGACGACAGAGCGGACTCTTTCAAAAAAAAAGAAAAGGATTCTCCTACTTTAGCATCCCCATTAGCTAGGACTGTAAGTCATGGGCCATGCCCAGATAATTTTTATATTTTTTGAATAGACAGAATTTCACTGTTTCTTAGGGATTCTCTGGGCTGAAGTGATTCTCCTGCCTTGGCCCCCAAAGTACTGGCATTACAAGTGTGAGACTCTGTGCCCAGCCTTCACATAAATCTTTAATCATTCCATTTAAAATGTGGTTTTTAAAAATTAAACAGGTTGTTAGGCATGTATAGTGAGCTTGATTTTTAAATACAGTTTTAGAGCTTTTAATTTAAAAAGTTTATTTTCATGCCTGCCTTAGTGAAAATGGGAAAGCCTGGTCCACTGGTTTTAACAGTTTTGTTAGTTTTGATTATTGCATGGCATTAGCTTGACACTTTAATACAAATTCTGTATTTCCTCACATTTGTCTCTAGGATACTGCTATTGTTCATCCAGTTCCCATTCGTATGACTCCAAGCAAAATCCACATGCAGGAAATGGAACTTAAAAGAACTGGCAGTGGTAAGTAAGGAAGTTGTTGCTGGTTTGTATTTTAGTTTTGCATCAAACTAAATACGTAAGTAATTATTCTGTTAAGGTACAAATTTATTTCATCATTGCTTATTTTTTAAGCTAGTACTTCTACAATTAAGTCTATTTTCATGCATATTTATTTATTGTTACAGTTTTTAAAAGGAATGTGTTAATTTTAAATTATAAAGTTTTAAAATAAGGGCATTTGAAAATGTGTCATTTCTAATACCCTGTGGGTTTTTATGGTCACCCTTGTAAATTTACATTTAAAATATGTTAAAACTTTAACCGAAGAGTTACATGTTGGCTTTGAAATTATATATCTTGCTTGAACTTTTGGAATGTCTCATTGTAGACGAAATGTTTTAGGGTTTCTCAAACATAGATTTATTTTCTGTAAAAGTCAGCATTATAAATTAATTTATTTTACAGCTTATATATGTAGTATTTAGATAAGTGTGCTACAGGAATAAAATTAAGTGTGAACATGCAAATAAACTTTCATTATAAACTAGCTTCTATTATGGCAGAAAACAGAATTCTAAATAAACAGTTTTACATTTGTTTTTATTAAAAATATTATTTTGTCTTACATTTTATTGATTTACCCGCCACTTCTTTGGATATTTAAATGAAATCTTATAGTCTGAGCTTTATGAATTTATCGATTCAAATACCTATATCTTGTATTTTTACCTATTAATTCTCTATTAGATCATACAAATCCCACTAGCCCATTACTTGTGAAACCATCTGACCTTTCAGAAGAAAATAAGATAAATTCATCAGTGAAATTTGCTTCTGGTAATACTGTAGGTAAGTGAAGTATTACATCTTTCATTTGAAGTTTACCAAATCTGGATTTAGAGGCTATTTCAGATGTGTACCCATTTAATACTGTCTTCACTAGATAAAGTAGAGGAGAGAGACCCCTTTTGGACACTTTGTCCTATCAGTGAATAAATGGTTGCCCATTGACACCTGCTTCAAGGCAGGCCTCGTGTTGCCATCCCTTTCAGTGTAGCCAGGTTTGGTCTTACGGCTCTTCCCCAGTGAGTTCCTTCCTTTCTCGCTCACAAGAAATTCTGTATACATTCATTCAGCCAGTGTTAATTGGATACAGTATGCCAGGATCTGTTCTAGGTATTGGGGATTTAACAATAAAAAAGTCTTGCTGCTATAGAGTTTACATTCTGTATGGACATAAAAGGGGGATAAAATGTAACTCAGAAAGTAATTAACATTGTAGATAAAAATAAATCCGGGGAAGTGTAGGAGGAGTGCCATTTAAATAGGATGGTCAAAGAAGGCCTTACCAAAAAATGTCATTTGAGTGGACTTGAATGAGACGAATTCAGCTATGTGAATTCAGAAGGAAAATCAAGGCACAGCAAGCACCAAATGTAAAGTAGGGACTGCTTGTACTAGAATAGCAAACAATACCTGGAATAGAATTGGTTGCGAGTTTGGCAGGGAAAGGTAGCAGTGGTAGAACAGTAACAGAGGCAGTGTCAGACTTTCTTTGACTTATGAAAGGAAAAGCCAATCAAGGTTTGAATGGAGTAGTGACATGATCTGAGCCTCCTTTTTAATTGGGTCACTCTGGCTGTCCTAATGATGATAGGCCAGAAGAAGGTGAGAGAAAACAGCATGCAATTTAGGGGATGGGGTAATCAGGCAAGTGAAGATGGTGACAGCTTGGTGTTTAGGGTCCAAGCAGTGGAAGTGCTGAGAAGTGGCTGGACTCTGGCTATATTGTGTACCTTGTGTAGGAAAAGACCTCAGGAGTTGCTTTTACCTGTGTGATACAGGATGTAAGAGAGAGAAGAGTCAAGGGTGATTCCAGGGTTTTTGGCCTGGGCAACAGGGAAATGAGGAAAACTGATAGCAGCGGTTTGTAGGGAAAAAATCAAGTTCAGTTTTAGATACATTAAACTTGAGGTGCCTATTAAAACATCCAGATGGGAATATGTTCATTTTAATGTCATTCTTATATCAACTAGATGATTCTGTGATTTACAAGAAAAAGGAAAGAGATACATTTGAAATAAAACTAAATAATCCCTTCAGCTTATGACTCTTCAACTTATGTAGTAATATTCCTTCAGATTGTCCCTAGAGTTTCTATTTTAAAATTTCTTTTTTCTGTCACAACTCTTAGTCTATTTCTGGGATTCTCATCTGCTTCATGACTTTGAGGAAACTGAAAATGAATGTTTCCTCTGCAGAAAAATCTGGGTTTCCTTGGCTAATTTCATAAATTTTATTACTGTATAAGCACATTTTATTCCCGTGTCAAATTTTTAATTTTCACATTAATAATTTTTAAATTACTTTTCTTTATTTAAAATATTTCTAATTTGTTCTTTAAAAGTGACCTTTTTGTCCATTACAAAAGTAACTTATTTATTCTATAAATGTGTAATCGATAAAAATGAAATAATCATATTCTTGCTATTCCATTAAAGTCTATGGTTAACAGATTCATTGTTAAGGTTAGTTTTCATTCTGCACATACAGAAATTATGTTTGCATGTAATGTGAACTTGTAATACAGTCATCCCTCAATATGTGTAGGGAATTGGTTCCAGGACCCCCATGGATACCAAAATCTGTGAATGCTCAACTCTGATATGTAGAATGGTGTAGTATTTGCATGTAGCCTGCGCACATGCAAATTTAAATCATCTCTAGACTACTTATAATACCTAATACAATGTAAATAGTTGTTTTATTGGGCCAGGTTTGGTGGCTCACACCCTATAATCTTAGCACTTTAGGAAGTCAAGGCAGGAGGATTGCTTAAATTCAGAAGTTAGAGCATAGCAAGACCTCATTTCTACCAAAACATACACACACACACACACACACACACACACTATATTTGAAAAAAAAATTGTCATACTGTACGGTTTTTTTATTTTGTGTTATTTTTATTGTTGTATTGTTACTTTATTTTCTGATATTTTCTGTCTGCGGTTGGTTGAATCCTCAGCTGTGTAATCTACAGATACATACCACAGATTTGGAGGGCCAGATTGTATATGTACCATTTTTGTGACTTATTTGGAATATTTCTGCATCATTAAGTATTATTTTTTCTAGACTATAACTTGCTTTGTCTACTGTGTAAATATGCCATGATTTATTTGATTTGTAGTTTTTACAGTTAATAACAACTGGGATGAACTGTTAACCTACTAGCCAATCTTTGAATATCTCTGGCTTGAAACAGCATATCAGTTATATTTGTTTGGAGTAGATAGAGCAAAAAAGTAAAGAAATGATTATTATTAAATAGGACATATCCCATTTATCAGCAGATGGTTACAGTAGTTCAGACTCTTTTACTTCTGACCCAGAACAGATCGGGAGCAATGTAACTCGTCAAAGGTCAGTATTTCTGTCAATGAAAAGCATGTTAAAATATCTTGCTGCATTTTAATGTTTAAAACTATTTAGAACCAAGCACAAATGATTTTGTTCTCTAAAAGCTGTTAGGTTACTTTTCGATTTATGTAAAAGACAGTAATTTTGATCCTTTCCAACTTGAATAGAAAAACAAAAAGAACCCTGATTGTCTAAGTAGTATTTTGTGGAAGGTCTAAAAAGAGGTGATAACTTCTTGGTGATAGAAGTTTTATATAGTCCTTTTTTGTACCTAAACAGTGAGAGTCCATTAAGTAATACACCTTATAGCAAGTACCAAAAGAATTCTGTGTTTTAAAACACCATCCAAAAGCACAGCCCAGTGGTGGGCCATGTCCCCACCTTGAAGTTCTATGTTACATAATAACCTTTCAGACACAAACAAGAAAGGGATGGGATAGAGTGGAGGATGGCAAGAGATTTGTCTCCAAGGGCTTTACCATCCTTTAAAAGCTGTGTGCAAGACAGAAACATCTTTCTCTCCTCACATTTTGCACATGGTAAGTATCATTTTGCTATATGCCTGGAGGTTTTAGCGAGGATGCAGATTCTCCAAAGAGCTTAGAGTCAGAAGGCTGCTTATCTTCCTTTCTGAGTCCTCTTCTAGTTCTTCCTGTGTTTCTCAGCATTCTCAATAATCTTGGGTTTTACTCTGCTGTTTATTCCCATATGTGAAGATCAGATTACCAGAGTCCTTGAGACTCTTTTCAGAATATGAAAGACTTTGTAGCAAAGAAGTGAATCTCTAGGATGAGTTGAGTTTGAGTATAGTCACCTCTAAAATGAGATGGCCTGTGCGGACACGTGAAAGGGTATTTCAACTTACTAAACTCCAGACCTTAATAGATTGAAACCTAACCGTTCCTGAAAGTAGACTTTCTCTTTTTATAGTTAGTTTTTCAGACTATTATTACCTTTGATTGAATGGGAAAGCATTACACTAAATACGTAGTCTATTATGGTATCATGTTGACAACTAAGTTTCTTTTCAAAATTTTGAGGCTGGGCACGGTGGCTCACACCTGTAATCCTAGCACTTTGGGAGGCTGAGGTGGGCAGATCACCTGAGGTCAGGAGTTCGAAATCAGCTGGCCAAGATGGTGAAACGGTGTCTCTACTAAAAATACAGAAATAAGCCAGGTGTGGTGGCAGACACCTGTAATCCCAGCTACTCTGGCGGCTGAAGCAGGAGAATTGCTTGAACCCAGGAGGTGGAGGTTGCAGTGAGCTGAGATCACGCCACTGTACTCCAGCCTGAGCAACAGAGTGAGACTGTCTCAAAAAAAAAAAAAAAAGAAAAGAAAAAAGATTTTTTTGAAATTTTGCATATAACTATTTTAAAAATTATTTGCCATATAAAATAATCAGTTGTTTAGGGTACATCATAAACAGTGCTATCTTAATTTATTGTAACACTTACATACCTACTTGAGAAAATGTCATGCTAATAAGATCCTTTGCTGCTTAGCCAAGTTTGAATGCTTAAAAAGAAAAAAGCTCCAGTATCAGTAGTATGACCAAATATAATGGGGTGAATTTTGCAGGTCTCATTCAGGAACGTCGCCTGATAACACTGCACCACCACCTCCCCCTCCAAGGCCACAGCCCTCTCATTCTAGATCATCATCTTTAGATATGAATCGGACCTTTACAGTCACCACAGGTAGGGGCTAGAGAACCATAATATACATGATCATTTAATTTTAAAGTTAATCCAAGACACATACACGTTTTATTTTTGTTTATCTTAATATGTCTTTTAAAAAATATTTATCTGGCTGGTGTGGTTGCTCACGCCTTTAATCTCAGCACTTTCAGAGGCAGGCAGATCACTTGAGGTGAAGAGTTCGAGATCAGCCTGGCCAACATGGTAAAACTCCCATCTCTACTAAAAATAACAAAAATTAGCCGGGTGTGGTGATGCACATCTGTGGTTCCAGCTACTTGGGAGGCTGAGGTTGCAGTGAGCCGAAATTGCATCATTGCACTCCAGCCTGGGCGACAGAGTAAGACTCTGTCTCAAAAAAAAGAAAAAATTATCTGAAGATAAATTTTAGATTAAAAAGATAGCAGACAAGAGGCAGTTTTTTTCTTTAATGACTACTTAAACTGTGTTTAAATACAAATGATGAAGATGGGAACCTGAGAGATGTCACAGGAAATTTTGAAAGAACGACGTTGTGATATCAAGAGGGGAAAACTGATAGGTCTCAATTTGGCTGATGAAGAAGTCATAACTTACCTCAAGTTTTAAATTTTTGGAAATTTTTTGTTATTACATTAGTTAAAATAGAAAAGTTAGGGCAGAGGATGATGATGTTATGTTTTAGTCACTGAGTTTAGAGTGCTGAGGAAAAGGCTAAATAACACCATTGGCTAAGAAAGATTGATGTATTATTTGGAATTCATTTACATACAAATGTGAGAGTGAAGTGTTAAGTGAAAGGGAAAATTTGGAAGTTTTCGTTTGATACCTGAAAGCAGTCAGAGATATGGGAAGAAAATCAAGATTATATACTGTAACTGAAACAGGCAGGAGTATGCCAGGAGGGCTTTATGTAATAGAGGTAAGAAGCAAAATGAGATCTGATGAAATGCTGTGGGATTTGGTCTTTAGGTTACATACAGACTGTGTAACCAGGTAGTATCTGCCTTCCAATACTTACCAGACATTCTTAGAAATCTTTATCATGTAGTCACATTCATTCAGCCTATTTCTTCTATTAACGAAGTGATTATACAGTTACTAAAAAGAAGACTTTTGTATTCATGCAGGACAACAACAGGCTGGAGTTGTTGCCCATCCTCCTGCAGTGCCTCCAAGACCACAGCCCTCACAGGTAATTCTCCAAGGTATTTATTACTAAATGTCCCATAATCAGTTTGTCTGCTAGGTCTTTAATTCTATTCTCAAATTATTTGGAAGGTCAGAAATGATCTGATGGCAATCCTTAATGAGCATTTAGTTCAGTGAGGCTAAATATTATTTTGAAAGATACACATTTCAAGAATGATCTCAGTTATTTTTTGAAGGAAACTTAAAAGTGAAACAAATGATAATGTCTTGACAGAGAAGGGTTTAGCAGAAATGACAATGGATTGGGAGATAGGAGATATCCATTAATGTCCTGGGTCTAGCAGTGGCTCGCAAATAACTTCACTGGGCTGGGTGCAGTGGCTCACACCTGTAATTGCAGCATTTTGGGAGGCTGAGGCAGTAGGATTTCTCAAGCCCAGGAGTTGCAGACCAGCCTGGGCAACATAGTGAGACTCTGTCTCTAAAAACAACAACAAAATACTTAATTAGCTGGCCATAGTGGTGTACACCTGTAATCCCAATTGCTTGAGAGGCTGAGATGGGAGGATCTCTTGAGCCTAGGAGGCTGCAGTAAGCTGTGATTATACCACTGCACTCCAGCCTGGGTGACAGACTGAGACCCTATCTCAAATAAAATACCCCAAAATAACCTCACTGCATCTCTCTGGATGTGTTACTACATGAGTTAAGGAAGTATAATGACCTCTGCATCCCTTCCAGGTCAATATTACAGTGTTGTTGTAGACCTGTTTATAAAATCCTTTGGGACAGCCTTAGTGGCTAAAGTTAAGGATCACATCATATGTAAAATGAAGGAAGTGAGATTTAGCAGGGACTTGAAAGATAAAGTGAAATTTATTGGGGAGAAGGCATTCCAAACTGAAGGTGGTGACATCCACAAAGCCATGGAGGTATGTGTTAAGCCTGGTACATTCCTCAGGGGAAAACAAATTAGTTCAGCACAACAGGATTAGATGTGTGGAGTGATGGGAAATGAAACTAGAGAGGGAGGGAGGAGGCAGAGCATCTCCCATATCATGGTAAGAAGGATAGAGTTTTTCTTAGAGGGGATAAAGAATTTTTTAAAGGGAAGAGACTTCAAATTTATTTCTTTAGTATCCTTTACTTCCTTTGTCATAAAACATCTCACACTATTTTAATATCTTAGGTACTTATTCTTTTATTCTGCTATGGACTGTCAGCTTTATTAGGATGTGAGTGGGCCTTACTTGTTTTGTTCACAAGTAGATATTCAGTAAACAAGTTTTTAGACTGAAAATGTAGCAGCCTTGGTCTGGCAAAGGAGTGGTAGATGAATTGAAGGGAAGTGCTCTGACATGTTCAGAGAATAGTTAGAATAGTGTTTTTCATACTTTAAAAAGAGCAACCTTTTTAAGAAACATAGTGAAACATTTTAAAAAAAATAAAGGAACAAACCTATTGTGCATTAGCCCAATTAAGAAAAAAATACTTGCAAGTGGAGAGTGATGGTAGGCCAGACCCACCCTCTCCTTCAGTGTACGTTCTTTGCAATAAAGTTTTTGAAAAAATATCTTTTTATTGGAGGTTTATTATCTTAAATTTTTGTTAGGTCTTAGCTTTTCACTTATGGCTTAATCATTTATTTAGAGCTAAGGTTACTGTAATACACCTCTCTGAACTTACAGATAATAAAACCGGGCATCTTTATATACTAAATTTTCAAAGAGAGGAAGAGTACTCTGTGACACTGATAGGCTGATAAAATGTGTGTTTCTCTGTTCTGAACCATTGCACAGGCTCCTGGTCCCGCTGTGCATCGCCCAGTGGATGCCGATGGCCTCATGACTCACACTAGTACCTCACCTCAGCAGATACCGGAGCAACCAAATTTTGCGGATTTCAGCCAATTTGAAGTATTTGCTGCATCAAATGTAAATGAAGAACAAGATGATGAAGCTGAGAAACATCCAGAAGTTCTGCCGGTCAGTTTTCAAGGGCTTGGCTAATTTTCTGCAGGTAGTCTCTTCCCATACCATGCGCTGTCAACCTAGCAGATATTAGAGGGGATCTCGGCGGTGAGCCGAGATCGTGCCATTGCACTTCATATTCCCTAGGTCAGTGCTTTTCACCTTTTTTATTGGCCTCCAATATTTGCTGGTTGTAGTGTAATGCTTAATAAGTATTAGAGTCTGGTGGGGTGGGGGATTGTTACGACAGGAAAAGATACCACAACCTGGCCATTGCTAAAACACTGCTTTGGGGATTTCTGTCTTAATGCTAAGCATCTGACTGCATGATTTGGTGAAGATTTCCATGTGATAAGAGGCCGTGGTTACCATAGCTCCACTCATTGCAACTTTTTCCCAAGGATAATTTCTCTAGACGTAACTTCTGTATCTAATTACAACTTTAACTAGAACTAAATCTTAGCCAGACTTCTAATTGAAGCATTTAAAATTTGTATGAGAGTAAGTTTCCTTAGTTAAGCAAAGACTACAGGATACCAAAATTTAATATTTACAGTGTTCTAGGAGATTCTATTGTAGTTCCAATGGCAAGAACTTCTCTAGGAATCTCTGACATAAATCGCTGAGCATAAATGTGGAGTTGGAGAAACCTGAGGAATTCTGAAATCTCTGTCATATAGATCATAGCCATGGAAAATTCCCTACTAGCTCCCTTTTCAAACCTACAACTTTCTGCCAGGCCCATTAGGGGACTGGGCTGCATCTAGGAGGGTTGGGGTGGGCATGTAGAGGTGTGCAGAGGGTACCAGACTCACTCCCCTGGATGGATGCCTCCCCTCTCCCAACCATGAAGACTTCCCAGACTAACCACTTAGAGATTCAGTGCAGTAGCTGCATCCTCACCTTGTCCTCCTCTCCCTCACACCCTATTACCTGTCCTCCCCTCTGCCTTTCAGCAGCAGAGAAAGCTCATTTAATTAGATTCCTTCAGGTTCCTTATCATCTCAGATTTCTTGTCAGAATATTTTTTTTGACATTTTGCTCTGGTTTGTTACATATTCTACATTTATGCATAATTATATATTGTATATGATTAATAGTGATAACATTCATTTCTAGGTTGAAAAAGCTTCTGATCCTGCAGGTTCTCTTCGAGTTGCCAAAACAGATAGTAAAACTGAAGAAAAGACAGCTGCTAGTGCTCCCGCCAATGTGGTATGCAAAATGTCTTTTATAATAATAATTTTGTACCTCATAGGTTACGTGAAATAATTTTTAGAAATAAGGTCAACTGGCCGGGCGCAGCGGCTCAAGTCTATAATCCCAGCACTTTGGGAGACCAAGGCGGGTGGATCACGAGGTCAATAGATCAAGACCATCCTGGTCAACATGGTGAAACCCCGTCTCTACTAAAAATACAAAAAATTAGCTGGGCATGGTGGCGCGTGCCTGTAATCCCAGCTACTCAGGAGGCTGAGGCAGGAGAATTGCCTGAACCCAGGAGGCGGAGGTTGCGGTGAGCCGAGATCGTGCCATTGCACTTCAGCCTGGGTAACAAGAGCGAAACTCCGTCTCAAAATAAATAAATACATAAATAGAAAGAAATAAGGTCAACCAGAAATCATCTAACCCATTTCTCTGCTTTTCCCTGTAGGATAGTCAGTCAATCTCAGAACAAAGTCTGACTATTTAATGGAGATATTCTGTAATCTTACGTTAAATATTTGTCACAGGTTCTCAGAATCTTAAGTGGTTATCACATTCTTCCCACTATATAAAGTAGGACTTCTTTATAGGTGAAATTCAGTTTCTTTTATTGTAGTCTTGAATATAATAGAGGAAAATTATCAACCCTGTTATTGTTATTCTCTGTGCTCTTAACTTTTTCTTTAACTGTTTTAGGGATAATTTTTCCCCAACATTTTATTATGAAAACGTTTAAGCATACAGAAAAATTGAAGCAATTTTTCATTGTATATCAGTAAATCCACTACCTTATATACCATTATTATTTTATTATACTTGCTTTACTACATATCTCTCCATGCCTTCCATTCATCTGTCAATCCTTATCTGTTTTATGTATGTGTTAGCCCGCCTGCATTGCTATAAAGGAATAGGCGAAGCTGGGTAATTTGTAAAGAAAAGAGGTTATGCCAGGCACAGTGGCTCACACCTGTAATCCCAGCACTTTGGGAGGCTAAGGCATATGAATCACTTGAGCTCAGGAGTTCAAGACCAGCCTGGGCAACACGGCAAACCCTGTCTCTACAAAAAGTAAAAATATTAGCCAGGTGTGGTGATGCATGCCTATAGCCCCAGCTACTCAGGAGGCCGAAGTTGGGGGATTGCTTGAGCCTGGGAGGTGGAGGTTGCGGTGAGCTGAGATAGTGTCTGTCCTACACTCCAGCCTGGGTGACAGAGTGAGACCCTGTCTCAAAAAAAAGCAAACAGGTTTATTTTGCCTCATGGTTCCGCAGACTATACAGGAAGCATGGTGGCAGCATCTGCTTCTTGTGAAGACTTGGGAAACTTAGAATCATGGGAGAAGGCAAAGTGGGAGCAAGTGTGTCACATGGCAATAGAGGGAGCAAGGAGAGGTACCAGACTCTTAAACAGCCAGTTCTTTCGTGAACTCAGAGTGAGAACTCATTCATTACCATGAGAAGGGCACCAAGCCATTCACAAGGAATCTACCTCCATGACCCAAAGACCTCCCTCTAGGCCCACTTCCAGCATTAGAGGTCACATTTCAACATGAGGTTTGGAGGGGATAAATACCTAAATTATATCATTGTACTTCAGATTGCAACTATCAGTACATTTTCCCCTTGAGGGAAGAATTTTGGTAACTTTTTTTTCCTGTTATCTGGACATTCCAGTAGGTATAAAAACAGCATGTGTTTCTGAAGTGCTTAAATTCTGCTTTCTGGACACTCTCTGTGTATTAGTCCATTTTCACACTGCAATAAAGATACCACCTGAGACTGGGTAATTTATAAACAAAAGAGATTTAACTGACTCACAATTCTGTGTGGCTGGGGAGGCCTCAGGAAATTGACAATCATGGCGGAAGGTAAAGGGGAAGCAGGTGGCAGGATAGAGAAAAAGTGAGGAAGTGCCTCACTTTAAAACCATTAGCTCTCTTGAGAACTCCCTTACTCTCATAAGAACAGAATGGGGGAAACCGCCCATGACCCAGTCACCTCCTTCCAGGTCCTTCCCTTGACACATGGAGATTACAATTTGAGGTGAGATTTGGGGACACAGAGCCAAACTGTATCACTATGTTGTATTACTGTAAGTTTTTAAGTAAAGAACTTTATTTTTTATCAACTCAACAGCAACAAATTAAAAATAGCACTTAACTAAAGAGATGGTTTTTATTTAATTAAAAACCAAGTAAATGCCAAAACACCATTTTTTATTCTGCTGGGGCAGATTCATAATCTCCAACAAAATGTCAATTCATTTTCAAAAGTTATAATTACTGTGCATATTAACAGTGATGCTTTTTTTTTTTTTAAAAGAATTGCCTAGCTTTCCATTACTTTATAATGTCAATATATTCATCAAGATGTATGTTAGTATTTTTGAGTAAGAAATCCTGTGGTGATAATGGATAGATATTTCTGGAGACTGCCTTTGTTTATTGTTGAACAGGATTCTGTATCATATTTATCTTAAAACTGAATGTTACAGTCTTGCATCAGTATGTTACTCTAAAAAATTTTATATTGCAGGTACATTCATGATTGTGGTGTCAACTAGAGACATCCTTTCCCACTGTAATTTAAGTTGGTTCTTGCCACAAATACATGGCTTTAAAGTAGGACAAGTAACTTTGATTTTCCAAGAGCAAATGGCCTAAGGAAAGCAAATGTTGTTGCAAAGTGCTAACTATGAATGTCTTCAGAAGTGCTCATTATTAATGGAATTCTTGTCTTAAAGAGCAAAGGCACAACACCTCTTGCTCCACCACCTAAACCTGTTCGAAGAAGATTAAAATCAGAAGATGAATTAAGGCCAGAAGTTGATGAACATACACAAAAGACAGGTGTCTTAGCTGCTGTTCTTGCATCACAGCCTTCTATTCCCAGGTAATCAAAGCTATTCTTAGACTCATTTAATTACTGGGAAGAAAAAGCACAGCAATAAAAATAATCAAATGGGCCAGGCATGGTGGCTCACGCCTGTAATCCCAGCACTTTGGGAGGCCAAGCTGGGCGGATCATTTGTGGTTAGGAGTTGGAGACCAGCCTGACTAACATAGTGAAACCCCGTCTCTACTAAAAATACAAGAAAATTAGCCGGGTGTGGTGGTGCACACCTGTAGTCCCAGCTACTTGGGAGGCTGAGGCAGGAGAATTGCTTGAACCCAGGATGCAGAGGTTGCAGTGAACCAATATCGTGCCACTGCACTCTAGCCTGGGCAACAGAGCAAGACTCCGTCTAGAAAATAATAATAACAATAATCAGACTGAAAGAAATTATGGTCAGACTAGTTCTTTAGTTAAGCAGAACCTTGTCATGTATAGGTAGGTATTCGTCCCATTTTTTCCCCTTTATTAAATTGAATTCCAACTCCATTTTAACATCCTGTTTCAAACCCTGTAGCAGTATATTTTTTAAACTTGATAGTTTATAGTCAAACTGGTGTTACGGTGTTCTAGATCAGGAATCAGCAAGTTAAGTCTTACAGGCCAAATTTGGCCTATGGCCTATTTTTGTATAGCCCGTGAGCTAAGAATGACTTGTTCTTTTTTGTAGAAGGGAGGAGAAAGAATAGAAGAGAAAAAATAAAAAACTAGAATACGAGACAGAAACTCTGTGGCCCACAGAGCCTAAAATATTTACTATCTGGTCTTTTACAGAAAAGGTTTGCCAATACCTACTTTAGACTCTTCTTAAATTCAGGTGATTCTACAGAAGAAGAATTTATTTTTTGGTTTATCACTGCAACTGAGCAAGTGAGGTTGAGTTATACTAGTAAGGAAAAAGATGCTCCTTTTTAACTTTTCATGTTTAAAAATAGATCAGGGAGGAATAGACAGGATTTAAGATAAGAAACGAAGGTTATGGATTTTTTTTGCCTTCTTTGTCTTCTCAGATCTATTGGGAAAGATAAGAAAGCTATTCAGGCATCAATTAGACGCAATAAGGAAACCAACACAGTTTTGGCCAGATTGAATAGCGAATTGCAGCAACAGTTAAAGGTAATATAGTTTCTGAATCTTTAATGTTCCTTATCTTAGTAAAGAAGCCTAAAGAGAAGAAATGTGACCTCACGTAACCTCCAAGATCATATACATGGTTCTCCACTCTAATTTTCTAGATGCTTTGACTGTGGTTAGTTTACCTGCCCTTACCTGCCTCCTTTTTTTTTTTTTTAAAGAGATCTTGCTCTGTCATCCTGCAGCCTGGGCTCAAGCTCAAACTGTCCTCCCACCTCAGCCTCCTGAGTAGCTGGGATTACAGGCGTAAGCCATTGCATCCAGGTTGTAGTTTGTCCTTTTATCAAAGACAACTCAGATTCCATTAAAGAGATTTAAACAGATCTAAAGAAGAGAGATGGCAGCAATTTCAGTCATCTTGCATGTGGAAAGAGAAAAGGCAAGCTTATCATCTAATACCTGAGAGGAATGTGTGTATTTTCTATTAATTGTGATTTCTTTGCATCCCTAGAAATAAAATTACTCCTACTTACTCCTTCCTTACTGGGTCAAAAAAAAAAATTACTCCCAGAATCACTTATGGTTCCCCAACATTATTAGGTACTCATGTCTTACCAAAAAAAAAAAAAAAAAAGTGGTTCTCAAACCTTAATTCATATACAGGTAACCTGGGCTCATATTAATCTGGGGTAATGTATGTTTTTCTGAACCAGGGAAAACCATTAACATAAGTATATAGAAACTATTTTGAAAAATTCCCTTTTTATTACTTCTGAGAACAGAAAATAGGAAGTAAGGTACAAAATAGAAAGAGGTAGTTCTGGTTAAAATAAGATACTGTCAGTATGATAGAGAAAACAAAAAAAGGAAAGTAAGTTAGAATTTGGTGGCTAACTAGAAAGACCATCCAAAATCAGCATTGATTTAAAATTCTGAATGCAGAGTTACTCTTTGTGAAACTAAAGCTCAAAATGAGATCTAGGAGTCGATGTAGCCAGATGTCATCACTAGGGAAAAGAAGCTGTATTCACAGATTAATCTACAGTTAATTCAGGGCACAGGCTTATTCCAAATTAAGTTGTTAATACCCATTTGTTGCAAACATTGACTTTTCTAATAACTAGACATTCTGTTATCCTGATTTATGTAATAGTTTGAAATTACCAGGATCTTACTTTAATATTAAAAATATATAAAGTATCTACCTTTCTAAAGTATACTTTTACAATATGAATAAGCTCTCCCTTAATCTTCTTGACAAATTTAAATTGCTTTCTTGAAGCAGAGATGTTAGATGTTCCTTCATTTTTATATACTTTGAAATATAACTTGGCCTTTGCCTCTTTTTCAGGATGTTCTTGAGGAGAGAATTTCCCTGGAAGTTCAACTGGAACAACTTCGACCATTCTCTCACCTATAAGCCAATTGCCGTTAACTGTGAACATAGTCATTTTTAAGTGATTTTGGGTTCAGAGCCAATTTGGAGACCCAAACATTCAGCTCATTGCTTAATTCAACATTAAATTTTATGATTCTGTTTTGCCCTATATGTTCACCATTGTATTTAAGTATCTTTTATTTTTTAATTTCAACAATAAAAAGGTCAGGATGACGTTTTCTGGAGGGTATATTGTGTTTGTTGGGACACCCACCTTTTCTGTTCCATAGCAACCAGGATACATAATACTTCTGTGGCTAAAAACACACACCGATTTGATTTATACAATGGGCTCATTTACATCTCAGTCACATACTCAGAAATAAATTGTCAATTTGTCCTATTTTATGTTTAATATTTTACATAAAGCATCTGTATTCCATAAAAAATCTTTAAAAAGTTTTCCATTTAATTTTTTATTTTAAATAATTATATTGGATAAGGCAGTTTTCACCATAAGCTAATTTACTCTCTGCAGTAATATGCATTCTTCACGAATCATGTGGTACGTTCAGGCCTCTTTTACGTGTCAACTTGTGACAAATATAAACATGTTAGATTTTATATTTTCCTTGTGGAAATGTGATCAACTTCATCAGTGACTTAGAACTATTTTGTGTGAGACTGAATAATTCATTAGTCTTGTAAACTTATGAAATAGGTATGAATGAATAATGACCTTTCTTAATTATTTTTAAGTATTGTTTTAAAACTTCTGAGGATATCGATTATTCACAAAATAAAGGGGAATTCCTTAAGATTTCTAGTTTACCTTCAGCCATCTTGTCCTTCTTTTGCTATATAGACAAGTTTTTCCTATTAATTTCTGGAGTATGCCTTATTCAGGACAATACACTCTTTTAGATTTTGTTTAATATTAAATATACATTTTGACCCATTGCTAACAGCAGATATTTCCTTTAAGATTTATTCTGTCTATAGAATCAGTTGTTAAACTACATGGCTATATCTTAACAGAATCAGAAGTGTGGTTTTACACAAATAAAACAGCATAATATTTTAACTTTTGTTCATTTTTTAAATAAGCATTTAAAGTTTTAAGAAATAGAGGATTTTGTATTTTCATTTCCAAAGAAAAAATGTTTAAATACTGTAGGTTCACTATCCTGAACTGTTTCAATAGACTGTGTTACTGGAAACAAGAATATGATGAACAAAGGAAACTGACAACCTTAAGCTTCTAAGATTAATGTAATTTTTATCTAGCAATATCTAGGTAAAAATATACATCAGCTAAAGTTTCCAAGTGGCTATCAGTATGCCTTTAGTTGTTAAATAATCAGTTTAAAGGCCCAGGAAATTACTCAATACCTATTTTGATGTTTCTTTGTTTTAAAAGAAACATTTTTACAGCTACATTTCATTACAAGCAAGTTTTGCTGTTTCCATTTATTTTTGTTTTGTTAAAAGTTGCTTTTTAAAAATAGCCTTATAATGTAACAATGTCAAAAATATTTTTAAAGCTTCTTAGTCTTGCAATAAATAACACTTAAAAATTATAGAAAAAAAAATTTTTTTTTTTTTGAGGCGGAGTTTCACTCTTGGTACCCAGGTTGGAGTGCAATAGCGCGATCTTGGCTCACCGCAGCCTCAGCCTCCTGAGTAGCTGGGATTACAGGCATGTGCCACCATGCCCAGATAATTTTTTGTATTTTTTCTAGAGACAGGGTTTAACCATGTTGACCAGGATGGTCTCGATCTGTTGACCTCGTGATCCACCCGCCTTGGCCTCCCAAAGTGCTGGGATTACAGGCTTGAGCTACTGCGCCCGGCCAGAAAAATTTTTAGTACTTTGTAGTGGTGTATCTTTAATGCGCTCTAGAGGAGTACATTCATATTAAGGATATACAAGTTTTTGAGTAAATTGCCATTTGTATTTCTTGTCTTTTTTTTTTTTTTTTGGAGACAGAGGTTCACTCGTCAACCAGGCTGGAGTGCAATGGTGCAATCTCAGCTCACAACAACCTCTGCTTCCTGGGTTCAAGCAATTCTGCCTGCCTGCCTCAGCCTCCCAAGTAGCCGGGGCTACAAGCGTGTGCCACTATGCCTGGCTAAGTTTTTGTATTTTTAGTAGAGATAGGGTTGTCCAGACTGGTCTGGAACTCCTGACTTTAGGTGGTCCACCCACCTCAGCCTCCCAAAGGGCTGGGATTACAGGCATGAGCCACTGCATCCAGCCTCTTATCCTTTTTGTTTTGTTTTGTTTTTTTAAGGCAGAATTTCACTCTTGTTGCCCAGGCTGGAGTATAATGGGCCATCTCGGGTCTCCAGAACTTCTGCCTCCCTGGTTCAAGTAGTTCTCCTGCCTCAGCCTCCCGAGTAGCTGGGATTACAGGAATACGCCACTACATCCAGCTAATTCTGCATTTTTTGTAGAGACTGGGTTTCTCCATGTTGTTCAGGCTGGTCTTTCGAACTCCTGACCTCAGGGGATTTGCCTGCCTCAACCTCCCAAAGTGCTGAGATTACAGGTGTCAGCCACCATGCCTTGCCCTGTTATCCATATCTTAATAATTTCATGAAAATATTAAAAATGGTAAATCACCAACAAAATATTTTTCTAGACTGATCACTTAAGAAACACTTTAATTCTGCTTTTTTCATTAGATCACAAAACAAAGCTTTACACAATGTGCTTGCTCTGTCTTAGGTTTCGTCACACCAGATTACTCTAAATAATATTACCCATGAAATATAGCTACCAAAAGAAGTAGTTCAAAATTTTGGACTCAGAGTGTTCTTATACATCTTCATAAGTGAGCACAAATGATAAAGTTTAAAAGTTGGAAGGATTCTATGGGTCATCTTGGTCCATGACAGTTATTCTGTTTCTTACTGGATATTTTGGAACAGAAAATACATGTTGTCTGTCTTTGCTGGGGAGATTTGGTACCCTTGATGTTTTCAAGTTCAGTCTCACTTCTCCATCCTACTTTTGATTGCATTTTGAAGTACTGATAGCCATAGGAACTTATCATCCTCTGCTTCTGTAGCACAAATCCATTTATATTTTGGACCTTGAAGAATAAATGCATTCTTGACATCTGTAAAAGCATTTGAGGTATACTAATTAATCTTTGCAGGTAACAATCAAAATGAGAAAAAAAAATGTTTTTTTTTTTAACTTTTTTTTTTTCTCTCTTCTTTTGTAAGATGGGGTTTCACCATGATGGCCAGGCTGGTTCTTGAACTCCTGACCTCAGGTGATCCACCCACCTCGGCCTCCCAAAGTGCTAGGATTACAGGTGTGAGCCACCGCGCCTGGCTGAGAAAAAATTTTAATAATCACCATCTTTAAGAATTTTTTAAAACCTAAAAAAATACATATCCAGTGTAGAATATAACTTCCTAAAATTACTGAATAATTCGAATACAATGTAAAATAATGTCTTTATATTATAGTTAGTGTAATAGCAATTATTTTAAAAACTAAAGGATAGATGATACCATGATATAGTGTTGTTTAATTACTTGTCTCAACTACTCCAGAAAGAACTGAAATCAATAACAGTCTTTACTGATAGTTATTTTAAATAAATATGCTAAGAGCTAGACTAGATGACCTCAGAATGAGAGCCAGTGACAGAATCAAGCCAACTACCTAGTTGAATGCCCACTATTAGATTACATAACACTATTTTGACACAGCTCATAGCTGATTGTTCTGGTGGGAGGGGTACTGGAGGAGACATGTTTCGTACACAAACCATACCCAATGATTATAGGTAACTAAGCCTTTTTAACCTGAGTTTGTATTCTAGGTGATAATTTTTTCTCAGGCTCAGATTTGGAATGGGGCTGAAGCCATTGGGAAATAGCCCTTTTATTTAGTTTGGTACTTCTCTAAGGTCTTGGGTTCCAGCTTTAACCTTAAGACTTGAGAATGAGAGATGTTACATTCAGATTGTCTTGCCTAAGAAATACAGGACTAAGATATAGATCCTTTTAAACTTGGGAAGTAAAGTATAAGATAATAACTATAAATATGTACAATAGAGTTTAAGTAGAAAATCGTTTTCATGACAAATGATATTTCTATTGGAATTACTGTGAGTGAAACGTTTAATTTACTAAGCATCCTTTGCATATCTGTTGATTCGTTTATTTAACAACTCCCCGGTTAGATGCAAACTTAAGGAAAAAAAGGTATGTGTCAAATATGTAATAATCACTTAATCCTAGTAGAATGGGAAAGTAATAAAAATTTAAAATATGCTTTGAGACTGTAGCGTCTTCAGACAGTATAGAATAGTGGTTAAGAGCTCCAGATCTTCAAAGAACTCACAGTAGTGTGGAGCCTTGCTTCCCTTTGTAATTTTTGAAAGCTGTTTTCCTGCCCGAGCGCGGTGGCTCACTCCTGTAATCCCAGCACTTTGGGAGGCTGAGACAGGCAGATCACCTGAGGTTGGGAGTTAAATACCAGCCTGACCAACATGGAAAAACCCCGTCTCTACTAAAAATACAAAATCAGGTGGTCATGGTGGCACATGCCTGTAATCCCAGCTACTCGGGAGGCTGAAGCAGGAGAATCACTTGAACCCTGGAGGTGGAAGCTGCAGTGAGCCAAGATTGTGCCATTGCACTCCAGCCTGAGCAACAAGAACAAAACTCTATCTCAAAAAAAAAGAAGGTGGGGGGGTGGGTGCTGCTTTCCTAAGGTGCAAGTCTGAATGCCAGAAGCCCTGTCTTTAACTATTTCAGAGGTAGATGAAAGTTTACATTGCTTAAGGAAATTCTAATATTGGGGGATTTGCATCCTGGTAAATTATAATTCCAGTTCTTTTCCTACTTTTCTATTAATAAGCTTTACATTATGTAGCTTTTTGAAGGTATCTGTCTCTTGGAAGGAAAAGAATACATACACTTGGAATCTGGAATATTTTCTATGAGTAACCTATGAAGGGCCACTGATGCAATGAACTGGTAGGTTGTTTTTGAAGTCCTCTCAAATGGAGTATGAGATGTGCCCCGACTAGAAACGAGCAGTGCATCATTGAAGAGGAAAAGGCTGAGGTCGCAGATGTGTTCATAGAGCCTGTGTTAAAATGGAGAAGGTGCAGTTTTAATACATATATAGGTGCTTTGTTACATAGTTAATCATCTTGAAATTGATTTTTACCTCACTACTGACATTTTGAATGGCTGGTTGAAGTTCTCAGTATAGTATTACTTCTGATGTGATTCGTCCCTCCTGTGTCTCTGAGGTCAGTACTATACTCCTGGTGAAGTACTTTGAGTTTGTTCATGGGACAAGTATTTCATAATCCATGTGGGAAAAATGAACACTGACTTTCCCTTCTTTATGAAATGATTTACTTTATCTGTGCTGTTAAATTTTTGTCAGTGTTGGTATTTTGAAGTATTTGGGCAATCTAAAGAAATTATTTGTTTTGTTTCCCTTATTTATTTATTTTTTTAATAGTTGGAGTCTCACTCTTGTCACCCAGGCTGGACAGCAGTGGTGCGATCTTAGCTCACTGAATCCTCCACCTCCCTCAAGCAATTCTGCTTCAGCCTCCTGAGTAGCTGGGATTACAGGCACATACCACCACGCCCGGCTGATTTTTGTATTTGCAGTAGAGATGAGGTTTCACATGTTGGCCAGGCTGGTCTCAAACTCCTGACCTTTTTGTTTCACCTTTAAGGATAACAAGACTGGGCGCATTGGCTCACTGTAATCCTAGCACTTTGGGAGGCTGAGGCAGGCGGATTACAAGGTCAGGAGTTCCGAGACTAGCCTGGCCAACATAGTGAAACCCCATCTCTACTAAAAATACAAAAATGAGCAGGCATGCTGGTGCACACCTGTAGTCCCAGCTACTAGGGAGGCTGAGGCAAGAGAATCACTTGAACTGGGAGGCAGAGGTTGCAGTGAGTCGAGATCACACCACTGCACTCCAGCCTGGGTGACAGATTGAGATTCCATCCCTTGTCCCCCCCCACCCACCACAAAAAAAAGGGATAAGTTGGAGTAGAGAGAAAGATAAGAACTGATGTAGTATGAGGTATATTAATAGAAGGGAGAAAAAGCATTTAGCTACTATGTAGAAGTAAATATTAAAATTTTACTTTTGATTAAAAAGTAACTAGTAGATAACCCAATACAGTTCATCAGTTTGAAAGGTAAAAATTAAACAGTTCTGGGCCGGGCGTGGTGGCTCACAACTGTAATCCCAGCACTTTGGGAGGCCGAGGTGGGTGGATCCACAAGGTCAAGAGATCGAGACCATCCTGGTCAACATGGTGAAACCCTGTCTCTACTAAAAATACAAAAATTAGCTGGGCATGGTGGCGCATGCCTATAGTCCCAGCTACTCAGGAGGCTGAGGCAGGAGAATTGCTTGAACCCAGGAGGCGGAGGTTGCGGTGAGCCGAGATTGCGCCATTGCACTCCAGCCTGGGTGACAAGAGCGAAACTCCATCTCAAAAAAAGAAAAAAAAATTAAACTGTTCTTTGTTTTCACTGAGGTTGCTACTATGGTCAACTGTAGGCGTTATTTATCAAGGGGCAAAATTTGGTGTCCTCAGCCTCACATCTGTTATCCTCTTTGCTTTTCTGTCATTGGAGCCTAATTGCTGTGTTTAGCAGGCCTCACTGTATTCTAGTATGGGTTATCTGTCCTGTAGGAGTGTTCCTCTTAGTTTTCCCCAAAGGAATATACGGTCAGTTAGCAGCATGTGCATTGGAGAAAATGTTCCTAGGCTTTTGAAGGATACTAGACTTTGATCCAGAATTGATTATTTTCGGGACCCCAGAGGCCACTGTGATCCATCAGTCTAGGTGTGATAAACAGTTTTGACTCAGGTCAACTCACAGTGGAGCTGATGGCTATTATCCACGTACTGAAACTTTTTTTTATTTTAGACAGTTTCACTCATTGCCCAAGCTGGAGTGGGGTGCTTTTCACATTTACTGATATCTTGCCAGATATATTGTTCTAGATCAAGTCAATAGGTTCTTCTGAGACTAAAGGAGTGAATAGAACTAAGGATGAGAAAGAGAGGAAGCAAGAAAGGCAGAAGGTGTGTGATGGGCAGTATGTGGTGAGTGGCCATTTTGAATAGGCAAAAGAATTCTACCATGATCTTGCTTTTTTGGGGGAAGGAGGAGCAAAATATATGTATACATACATATATATATACATATATATATATATATATATACATATATATATATATATATATATATATATATATGTATATATATATATATATATTTTAACCCATAATTATTTCTCCTATCATAAAAGTTTAGAAAACTGGGCCGGGCATGGTGGCTCATGCCTATAATCCCAGCACTTTGATCCAGACTGGGATTTGATCCACCTTTGGGAGGCCAAGGTGGGTAGATCACAAGGTCAGGAGATCAAGAACATCTTGGCCAACATGGTGAAACCCTGTTACTAAAAATACAAAAATTAGGTGGGGAACACATGCCTGTAGTCTCAGCTATTCCGGAGGCTGAGACCGGAGAATCGCTTGAACCTGGGAGGCAGAGGTTAGTGAGCTGAGATTGCACCACTACACTCCAGCCTGGGTGAAAAGAGCGAAACTCTATCTCAAAAAAAGGAAAAAAGTTTAGATAACTGTTTAAATCTGTAATAGAACTTTGCTGTATCCGAATTATCAGGGAATATGCCAACAGAGTGGTTTGAAAGAGTAGCATTTTAAAAGGTACTTGTTTTGGTAAATTGATGTTCAGTTTTTTCCTTTAGAAGGGAGAACACCAATATTAGAGGTAAATGACAGAGAATTCCAGTTTTGTGACCCACTTGGACCTGGTAGATGGTAGGCCCAGGAAAGGATGAAGCAGCCACACTAACTGGAGCTTAGAATTGAGCCTTTTGTAATCTGAGGACATGAGTGAGGGAAAGAAACACACAAAGAGGTTGTTATTTCAATCTGTTTCTGAGAGGGTTATTTTATATATGATTTTTATCTGGAAAAAAAACTTTTCAAAAGCCATTTACTAAATTAAGCCCCTCAAGATCTCCAACCATTATTATCCATAGACAAAACACCAGAAACTCTTAAAAATTTAGCAGTTCCTCTAGATAGGCAAAAGCAAATACAGTCATCCCTTGATATCCATGGGGAATATGTTCCAGGACCTCTTGAAAATATCAAAATCTGGGGATGCTTGGTATTTGCATATAACCTGCATATTATCTCTAGATTACTTATGGTATCTAATACCACATAAATACTTATACTATATTGGGGTTTTGTTTTTTTAATTGTATTTGTTTATTTTTTAATATTTTCCATCCTCAGTTGAACCCATCAGTGAGGAGCCTTCAGATACGGCTGTAATTTCACCTTTAGCATTGACATAATGGAGCAGCTGAAGTGGCCCCTACTAGTGTTTCAGAAATCTGCCTCTGCTCACACTCAGAACCAACTTCAATGGTGGGTTTTGTTCTGAATTTGAATAGAGTTTCTTTGTCTATTTACAAATAGGTTCTGTGATTCCACACAATGGAACACAGCTACTATAATGTAAATTCTTAACTCCATTCTAGAAGTGTTTTGTTATTGTTATTAAACTACTGTATTAGCCAGCCCAAGAGACACAGAAAGACAGGAAGTACCCAATTTATATAAATATATAAAACTTTAAAAGAAAGTTTTAGGTTGGGCATGGTGGCTCACACCTGTAATTCCAGCATTTTGGGAGGCCAAGGCGGGCAGATCATGAGGTCAGGAGTTTGAGACTAGTCTGGCCAGAATGGTGAAACTCCATCTCTACTAAAAATACAAAACTGAGCTGGGTGTGGTGGCACATGCCTGTAGTCCCAGCTACTTGGGAGGCTTAGGCAGGAGAATCGCTTGAACCCAGGAGGTGGAGGTTGCAGTGAGTGGAGATCGTACCATTGCATTCCAGCCTGGGCAACAGAGTGAAACTCTGTCTCAAAAAAAAAAAAAATACTACAGTACACAGACAACAGCAGGTCATCAGCTCCACTGTGAGTTGACCTGAGTCAAAACTGTTTTATCAGCATTTGGGGGTCCCCAAAATGTGTCAATTCTGGACCAAAGTCTAGTATCCCTGAGAAACCTGGGTACATTTTCTCCAGTGCTAAATCACTGCAGATCCCTTTGGGGAGAGCTAAGAGGAAAGTTTACAGTATGTCTTTTTGGCAGTGTAATAGGGTATTTCCCCAAGGAAAATTAGTCAAGGAAGTCGATGGCTCTATTTGATGATCAAGGCCAGGCCTGTATTTACCAGTCCTGAAGGCACCAGTTTTGTACCTTTGGCAAGACTCCACTGGAAGAAAAAAAGCATGCTTAAAAGTCAGCAAGTTTTGGCCACATGCAGTGTCTCACTCCTGTAATCCCAGCACTTTAGGAGGCCAAGTTAGTATCATCTGGGCCCAGGAGTTCAAGACCAGCCTGGACAGCATGGCAAGACCCCATCTCATTAAGAAAAAAAAAACATCAAGTTTAAAATCACAGACATGAAAATCAGTGTTTATGAAAAAAACAATAATACAGAAGTTCCAAGATACATAATATATTATAAAAAGCTTAAAATGCTTGAAATAATGGCCCATGTCCCCAGAGGAACAAATTGCCCTTTGAATTTCCCAGCTCTTAAAATGATTGTATGACTTCATCTCTATTTTAAATTTTTTTGATTTAGAATGCAAACACTCCTTCTTTCTGTGTCATAGTTCTTGTTTGTTATTTGTGGCCAGGTGCAATGGCTCATGCATGGCCAAGATGGGTGGAGGCCAGGAGTTTGAGATGAGCCTGGCCAACATGGTAAAACACCATCTCTACTCAAAATACAAAAAAGTTAGCTGGGCATGGTGGCCCATCCCTGTACTGCCAGCTATTTTGGAATGCTGAGGCACAAGAATTGCTTGAACCCAGGAGGCAGAGGTTGCAGTGAGCAGAGATCGCACCACTGCACTCCAGCTGGGTGACAGAGCAAGACTGTTTCAGAAAAAGAAAAGATATTTGTTTAGTAACTGTTACTGTGTTAGTTAGATTATCATGAGGAAGGCTTGGTTCACCTTTCTACCTTCTGGTCCAATCACAGGAAACACCACTGCCTGTGCACTGAGATACCTGGTTCTAAATTCCAGACCAGCACTTATGCTGACTTTAGGCAATTTACCTAACGTGGTTCCTGTCCTACCTGCCTTATCAGGTAATTGTAATTAAATTTATCAAATGAGAGAAGTTAACATATATGGTAAAGAGTAAAGCCTTATATAAGTTGGTACTGTATGTATAAATACAAGCAGAGTATGTTTACTCTAAGTAAGAATTCGTGGTAGAAATCATGGGGATAGCATTCCTTGGGTTTTATGTGATTTTCTAAAATGACAGAAAACAAGGTTGCAGGCTAAGTATTGTGTGATAGCTTTTGGAATATGAGCCTGTTTGCATTTACCTAATTTCAAAAAAAAATTTCTTTTCACCTCATAGAGATAGGGTCTTACTATGTTGCCTAGGCTGCTCTAGAACTCCTGGCCTCAAGTGATCCTCCCACCTCAGCCTCCCCAAGTGCTGAGATTACAGGAACAAGTCACCACACCCAGCCAATTAATTTGAAATTATATTTAAATTTATTAGCAAATAATATAAACATAATCCCTGAGACAGTGTTGTTGACCTAAAAGGAAGAAGCTGAGGCAAAAATCAATATAAGGAGAGTTTAGTTGGGCCAAGCTTGGGGACTGCAACCCTGGAGCATAAACTCAGTTACCAGGAATATACCCTCCAATAAGTAGCATTTACAAGTGGATTTTTAAAGAGGCAATTCCAGAGTTTATCAAGATTTAACACTAAAATAGCACAAGCTGTTGATTGACTATAATTGTTCTTTGTCCACAAATTCCAGGAATGTAAAGATAATGGATGAGGCCACCCAGGAACAGTTGCCCCCAGGCAGGCATGGCTGGGAGGTGTGACTGAAGTCCTATACTCTTGTCTCTCTGGGCCTCTCATAGCTCAGAGCAGTGCCTATTTAAATATAAAGGTACCTCACAATTAGAGTGTAAAGTAATTTTTGGATTATCCTAAATCTTCAAAGTACTCTCATTTGTTGTCCAAATACTGAAGACAGAAGTCTAATTTCTAATAACTAGACCTCCAGCTTCCAGTCCACATGTAAAGAGCTTGGAAGTTGTAGCCTGGGTGCTATGGCTCACACCTGTAGTCCCAGCACTTTGGGATGCCAAGGCGAGTGGATCACGAGGTCAACAGATCAATACCATCCTGGCCAACATGGTGAAACCCTATCTCTACTAAAAATACAAAAATTAGCTGGGTGTGGTGGTGGTCGCCTGTATTCCCAGCTACCAGGAGGCTGAAGCAGGAGAATCGTTTGAACCCTGGAGGCAGAAGTTGCAGTGATTTGAGATTGTGCCACTGCACTCCAGCCTGGTGACAGAGCAAGACTTCGCCTCAGAAAAACAAAAAATAAATAAAAATGAAAAAAGACACACAAAAACTTGGAAGTTGTCAGTCCTGTCCTCACAACAACAACTAAAAGGAGCTAAAGAACTCAGAATACAGGCTGGGCGCGGTGGCTCACGCCTATAATCCCAGCACTTTGGGAGGCTGAGGTGGGTGGATCATGAGGTCAAGAGATCAAGACCATCCTGGTCAACATGGTGAAATCCTGTCTCTACTAAAAATACAAAACTTAGCTGGGCATGGTGGTGCAGCCTGTAGTCCCAGCTACTCGGGAGGCTGAGGCAGGAGAATTGCTTGAACCCAGGAGGCGGGGGTTGCAGTGAGCCGAGATCGCACCATTGCGCTCCAGCCTGGGTAATATGAGCGAAACTCCATCTCAAAAAAAAAAAAAAAAACTCAGAATCCATCACAGAATTGAAGTGGCAGGGTAAACTGTCATCCCAAAAGCTGAAATGATAGGCTGCTACAAAGAATCAAGGCTTATCAGAAACAGGAATTGCCTGCATGGAGAAGGGATACTTAAGGGTATTGGATTAGTTGCTAGAGATAGAATGTGGACTAGCTTTAGAATTTAATACCTTTGGGCTTGCTCACTGGTATGAGTTTTGCCTCTAGGAGCCCACTAGATTCTTGCAATGAAGACCTGATTAAAAAAAAATATATATATCCTTATTCTGGCCAGGCATGGTTGCTCACACCTGTAATCCCAGCACTTTAGGAGGCCACAGCAGATGGATCATTTGAGGTCAGGAGTTCGAGATGAGCCTGGCCAACATGGTGAAACCCCATCTCTACTGAAATTTTAAAAATTAGCCAGCATAATGGTGCATGACTGTAATCCCAGCTACCCAAGTGCCTGAGGCAGAAGAATTGCTGGAACCCAGGAGGCGGAGGCTGCAGTGAGCTGAGTTCACACCACTGCACTCCAGCCTGGGTGACAGAGGCTCCTTTCAAAAAAAAATTATCAAGGGTGCTAAGAAGCAAAATACATAGACTGAAGAGACAGGGCAAGCATCAAAACCAGACTCAGATATAGTAGAGGTTTTGGAATTATTCAGACCAGAAACTTAAGGGCTTTAATGGAAAAAGTGGACAACATACAAGAACAGATAGGTAATGTAAGAATAGAGACCAAAACTCAAAGAAAGAAAAGATAATACCGGAAATAAGTGTAACAGAAATGAATGCCTTTGGTAGGCTCATTAATACACTGGACACAGCTGAGGAAAGAATCAGTGAGCTTGAAGATATGTCAGTAGAAACTTCCCAAGCTGAAAATCAGAGAAAAAAGACTAGGGACAAAGTAGGGGTAACGGGTAGGGACCACCAGGGAAAGGAACAGAATATCCAGGTAATAGAGACAGTAACAAAAGGCAAATCATATGCATAATGGTAATACCAGATGAAGAAAGAAGAAATATTTGTAGTAATAATGGCTGGAGATTTTACAGAATAATTGACAGGAAACCTTAGGTCCAAGAAGCTCAAAGAACACTAAGGATAAATACTCAAAGAACACTAAGGATAAATACTCTGAAATGACAAAGAGAAAATCTTTGTCATTTCAGAGAATAAAAAAATAAAAACCCACCTTACAACAAAAAGTCAAACTCTGTAAAACAAACAGATTTATTCTGAGCCAAATATGAGTGACCATGGCCTGAGTCACAGTCTCAGGAAGTCCTGAGAAAATGTGCCCAAGATAGTTGGGTTACAGCTTGATTTTATACATTTTAGGGAGACAGAAGTTACAAGGAAACATCAATTAATACATGTAAGGTCTACATTCATTCGTTCCAGAAAGATGGGACAACTTGAAGTAAAGCCTTTCAGGTCATGGGCAGATTCAAAAGCTTTTTTGACTAGTAATGGGTTGAAAGTTATTATCTAAAGGTCTGGAATCAGTGTTGAAAGGAGTGTCTAGCTTTAGATAAGGGACTGTGGAGACTAAGTTCTTATGTAGATGAAGGCTCCAGGTAGCAGGCTTCAGGGAGAATAGACGTAAATGTCTCTTATCAGATAGATACCATATTCTTAGTTGAATCTCCTGGATCAGAAAAAGACCTGGAAAGAGGATATTCACTACAGAATGGAGATTTTCTCCAAAAGAGATGACTTTTCAGGGCCATTTCAAAATATGTCAGAGAAATATATTTTGAGATAAAATACTCTGATTTATTTCAGGGTCTGTTATCTGTCATGTGATACTATACTAGAGTTGGGTTGGAATTTGGTATCTTATTTCTACAGGGATTTCATTTTATCAGTCTTAAGATCTCTGTTTTAATGTTAATATGGGTAAGTTGTGCCTGAATTCTTTTTTTTTTCCTAGGCGGGGAATTTGGGGGGAAGGATAGGGGGAGGAGAGCTCCTGAATTTTTAAGGGAGGAGAATATAATGAGGTATGTCCAATCCCCACTTCCTATCATGGCCTGAACTAGTTTTTCAGGTTTACTTTGGAATTCTCCCGGCGTAGAGGAGTCCATTCAGTTGGCTGGGGGAGCTTAGAATTTTATGGTTGGTTTATATTACCTATAGAGGAACAAGGATAAAAATTACATTGGACTTCTCTTCAGAAACCATGTAAGTAAGAAAAGTGTGGAATGAAATAAGCACCGTGTTAAAAGAAAAAAAAAAAAAAAACAGCAACCTAGAATTCTGTATCCAGCCAAATTTCCTTCAAACATGAAGAATAAATTTTTTTTTTTTTTGAGACGGAGTTTCGCTTTTGTTACCCAGACTGGAGTGCGATGGCACTATCTCGGCTCACCGCAACCTCCGCCTTCTGGGTTCAAGCAATTCTCCTGCCTCAGCCTCCCGAGTAGCTGGGACTACAGGCACGCGCCACCATACCCAGCTAATTTTTGTATTTTTAGTAGAGACGGGGTTTCACTTTGTTGACCAGGATGGTCTCAATCTGTTGACCTCGTGATCCACCCGCCTCAGCCTCCCAAAGTGCTGGGATTACAGGCGTGAGCCACCGTGCCCGGCCTGAGAATAACTTTTTTACACACAAAAAAATTGAGGAAATTTATTGCCAATAGACCTTAGTTAGAACATTAAGAAAGGTTAAAAGAAGTTCTGCAGAGAGAAGGAAAATGATATAGAAAATCAAACTGATGTAAAGAAAGGAAGGGTGTTTGAGAAGGAATACACGAAGGTAGAATAATCTAATAATCAAAAACTGGAATCACCATAGAATGTCTTCTACCAAACCAGCATGTTTAGAATTGAGTTTGGTGGCTAGTTTCTTTCCATCATTGTAGCTCTCTTTTCTTGCTACTAACCAAAAAAACAAGATCAAAGAAAACAAAAATGTCATGACAGTGAGAAAAGGGACACATTGTGTGATTTGATTTTCATTTAAGATCTAGTTTAGGTGAAGATGGAGGTGAGGGGACTGATTTCTTCCACCCACCCTGCTATCCTGTGCCTTTGAGGAACATTTATTTAAATATTCATTGAAATAACAAATCAATTTTTATTACATTTATTGGAGTTGAACAAATTAGTTAATTCCCTCCCTTTGATTGCTGTTGGTTGAGTCACTCTGTCATTAATACTGAAAATCAAACTTATGTAAAGAAAGGAAGAATGTTTGAGAATAGAATTTTATTCTGTTAATTGTTTAGTTATTTAATTCTATTATTTTATTCATAGTTTGATGAACAGTTTTCTAAAGCAGAGATTATTAGCACACTGTGGCCCTCCCCTGTTTTTGTAAATGAGGTTTAATTGGAACATAGTCATGTTTGTTCATTTAGATCTTGTACTGTTTATGAATAGTGTTTTACTTGTTACGTGTTGTGTCATTGATATAGCTGCTTTTGTTATACGATAGCAAAGTTGGGTAGTTATCACAGGCATCATTTGGCCAGCAAAATCTGAAATATTTACTACATGAACCTCTATAGAAAAGTCTGCCCATCCTTGTTCTAAAGCAGTAAAGGGGATACTAATTTATAAAAATCAGCATCCTTCCATCTTTTTTTCTTATGCTACTCTGAGCATTGTACAAACTAAGTAGTGTAAGGTCATTTTAAAAACTGACCTCAATAACTGTCTGAGGATAATAAATTGGTTGTCTTTTTCTTACAGTTGAGCAGATCATTGGTGTTAAAATCCCACAACACTTGGAGCTTACGAAAGTAGAAAAGTGGCCAGGTGTTGTGGCTCATGCCTGTAATCACAGCACTTTGGGAGGCTGAGGCAGGTGGACCACTTGAGATCAGTCGTTTGAGACCAACCTGGCCAACATGGTGAAACCCTGTCTCTAATAAAAATACAAAAATTAGCTGATTGTGGTGGCGAGTGCCTGTAATCCCACTACTTGGGAGGCTGAGGCAGGAGAATTGCTTGGAGGTGGAGGTTGCAGTGAGCCCAGATTGTACCACAACAATCCAGCCTGGGCAGCAGTGAGTGAGACTCCCTCTCAAAAAAAAAAAAAAAAAGAGTGACCAACCTTCAGAATGCTTGCTTATGTGGAGTTTGTGGTTCTGGCAGGAACAATTTATTTGTCCCATTCTACCCAGCAGCTGGCTAGAATGTGAACATGGTGATAAAATATCCTACAGTATCCAGGAGGGAGTTGTTTGTAACTTTTCAGTCCAATGCATAGATTTATCTCAAACCTACTGTGTCATTGTACTGAATGTGGTGCTACAGGATGAGTAAGACAGTCATTGCTTGTAAGGTGTTCACAGGTTTAGGATAATTAACTGCTGTTTACCTTAAAGAGAAACTTATTTCTTCATCACAGCAATGAAGTTGGGCTACATCTTGGACCCTAATCAAATATCTGTTTACTTCTGATAGAGTCTATAAAATCAAAAACAAAATTAGAAGCACATATAAATTTCTTTTAAATAAAAAATCTCACTACGAATCATTTTATACCCATAATATGCAAATGTTAACTAAAACACAGTTCAAGTATGAAGAAGTTAATGTTTTCACTGTTTATGAAACAGGCTTTCTTAGAATATTGACGAAGAAAACTATACTTAAGGAAAAAATACTTTTTTTCAAAGTTTTAAAACTACTGAATTTATAGTTTTAGTTGTAAGTGCTTTCCTTTGTTGGTGGGGGGCAGTAAATGCTTTCCTAATATCAAAAACAAAGTTGGGGGTTGGGGGATAAGAAAGAAGGGAGCTATTGGCCAGGCTTATGCCTGTAATCCCAGCACTTTGGGAGGCCGAGGCGGGTGGATCACGAGGTCAAGAGATCAAGACCATCCTGGCCAACATGGTGAAACACCATCTCTACTAAACATACACAAATTAGCTGGGCATGGTGGCGCGTGCCTGTAATCCCAGCTACTTGGGAGGCTGAGGCAGGAGAATTGCTTGAACCCAGGAGGCGGAGGTTGCAGTGAGCCGATATCACGCCATTGCACTCCAGCATGGTGGCTGGCAACGGAGCAAGACTCTGTCCCAAACAAAAAGAAGGGAGCGATTAAGCAAAAGAAGTGATCAGGCTCCGTGGCTCATGCCTTTAATCCCAGCACTTTAGGAGGCTGAAGCAGGTGGATCACCTGAGCTCAGGAGTTGGAGACCAGTCTGGCCAACATGGTGAAACCCTGTCTTTAGTAAAAATATTAAAAAATTAGCCAGGCGTGTTGGTGCGCACCTGTAGTCCCAGCTACTTGGGAGGCTGAGGCAGGAGAATTGATTGGAGGCGGAAGTTGCAGGGAGCTGAGATCGTGCCCCTGCACTCCAGCCTGGGCAACAGAGTGAGACTCCATCTCAAAAAGAAAAAAGAAAAGGAAAAGAAGTGAATGAATTGGTACAGAATAGAAGTCAAGCCTTTATATTGACCTAGTCATGGGGATGATCTCTTAGTATGAACTGTGATTGAGAGAGAGTTTTGTAGACTCTGAGAATTCCAAGAATTTGGATCTTTGCAATCCAATGAACCTCAATTATCTTTCCCTACAAAATGTGCAGGCGAAAATTATGACAAAACAACTTCATCTTGCTTCCCCAGTTTGACCAAATAAAACTAACATTTCTAATCAATTGATTCTTTAATTCAACATAACTCACACCCTGAGCTCCTCTTATGTGCCAGACACAAGAAGGCAAGTAAATCATAGCTCCAACATGATGGAGCTCCTAGTTTCATGAATAAAGGATTGCAGTAGAATGTAACAGGGTTATTCAGGATGCAAAATCCCTAGGAAGAAGCCGCTCACAGATGGAAATGCTGGGGGAAACTTTGCAAAGGAGATGATGATTGACCTAGATTTTTATAGAATGAATAGGAGTTTAGCCAGTGGAATAGGAAAGGCAATTTCAAAGAAGAAAGAGTATGTGCAAAGCACAGATGTGTGAGGAGAGGTTAACATTAGACAATCATGAGTAGATCTGTGTGGTATGGTTATAAGGAAGTCGGAAACTGTAAGTGATAAGGGAGGGTGGGGCCAGATGATATTCTGTAGGTTAACAGGTAGCTAATACAGGCCTTCTACAGCTTCTTCAGATACCATCAGTGGGCAGAATCCTGCACCAGGTACCATATGCAGGGAGATAGAAAACAAGTAGAACACATGGCCCCTTTCCTCAAAGGGCATCGTAATCACAGTAATAAAGGAGCAAAGAATGCTGAAAAGTTATGGGATCGGGGCAAGCTCACTGTGCCTCTTTTTATAAAGCAATCTTGCAGATAAGAATGTGAAATGGAAGAGCATGGTAGTGCCTGGCACAGAGCAGGCATTCCACAAATGGTAGCTGCCTTGGGATCTGTAGGTCTTCTTTTGCCAATGACTGGAGGTTGTATTCATGAGCATGAGATACAGCAAGTTCCTAAGAATACATACAGGGCATCCCCAGATGATTCTCTGTATATCTGACAGACGATCCTTCATATTGATGTTTTGCTTCATCTAGGGGAAAAAAGTACTTTTAGGCAAACTAAAATTGTGACATTTTTATTCAGAAAAGAAATATATAAAAATATTTTATGGCACTTGATATAGGGCTTGGTATTTTCATGTTATAATAGAAAGTCTCAAGTTTCTGGGCCAGGTGTGGTGGCTCACACCTGTAATCCTAGCACTTTGGGAGGCCAAGGTGGGTGGATAGCTTGAGCTCAAGATTTCAAGAACAGCCTCAGCAACGTGGTGAAAACCTGTCTCTACGGAAAAAAAAAAAAAAAGCCAAGCATGGTGGTGTGTGCCTATGGTCCCAGCTACTTGGGGGCTGAGATGGGAGGATTGCTTGTACCATGGAGGCAGAGGTTGCAGTGAGCCGAGATAGCACCACTATACTCAAACCTTGGTAACAGAGCCAGAACCTGTCTCAAAAAAAAAAAAAAAAACAATCCAGTATTTTGTACCCAGTGTTTTAAAACAAAGGCAAGAGACAAAACCATGCAAAAAAGTATCTTCACGGAAAAAATATGTTAGTAGTTTACATTCAGCCCAGATGTCTGTTTAAAGTATGCACAATAAAATGATATTTTCAGAACGATAGTACTGTACTCCAAAGTACTTAATTACTTCCTCAGAGAATAATTATGACCATTGCACTCACTAAGGCAGGAAAGCTAATTAATGCATTGAAAGTACTTTCAGAGGCCGGGCATGGTGGCTCACGCCTGTAATCCCAGCACTTTGGGAGGCCGAGGCGGGTGGATCACGAGGTCAAGAGATCGAGACCATCCTGATCAACATGGTGAAACCCCGTCTCTACTAAAAAAAATACAAAAAAATTAGCTGGGCATAGTGGCGAGTGCCTGTAATCCCAGCTACTCAGGAGGCTGAGGCAGGAGAATTGCCTGAACCCAGGAGGCGGAGGTTGCGGTGAGCCGAGACCGTGCCATTGCACTCCAGCCTGGGTAACAAGAGTGAAACTCCGTCTAAAAAAAAAAAAAAGAAAGTACTTTCAGAAACAAAGGATTTTTTTTTTTTTGCCTTTTAGTTATGTAAAAAAAAATCAGTCCAAGTATTTCATTCTTCAAACTTACATAAAAATTTTATTATAGGCTGGGTACAGTGGCTCATGCCTGTAATCACAGCACTTTGTGAGGCTGAGGTGGGTGGATCACAAGGTTAGGAGATCAAGACCATCCTAGCCAACATGGTGAATACATGTCTCTACTAAAAATACAAAAAATAGCTGAGCGTGATGGTGCATGCATGTAGTCCCAGCTACTTGGGAGGCAGAAGCAGGAGAATTGCTTGAATGCAGGATGCAGAGGTTGCAGTGAGCGGAGATCTCACCACTGTACTCCAGCCTGGTGACAGAGCGAGACTCCATCTCAAAAAAAAAAAATTGTACAAAGATCTGAAAACATTGTCTCATGTTGCTTGGCTTAGAATAGATACCCTTAGTGTTGAAAATCACTGAACACAACTATTGATTTAGCATTAAAAGGATGAAAGACTTCAAAGCAAAGAACACCACAAGAAGATAAGGTATCTAGGATCTCTGAGTGGGAGTACCACAGAAGCACTGTAACACTTTTAAGGACACAGATTCTTATCAGCAACCAACCTGATCTATATAACCTTTATATTTTTTGATTTGGTCAATTGCAGTGGTCAAATCCCCACGGTCAACATGCTCAGCAGGAGTATGAAGCCTGACAGCATAGAGAAGATTAAGGTATTCTTCAAATCTTCGTGATGGGTACAGCAGCAGCTCTGGCAGACTATACAAGGCATAGAGAAGAGAACTCTGGTCTCTGAAGGCCCAGGAATACCCTGTCTGGGGGAGGGGCGGGGGAGACCTACTCTGCTCTTCCTCAGAACATACCTCAGCATTTTTGTAGCAATGGTCTTATCATGCCTCTTCAGGAAAGTTCGGAAGGCTGGTATCATTTCTCTGCACTAAAAGGTGAGGATTATATTGTCAAAACTTTATGATAGAGTTGTAAAGTCCACTGTTTGACTGAGCAAGTGTGATCTATGAAATTCATGAAGCAAAAGGGCAGCATCTATGTCTAACCAGTTAAACTATTATTAGTGCCATTGGTGTCTTCCTAATAAGAATGTGTGTTAATTATGCATAGACCTGACCCTATCCATTGAACTTAATCAGCATAGACAAATAAGAATGTACTTTACAAACAGGTGGCCCTGGATTTGAATTAGAATACATTGAGTATATAACCTTGTCAAATTACTTAACTTTTCTGAGCCTCAGCTTTCTCTTCTGTAACATGAATACCATCTCTAATGCTTGTGGTGTGGGGAAAAAAAATCCTACCCATAAAGTGCCTGTCACACAATAAATGTTATTTCAGTGTAGTAAGATCTTAACTATTAATGGTGTTTGCTTTTAATATTTCTGTTATGTTTTCCATAGTAATGTTTATTATACAGGTGTTTCACTGTACTTAATATCTGTTTTGGTTTGTTTGTTTTTGAGACAGAGTCCTTGCTCTGTCACCCAGGCTGGAGTGCAGTAGTGTGATCTTGGCTCACTGCAACCGCTGCCTCCCAAGTTTAAGTGATTATCCTGCCTCAGCCTCCCAAGTAGGTGGGATTACAGGTGCCCACCGCCATGCCTGGCTAATTTTGTATTTTTAGTAAGACAGGGTTTTGCCATGTTGGCCAGGCTAGTCTCGAACTCCTGACCTCAGGTGATCTGCCTGCTTCAGCATCCCAAAGTGCTGGGATGACAGGCGTGAGCCACCACCAAACCCAGCCTTAATATCTATCTTTTATTTTTATTTTCTTTGGTGCTGTGACTCAGATATGCTTAATATCTATTTTAAAAGGTATTCATTTATCACTATTAGAACACCTCTGAAGTTACCTTTTTTCCCATGCTTAAAAGATGTCGACAATGCTAACTTCTAGAAATCAAATATTCACTGATTTCATTCTCAGACTTTTGGCTAAGACCAAGTAAATATTCATGGATTAGACTAAGTAAATATTCATGGATTTCAGTCATATTAATAGCTAACATTGGCTGGCATGGTGGTTTACCTCTATAATCCCAGCACTTTAGGAGGCAGAGTTAGATGGATTGCTTGAGCCTAGGAGTTTAAGACCAGCCTGGGCAACCTGATGAAATCCTGTCTCTACAAGAAAATACAAAAAAAATTAGCCGGGTGTAGTGGCAAACACAGGTAGTCCTATCTACGTGGGAGGCTGAGGTGGGAGGATAACCTAAGTCTGGGGAAGTCAAGGCTGCAGTGAGCTGTGATCACACCACTGCACTTCAGCCTAGGTGACAGAGGGAGACCATGTCTCAAAAAAAAAACCCACAGCCAAATAGCTAACATTTAAGCTAAGTACTTACTTGTATGCACATGCTGTGCTAGTGAAATAGGCATCATTATCTATAGCTATAAAAATTCGGGCGTCAATTTGTCCCTGATACCATGTGATGCTTTGCTCCAATTCTTGTCTTCGAAGTAAGTTGTAAGAAATTACCTTATTTATCTAACTTTTTAATCTTGAAGTTGTCCAGCAGTGACTAGACTCCCTGGGTAGGGTAGAAGGAATACTACAAAGGAAGCTGTCCAAGGGCAGAGCCCTCCAGAGGCCTCCCAGCCCGCAGGCCTTTCCTGCAGGGCCTCAGTGAAGACAAGGTCACAGTGGACTCTGGCAGAAGTGGGCTGCCATGTGACAAGGTAGCCTTTTCTAGGCTTTTGATATCAACTGAGGAGGGAAGAAAGAGGGATTTTATTCCCATCAGAAGATATCCCAACAAGAGCAGCAAGTGGTAGAGAAGGGAATTGCATATTCCTGCTCAGATTAAATAATGGCAGAAATTAGCCAGGCATGGTGGCTCACACCTATAATCCCAACACTTTGGGAGGCCAAGGCGGGTGGATCACCTGAGGTCAGGAGTTCAAGACCAGCTTCACCAACATGGAGAAACCCTGTCTCTACTAATAATACAAAAATTAGCTGGGCATGGTAGCATATGCCTGTAATCCCAACTACTTGGGAGGCTGAGGCACGAGAATTGCTTGAACTCGGGAGGCGGAGGTTGTGGTAAGCTGATCGCACCATTGCACTCCAGCCTGGGCAATAAGAGTGAAACTTCAATTCAAAAATAAATAATAAATAAATAATGGCAGAAATCGCAACAAAGAAAACTGTTAATAATTTACTCTCTAGGAAATGTAAGACCAAGACACTTCTTACTTCATAGTGACACTTCATAAATTGATTGTTCTTTCAATAAATATGTGGATAATTCATTTATTTTCTACATGAGAGAGTGAACTTGTCCTCTGAGGGCTCCTGTCCTCAGAGGTCACAGTATATGGGAAGAGAGCTGGGAGCTAAGAGCAGAGAAGCCTTTCTTATTAACGCTAGTCTTTTGGGTCCCACACATAACTTCGTTTCTAGCTCAGATCTCATAGAATGATGGGATTGAAACTCATTTACCTTGTCAATAGTTTTCAGAACGACAGGGTAATTGTTGAAGAAATTGGTGTATGTGTTCAACTGGCTTCCAAACTTTGTGACTATTTCTCCAATACAGTGAGCTGGGCCCCATTCCTGCAGTCTGTCTCTCAGGTTATCTAGAAACTGCCTGCGGTATGAGAAAAGCATAAGTATAAAATATTAATTTGTGATAACTTATAAACCCAAATGTCCATTGTCATTAGTGCAAGCATTTTCAGCTTAGTCCTTTACAGGAGGGTTTTGGTCAAGTCATTCCTTCTTAACACAGAGAAATGCAGATTTGACAGGAAAGGGCAACTGGGACATAAAGGAGTAGGTTGGCTGGGTAGAATCTCACCTCTTCACCTCTCCTTGGGTCAGAACCACACACTGGCCACAATACAGCTGCTGCCTAATGTCCCATTCTCTTGTCTCCAGAGAGGCAGGTGGGTGAAAGCTCTTACAGTATTTAGAGCAGAGTGCGCCACTGTCTTCAACAGCTGAATGCCATAACCCCTGCTTGGCCCATTTCCCCATAGCTCTAAGAAAATCCCCCATTCATCCATCACAGGCTGTGAACATTGGAAGAGGCCTAGTTCAATCTCTTCACTTGGTAGGAGCTGGGACCCACTGAGAAGAAGGAACTTGTTCCAAGTTACCTAGAGAATTACCATCCGAGAAGCACATACTCAGGTTGCCTTCCTTTACCACAGGGAGAAATGATCACTTTTTCTCTCATGTTATGAACTTGAAAATACGCTGTTATTGGCTGGGTGCGGTGGCTCAAGCCTGTAATCCCAGCACTTTGGGAGGCCGAGGCAGGCAGATCAGATCACAAGGTCAAGAGATCGAGACCATCCTGGCCAACATGGTGAAACCCTGTCTCTACTGAAAATACAAAAAAAAAAAATTAGCTGGGCATGGTGGCATGCTTCTGTAGTCCCAGCTACTTGGGAGGCTGAGGCAGGAGAATTGCTTGAACCCGGGAGGCAGAGGTTGTAGTGAGCCAAGATTGCGCCACTCCACTCCAGCCTGGCACCTGGTGACAGAACAAGACTCTGTCTCAAAAAAAAAAAAATACGTTGTTATTAAACTGACCCCCCAGCCTTGGGCTTTCTAAGCTATGTGTCCTGGTGGCTTAATCCCGTTAAATCTTTCAGGTTTTTTTCCCATTGCTTAACTGAACATTGCTGATTAAGAATGAACATATGGCTTTCCTCCTTCCTGCTGTCTTTTGCATGAAGAGTCTATTGGTTACAGCAAGGGTTCCCAACCCCCAGGCCATGGACCGGTACTGGTCCATGACCTGTTAGGAACCAGGCTGCATAGCAGGAGGTGAGTGGCAGTTGAGTGAGCAAAGCTTCATTTATATATATATATATATATATATATATATTTTTTTTTTTTTAATCCAGTCTCAGGTAGTCTGTTATAGCAGCTTCACTGATACTTACAACCACTCCCTATTACTTGCATTACTGCTTGAGCTCCACCTCCTGTCAGATCAGCAGTGGCATTAGATTCTCACAGGAGTGTAAACACTATTGTGAACTGCACATTCGAGGGATCTAGGTTGGTTGTGTGCTCCTTATGAGAATCTAATGCCTGATGATCTGTCACTGTCTCCCACCACCCCAAGATGAGATCATCTAGTTGCAGGAGAACAGGCTCAGGGCTCCCACTAGTTTACATTATGATGAGTTGTATAATTATTTCATTATATAGTACAATATAATAATAATAGAAATAAAGTACACAATAAACATAATGTGCTTGAATCATCCTGAAACCATTCTCCCCAGCCCTGGTCTGTGTAAATATTGTCTTCCACGAAACTGGCTCCTAGTGCCAAAAAGGTTGGGAACCACTGGGTTATAAAATGCCTAGGTCCTGAACTCCACTCCCTGCACCATGGCTATGAACGGGGGAAGGGCTGTCCTTGGGAATCAATACTGGTCGCAGCCCAGTAGGTAATGTAATGAGTATCTCTCCACTGTATTCAGGGTCCCCAAGAGGGGCAGAGAATCACTGCACCTCCAGGCTGCTTTTGAAACAACAAAGCATGGGCTTCTCAGAGCACAGTGAATATTTTTAAAAGTATATATTCAGAGTTTACCTGTTGAGACTTAAAATTCGCAGAATATCAGAGAAGAGGATCTGGATATTGGCAGCACTCAGAATTGCTCTGTTTGATGACAGTGCTGCTTTCAGTGGTGTGACATAAACATCTCTCACAATTTCCAGCATCTGTACATATTTTCTCTCACTCTGTAAGAGTTCCCTGACAACTCTAGTTCGCTTTTCATCTGAGTCTCTCTGGAGCATTCTCTCCTGTAGAGAAGCATTAAGAACTCAGAAGAAGCACAGTGATTCTTCTCAGGCTTACAGCCTCAAGAAGCCTGAGAGTCAGTGACAGAGAAGTGGAAGTGCTGAGCAGTCAGGCAGCTCCATGGAGATCCCCTTTTGCTGGTTTGTGCTATGCAGGGACTTCACAGGGGGCTGTGGAGGACCCTGCTGTTCATCACTTGTCCCCAGGATCACCAAAGAGCCCCTCCCATCAGGACAGCCTGATGCCCAAGTAGAGAGGAGATTTTTAATCTTGGATCTAAAGGAAGGCAGTTTGAAACTTTATTTTTATCCATCTGTCCATGCAAATCCATATTAGGTATCTTATGCTGGTGCTGGCCATGTAATGATGGGAACAAGATGGAGTCCTGTCTTCATGGAGGGTGCAGCCTAGTGAGGAAGCCTTTGGCTTGTCTACCCTTGTTTGTTTTCCTATTTCTTTTTCCCAATAGTGTTTTATTGATTATCCTGCAGACAGAAGAACTGAAATGAGCTAGCCCTCTGCTACAGTTTGAATGGTTCCCTTCTAAAATTCAGGTGTTGCCAATGTGATAGTATTAAGAAGTGGAGCCGTGAAAAGGTGACTGGGTCATGAGGACTCCTCCTTCATGAATGGGATCAGGTATCCTTATAAAGGGGCTTGGCAGAGGCAGTTGGTCCTCTCTTGCCTTCCACCATGTGAGGACTCCAAGAGAAGGCCCTTGACAGATGCCAGCACCTTGATCTTGGACTTCCCAGACTCCATAGAGAATTTCTGTTCTTTGTAAATTACCCAGTCTCAAGTATTCTGTTGCAACAGCAAGAACCAGTGAAGATGCCTTCTTATTATTAGCTAATTTGCTTCCCCAACTGACATATGAAAAAACTGAAGCATATGCTCTTCTTTCAGTATTAGGATCTAACTTCAGTATTGAGGATTGGCTTTGAGCTGTAAGCCCATCTCTCCTGTCTAGCCGGGTTGCCAGTTGTGCCACTTTCCTATGTTTCCAACTCTCGTTTTATTTTTTAATGCAGAGGCAAAAACCATACACTGGCCTAAAGAAATTCCATACCCTGATGTTGTGTGTGTTATGTTCATATAGAGAGATAAATTCATTTTTATTGCTGGTACTAGGTAATTTTTTTCTTTTATCTGTATATTTCAAAAGCTATACAATGAGCATCTTTATACCAGAAAATTTATAATACCTAAGTTTTAAAAACATAATATCCTTCAATTTGAGCCTAGAATAATTAATATTTTCCCTCCAGCCCTAAGTATACCCCACACTGCTCCCAGTAAAATATGACAATACTGCTTCTGCCACTCCTGGTGCTACTTGTGTGTTCATTCAGTGTGGACCTGAGGCGACTCCATCACTCAACTTGGTGAACAAAAAGCTCGAGGAAGGAGTCAGAACTGCCCACATTAATTTTAAGGTGGCTCCTTGGTGCAATTTAAGATTAACAGACAACATCACTTAGTAAATGAATGAAAGCCTATCGGGAATAACAGGGCTTGTCAATGAGGCAGATCAGATTCCAATTTGTCAGATGGCCAATCAATGAAACAGACACACCTGCAGAGTTAGAAGTGGAGGCTGGAGATACAATTGATGTGTTTCAGCAGCAGACAGGAGGGGTCCACTAAAAAGAGAACCTGCTACTCTAGGCCACAGGCTCTTCTAACAGATCAAGAGTGCATTCTCAACTAGAGACTGCTATTTGGCTCCACTACATCCTATCTACTACAGTATAGTTCTCTCTATTCTTTCATTTCCTTCCCTATTCCTTCATTGTATATAAGGTAACTGATGAATGTGCACAAGCATATTAAAAAAAGTAGTGGCCAATGATATGTGTTGATCAACATCAAACGGAGATTAGAAGGGGAAAAATGCTTCTGTGAAAAGACCTCCTTGTCCAGGCACAGTGGCTCATGCCTGTGATCTCAGCACTTTGGGAGGCCAAGGCGGGCAGATCATTTGAGGTCAGGAGTTTGAGACCCGCCTGACCAACATGGTGAAATCCTATCTCTACTAAAAATACAAAACTTAGCTGGGCATGGTAGCACACACCTGTAATCCCAGCTACTCAGGAGGCTGAGGCAGGAGAATCACTTGAACCTGGGAGGCGGAGGTTGCAGTGAGCTGAGATCATGCCACTGCACTCCAGCCAGGGGCAACAGAGTGAGACTCCCTCTCAAAAAAAAAAAAAGAAAAAAGCCTCCTTTCTCCCTCCATGGCATACTGATTCAGCTGTTATCTTTACATTCCAATCTGTTATTTTGCTCTCACTGTTTTAACAACAGCAATACTATATCCGCATATATAAATCCTTGCATACCTTTTTCGACTGGAGAATGCTCATGTTTCTCATTTATCATGGTAACACAAAGGGCAATTTTATAGCATTTTCATACACCTCCTATATGTAGGGCAATCTGTCTTTAAGTGAGGATCAATTAGTTGATAAAAATGATTCCCAGATAGTTTTTCCTTCAAGTAAAACACCCTGTTGTTTAAATAAGTGTCTTGTTTAAAATGAAAAAAATGTGTAATGCTATGTGAGCTTCACCAAGATGAATTAACCATAATTTCATTCACTGGAATTATAATGTAAAAATAAGAGGCAAATAAGAACTCACTGTATTTGAAATGTTATAAATGCACTCTTCTTTTTCTTTCTTTTTTTTTGAGACAGGATATCCCTCTGTCACCCAGGCTGAAGTGCAGTGGTACAATCATAGTTCACTGCAGCCTCAACCTCCTGGGCTCAAGCAATCCTTCTGCCTCGGCCACCAGAATAGCCACCACAACAAGCTAATTTTTGTATTTTGCTTTTTTTTTTTTTTGTAGAGACAGAGTTCTGCCATGTTGCCCAGGCTGGTCTCTAACTCCTCTGCTCAAGCAATGCACCCGCCTTGGCCACCCAAAGTGCTGGGATTACAAGCATGAGCTACCAAACTCTTCTTGTTTATTTTCCAAACACATGGTCTGTATAGAATACCTATTTAGACATATATAATGAAGTAAAAAATACATCTGCATCCCACTTAGCAGTTGGCTTGCAGTTCATGTATTTTTAAATATTGTATGCGTATTTCTGTATGTATATATTTTTAAATATTGGACTTATCCAGCATTTATAACCATTTTGGACTAAGGTTTTCATTGTCAAGACTTTTACTGTTATCTTAAAGCCACTGTCCGGTATTATTACTGATAGATGAGAAACTCTCATATTCACTGCTCGATGGAAACATGCTCTTCCTTGGTGTTCCTAGAGATGGGTTTGGGGCAAGTGAAGACCCATGCCCTGGGGTTCACAGCCTGCACTGTCTGCAGCAGATGGACATAGCCAGGATGTCTGGGGCTGGGATAGAGCCCCAAGTCTGAGCTCAGGGCTGCAGGACTTGAGATTTGTCTTGCCCAATTGTCTGGCCTTAGGGAAACCATTTAACTTTTTCTTCCCCCATGTAACTTTTCTTAACTCTAGTTCTCTGTAATGTGGCTGGGAATGTCTCCTTTATAGATTCTGAGAATGAAAGGTGATAATAAATGTGTTTGTGTGTTGAAGAAAATAAAACCACATGCAGTGCCGTGGATGACACAGGATGGGACCAGCCTCTGCTCAGGCAGCAGCTTCCGCCACACTCTACACAGAAAGATGGAGCCCTAGACATTGGATTCATTAGACTCAGCTTCTGAAGTCAGACTGTAAGTTGCTAGATTAATTAGAACTGTGAGCCTTTGTCCATGTGCCATTTCTTTAAAAGCCATCCTGGTATCATACAGGAAAGTCAGGGAGTAACATACAGATTGGTTTTGCTCGAATATGTTACACCGCTATCCTTGTGGCTCAACTTTTCAGTCTGGGGCTTATTTAAAAGAAAAGTCTGCTGGCTGGATTCTCCCTAATTATATTGGAGGGTTTTTTTTTAATCCCCCAAAGACAAATTTTCAAGGAAAATGAAAAACTAACCAGAATAAAGGCTGAAATTTCATTGTCAGGAGCAAAACCACTGGTAAATTGACATTATGTAATAATTAGCTTACCAGATTAATCAGTGCTTCAAAATTTAAATCATTTTTGCTAAGTCTTGACTTTGTGTCCCAAGAATTGTCTTCTATACCATTTCTTTCCTGAAGATTGAATGGAAACTTGGTTATTGCAGGCAGGTCTTGGCATCTCTGAAAACTCAATACTGTGCCCACAGGAGGCCCTCAGAAGCTATCTGCCTCTAGCCCCAGCCACAATGTTCCTTGAAACAATGAGTTAAGTGCTTGCAAATGGGATGCCACTCAAATTAAATTTTATGTTTTTTAAAAATAGCCTTTGCTTCCTTTGAAGAACATTATACTTGAGAACTAAATTCAGTGAAGTTCCCTCTTCCCTGGGGGCCAGGGGAGTGACAGTGTACCAGGGCTCCTCCCAGGCTTAGAGGCTTGCATACATTCTTGGGTATCAGGCTTCTTTTCTTTTTCTTTTTTCTTTTTTTCTTTTTTTTTTTGAGATGGGGTTTCGCTCTTTTCACCCAGGCTGGAGTGCAATGGCGTGATCTCGGCTCACTGTAACCTCCGCCTCCTGGGTTCAGGCAATTCTCCTGCCTCGACCTCCTGAGTAGCTGGGATTACAGGCACGCGCCACCGTACCCAGCTAATTTTTTGCATTTTTAGTAGAGACGGGGTTTCACCATGTTGACCAGGATGGTCTCGATCTCTTGACCTCGTGATCCACCTGCCTCGGCCTCCCAAAGTGCAGGTTTCTTTTATTTTTATTTTTCTTGAGACAGAGTCTTGCTCTGTTGCCCAGGCTGGAGTGCAGTGGCACAATCTCGGCTCACTGCAACCTCCACCTCCTGGGTTCAAGCAATTCTCCTGCCTCAACCACCTGAGTAGCTGGCTTACAGGCACCTGCTACCATGCCCTGCTAATTTTTATATTTTTAGTAGAGACGGGGTTTTGCCATGTTGGCCAGGCTGGTCTAGATCTCCTGACCTGAGGTAATCTGCTCGCCTCGGCCTCCCAAAGTGCTGAGATGACAGGCATGAGCCACCACCCCCAGCTGAGTAACAGGCTTCTCCCTCAGCTCTGCTCTGTTCCTTCTCAGTTGAGGACAAATAGGTTATTTTACTTTTAAGATGCTCGAAGGAAAAGCTCACAAAACTCACTCCTTTTTATTTTCACCAAGTGAAAATGTGTCATAAACAGTTCACATACCCTTTCTAGACTTGCACATTTAAATAAGGCTTTACTTACCTTGTTAACTATTCTTGCTGTAGCCTCCCTAAAACAGCACATTTGTTTAAAAAGCCCTCCTTCCCTACCCCTGATGCCTGCAGCACCCCAGGGTCCATGCTAGCAAGGAGCAATGGTCCTGGTCCTATGGTTATGTTGAGGGATGATGATGGTTAGTCGTTGTTACTGCTGCCTTCCTAATCAAAGATGAAACTATCAGTGGCAACCCTCAGATGTCCAGGGTTTTGGCTGGAAGAATAACTTCAATTTGTAACCAAGACTCCTTTTATCTTACTTTACTGAGGCAAAAACGATTTTTTTTTGAGATGCCACATTGCTATGTTAGCCTGAGCCTCTGCAGAAAACCCCTGATCTGCAAAGCTGCTGCCAGCTAGCTCTAGTCCTAGATGGCAGGAGGTCCTGCCTGACCCCAAGTGCTTCATGTCTGCTCCAGGGAGTCTTCTAATAGTCCTCTACACTTGTGGCTGTCTCAGACCAGCCTGGCATGTATCCATAAGTACAGCTTGGGCAAGGGGAAGAGATCTACTTTGTTTTGTCTTTTTTTTTTTTTGTTCTTTTTTTTTTTATTTGAGACAGGGTCTCACTCTCTCACCCATGCTGGAGTGCAGTGGTACAATATTGGCTCACTGCAACCTCGACCTCCCACCTCAGCCTCTCAAGTAGCTGGGACTACAGGCACAAGCCACAATGCCTGGCTAATTTTGTTCATTTCTTTTAGAGACAAGGTCTCACTATGTTGCCCAGGCTGATCTCAAATTCAAGTGATCCTCCTGCCTTGGGATCCCAAAGTGATGGGATTACAGGCATGAGCCACTGTGCCCAACCAGTTTCTTGCACTTCAGCCTGATGGAGTAAGGCTGTCTCAAAAAACAAAAACAAAAACTCTCAGTTTGGGCCAAGATTAGGATAACCCAAACAGTACAGAATTGTATCATGAATCTCACAGATAAAGGAGCCGTCTTTCTCTGGGAGATCACCTGACTGCACAGGCTCACATGAAAATTTATGCATTAAAATCCAGGTGTCAGCATGGAACCCTGACCACCTTCACTATTTTAGAATCTGCTTGCTTACAATTGGGCTTTGTTTCACATTCTGGCTCAGCAGCAACTTACTTTTTTAAATTATATTTTTTTTCTTTGTGGAGAGGACATTGATTTGGCAGAGTAATTTTGTTTGAACCTAAAACTGCCAAGTTCATTCATTTTATATTATATGTTTAATTGCCAGAATTTTTACAGCTTAATTTTAGATTCAGATGCTATCTCTTACTTGTTTTTAATGGATGAATTCAGATAAAGTAACAGGGCAGAAACTTTGGACATTTATAAGACAACTGTTATTTTGGGTTGATGGGTCTTTGCCTTGGCTACACAGGACGTATGAAGAAGACCATAAAAAATTAAGCTCGCAGAACCAGGCTTTGATCACATGTTAGGAATTGCTCTCTAGGCAGACACTGTTTTCCAGAGATGGTCTAGTCATTGCTGATGCTTCTGCCAGCAAACACTGAGCTGCCTAGATAAGGGGACAGAAATAGTTGTGAAAATGACAGGTAGAGTTCAGGAACAACTATAATTCTGGCTACCAGCCATCACCATGGTTGCATGGTATCAGTGTAAACATTATAGGCAGACAGAGATCAAAAGTAAATAATGATTGGGCAGCAAGATGATAGGTAGGTAGGTAGGTAGGTGGATGGATAGATACATGGATGGAAACGCACACACACACACACACCACACACACACACACGTACACACACACACACACACACACAAGCGTCTCTGGAAGGGTTTTTTTGTTGTTGTTTGTTTTTTTAAGAGTGAGTTTTGCTCTTGTTACCCAGGCTGGAGTGCAATGGTGTAATCTTGGCTTACTGCAACCTCCACCTCCTGGGTTCAAGCAATTCTCCTGCCTCAGCCTCCCGAGTAGCTGGGATTCCAGGCACCCACCACCATACCTGGCTAATTTTTGTATTTTTAGTAGGGACAAGGTTTCACCATGTTGACCAGGCTGCTCTCGAATTCCTGACCTCAGGTGATCTACCCACCTCGGCCTCCTAAAGTGCTAGGATTATAGGCATGAGCCACCACGCCTGGTGGAAGGGTCTTTAAAACAATTATCTCAGAGAATTTTTTACTTGCCCCTCTTTTGTCTCCTGAGTCTTCTGAATGAATATCCAGTTTAAAAAAAAAAACCCTGATGTGAGGAAAATCGGCTTTTCTATTTTTATCCTAATTCAACACTGACATTTAGCCGTGGTTTTTCATCTAGAGGTCTCTGCGATTGTTTTGTGGGCTTTGTGCCTAAGGTCTCTAGTGTTAAATAGTAGAGAACCAAATGAGAATCCAATACATATTTTTTCCTAATTTGATTTAAAAAAAAGATCAAAGAAATTTCCAGGCATTAAGGAGTTTTACATTTCTCCAGTTTTATTACAGGCAGACAGTGGAGCAATAGAGGGCCTGCTTTCCAGCAATGAGAAACTTTAAGACCACATTTCCTGCATTATTATTATTATTATTATTATTTTAAACAGAGTCTCACTCTCGTAGCCCAGGCTGGAGTGCAGTGGCGCAATCTTGGCTCACCACAACCTCTGCCTCCCAGGTTAAAGCAATTCTCCTGCCTCAGCCTCCTGAGTAGCTGGGATTACAGGGATGTGCCACCACGCCCGGCTAAGTTTTTGTATTTTTAGTAGAGACCGGGTTTCTCCACGTTGATCAGGCTGGTCTCAAACTCCCAACCTCAGGTGATCCACCTGCTTCGGCTTCCCAAAATGCTGTGATTACAGGTGTGAGCCACTGCACTTGGCCATTTCATGCATTATTTTTTGAACACGATTAGCTGTTCAGGTCAACAGCCTGTTAAAAAGATTTCATTCAGTGTGAATTTTACTTGGCAGAGAAAATTGAGGAACGTCCAGGAACGAAAGTGTCTCACTGGGTACGGTGGCTCAACTGTATAAATGGCAAAGCAAAATGCAAATTTCTAATGTTCTCCCTTAATCCAATAGTGTTACTCAAGTTAACATGGTGTAATTTTATGCTTTTAAGTGTCTTAAATGTTGCTCATATTTCAAAACGGTGAAACACTCTTTGTTTTGAGACGGAGTCTCACTCTGTCGCCTGGGCTGGAGTGCAGTGGCTCGATCTTGGCTCACTGCAACCTCCACCCAGGCTGGAGTACAATGGCGTGATTTTGGCTCACTGCAACCTCCAACTCCCTGATTCAAGCAATTCTCCTGCCTTAGCCACCTGAGTAGCTGGGATTACAGGTGCATGCCACTATGCCTGGCTAATTTTTGTGTTTTTAGTAGAGACAGGGTTTCACCATGTTGGCCAGGCTGGTCTTGAAATCCTCATCTTGTGATCTGCCCGCCTCAGCCTCCCAAAATTATGGGATTACAGGTGTGAGCCACTGCGCCTGGCTGAAACACCCTTTTTCATAACACGTCATGAAAACAAAATTCTTAGGAGAAATGGTACATTAAAGCTTCCCAGTAGAGCTCGTATTATGGTTTATGAATTTCTTCATCACATGTGCCTGACTCTACAGAAAAGCAATGGCATGAAAATTCAGCAGCATCTTTACCTGCATCAATAAGCCGAATGCTGTCTTTGGGTCACATTTTGTTGGAATAACATTTTCTTCAAAATCTTTGACCTTTTTACCGCATTTCTTCAGCAGAAAATATGACAAAAATTCCAGAGGTTTGTCCTGAAAAAATGCCACCCCCCCAAGAAAAATTCCTGTTTAAAACATTCATCTGAAATACAGGTGTCAATAGTGCAGCAGAAGAGAAAAGAGACTTTTTAGCAGGGATTTCAGCTTTCTACTTAACGAATTTACATGTCCAGAAAACAAAGTGACTAGTACTCAATTTGAGTCGGTACACAAGACTTTCTAGTTAATCTCATATCCCAGTTGCCATACATTCGTCCCCATCCAGTTAAGACACCAGAGTCTGATAGGAGGGTCTCTCAAGATCTTTGGAACCAAAGTGGCCCACACCAGCCTCTTGGCCGAATGAGGAAAGGGGACAGGCAGGATCTTACTGTCTTTCATGGGAAAGAAGAAGGCCTGGGAGAGAGGCTGCAGTAGTAGAATTGCTGGCAAAAGCATGCTGAGGCTCTCAAATTTGGTTCCCTCAGGCTACGGATTTGAGCACCATCCAAATTATATCATACCTGGTTATTTTTAAATAATTAGGTGGAAGTAAGTACACTGAACCTACACCAAGCACATTGAGTAATCCTTTGGTGTTTTGGGAGACAGTGCAGGAGCATCTCTGTGAATATCCCTGCTCTAGTTTTTTTTTTTTTTTTTTTTTTTTGAGACAAATTCCACTCTTGTTGCATGGGCTGAAGTGTAATGGCATGATCTCAGGTCACTGCAAGCTCCACCTCCTGGGTTCAAGTGATTCTCCCGGCCTCAGCCTCCCGAGTAGCTGGGATTGCAGGCATGCACCACCATGCCTGGCTAATTTTGTATTTTTAATAGAAATGGGGTTTCTCTATGTTGGTCAGGCGGGTCTCGAACTCCCGACCTCAGGTGATCTGCCCACCTTGGCCTTCCAAAGTGCTGAGATTACAGCAGTGAACCACCACGCCCAGCCTATCCCTGTTCATTTTATCAGCAAGGCTAACCAAAGGGGTTTCGTCATTAGGCTGCCTGAGTCTCACTGCAGAGCTGAGACTTCACAGAAGACAAACTACAGCTAATGCAACTTCGCAGCCCACACCCAGTGCAGGACAGCTAAGCCCAGAGATGCCTGGTGCAGACCCAGGAAGCCACGTTGAAGCAAGAGCAGGTACTCGATGATAAGGAGAGAGAGATGTGTGCAGAGACAATGTTAAATTCACACACAAAGTAGAACTATGATGGTGGAAAAGAAAGATTTGAGAACCTCCTTGAGAATTCCTTGGAAAACTAGAGAATTTAGATTATTGAATATGTTAACATCAACCCTATCTCCATCTTATTCCTGACTTACCTCAGATAGAGAGCTGCATGCTGCATTTTCTTTTCTTTTCCTTTTTTTTTTTTTGAGACAGTCTCACTCTGTCACCCAATCTGGAGTGCAGTGGTGCAATCTCGGTTCACTGTGACCTCCACCTCCCAGGTTTTCTACTGCCTCAGTCCCCCAAGTAGCTGGGATTACAGGTGCCTGCCACCACGCCCAGCTAATTTTTGTATTTTTAGTAGTGACAGGGTTTCACCATGTTGGCCAGGATGGTCTCCAACTCCTGACCTCAAGTGATCCATGCGCCTCAGCCTCCCAAAGTGCTGGGATTACAGGCGTGAAGCACTGCAACCCGGCCACATCGCAGTTTTCCTATAGCTATGCTGGCCTCTTTGGGGCTGGGAGAGCTGTCTGGAGCCTGGCCTCTCCTCACCGTTTTCTGAAATGTGGACTGACCTTAATGAGAGGGTACCTTGGATCTGTGTCTGATGAAATTGTTTCATGGGGCTTCTCCTACAGCCATCCCCAACTGAATGACTGATTTCCTTCTTTCTGTTCTGTTGTGTTCTCTTTCCCTTCCCCTCTCATCTAGCCCCCTTTCCCTTCATCTTTTCACATCGCGATCACACTTTCTCAGGCTTCTCCTCAAATTAGGAATTGGTTTCACTGTTGAATAAAGTTTATGTGAAATATAAAGCCACTAACATGTTTTATATATAAAAAAAAGTCACTTCTGACTGAAATTAAGCACAAGCCAGAAAACAGGGCACGACGTAATAAACTTGAAATAACCTAGAAGATTTTCCTACTTGTCCGTTTTGTGTACTTAACACATCTTGGGCCCAGAATCTCTCAGTGGCTGTTACTAGAAACTGATGTAATTTATCTGAGGGATTGCGCCTGAAAGGGATAAACGGGTCAAAAAAATTAATAATAACTGCAAACAGAATTGATTTACATGTTGGTTTTCGTAGTTTACTTTATTCAAAGAAACACTTACAGAATCTTCTTTTGACAATTCCATCAGCCCATCTGCCAGCGCTTGTGCAATCTCTTGGTTGTTCAGAATGTCGCTCATACCCATGGTTTCAAACATAAACTGCCCTGTCAATAGAAGGCCACATGCCCTGTCATCAATTGATGGAAGAAATGTGATTTAAAAACAACAACTCGGTTCTTTTTTTTTTTTGAGGCAGGGTCTTACTCTGTTGCCCAGGCTGGAGTGCAGTGGCAAAATGATAGCTCACTGCAGCCTTGATTCCCTGAGCTCAAGTGATCCTCCCACCTCAGGTGCTGAAGTAACTGGAACTACAGGCATGCACCACCATGCCTGCTTAATTTTTTAACTTTTTTTTTTGAGATGGAGTCTCGGTCTTATCTGCCAGGCTGGAGTGCAGTGGTGCTATCTGGGCTCACTGCAACCTCCGCCTCCCAAGTTCAAGCAATTCTTCTGCCCCAGCCTCCCAAATAGCTGGGATTATAGGCCCTCACCACCATGCCCAACTAATTTTTTTTTTTTTTTTTAGTTTTAGTAGAGATGGGGTTTCATCATGTTGGCCAGGCTGGTCTCGAACTCCTGACCTCAAGTGATCTGCCAACCTCGTCCTCCCAAAGTGCTGGGATTACAGGCATGAGCCACTGCGCCTGGCCAATTTTTTAACTTTTTGTAGAGATGGGGTCTTTCTATGTTTCCCAGGCTGGTCTCAAACTCTTGGCCTCAAGCAAACTGCCCACCTAAGCCTCCCAAAGCACTGGGACTACAGACGTGAGCCACCGTACTGGACCCACAGTTGTCTTTTAGTGGATAAAAATGCAAAGAATAGCAGTAAAAATTCTATTACACCATGAAGATTTCTTTATGATAAAATATAAAATGAACCAAAGTAATTTAAATGTCTAGATATAAAAAGTGCCCACTCTGGCAAAACTGATATTGAATGAAATGTATAAATTGGACAATAAGGAGAGAACACGAGAAAAGGAGCTCAGTAAGTTTAAATGTGAGACTCTCAATCCTACCAAAAGTTCCTCTATGTTTTCCTTTATCTTTGTGCTCAATTTTTTTTTTTTCCTGTCACCCAGGCTGGAGTGCAGTGACGTGATCTTGGCTTACTGCAATCTCTTCCTCCCCAGCTCAAGCAATTCTCATGCTTCAGCCTCCTCAGTAGCATGTGTCACCGTGCCCAGCTAACTTTTATATTTTTCTGTGGAGACAGTGTTTGGCCATGTTGCCCAGGCTGGTCTCAAACTCCTGAGCTCAAGCAATCCACCTGTCTCGGCTTCTCAAAGCGCTGGGATTACAGGCATGAGCCACCACACTAGGCTTCAAATATATAAATATTTTAAAGTCCAAAGTAAATAACATGCAAACATACATACAAAGACATCTGTTAATTTAAAAAATATTTTTAATACCATGCAGTTATATAAAAAATTGTTTTTCCATCAACTTCTCATTGTCTACATATATTATATTGGGGAGGCTGAGGCAGGAAGATAGCTCAAACTCGAGTTCGAGGCTGCAGTGAGCTATGATTTTGCTGCTGCACTCCAGCCTGGGTGACAGAGTGAGAGCCTGTCTGTAAAAAAAAACAAAACACAAAAATTATATCTTTAAAAATTTACCTTTCCAATTTTCTTTCTGGTCCTTCATATCTATGAAAGAACTAGGAGAGCCAGGCACAGTGGCTCATGTCTGTAATCCCAGCACTTTGAGAAGCTGAGGCAGGTGGATCACTTGAGGTCAGAAGTTCAAGACCAACCTGGCCAACGTGGTGAAACCCTGTCTCTACTAAAAATACAAAAATTAGGCTGGGCGCCAGTGGCTTGTACCTGTAATCCCAGCGCTTTGGAAGGCTGAGGTGGGTGGATCACTTCAGGTCAGGAGTTTGAGACCAACCTGGCCAACATTGTGAAACTTCGCCTCCACTAGAAATACAGAAATTAGTGGGGTGTGGTGGTGGATGCCTGTAATCCCAGCTACTTGGGAGGCTGAGGCAGGAGAATTGCTTGAACCTGGGAGGCAGAAGTTGCAGTGAGCCGAGATTACACCACTGCACTACAGCCTGAGCAACAGAGCGAGACTCTGTTAAAAAAAAAATTAGCCTGGTGTGGTGGTGCATGCCTGTAATCCCAGTTACTCGGGAGGCTGAGGCAGGAGAATCCCTTGAACCCAGGAGGCGGAGGTTGCAGTAAGCCAAGATCACACCATTGCACTCCAGCCTAGGGGACAAGAGAGAAACTCCGTCTCAAAAAAAAAAAATAAATAAAAACACAAAGAACTAGGAGAAATAATTTCTCCCTGTTTATAACTTCATAACTATTTTTAAATAATGGATGAACACCTCCTAAATGTGACAGAATGGGTTAGACAAATTAGTAGGAAGGCAAATCCCTGTTTTGGAGGCATTTATGTAAAGAGATGTAGGACATACATTGACAGATGATATCTGCATGCACACTTGTGTGTTGCAGCTGTTGTGTAGATGGTAACTGTGTAAACAGACCTTACATATGGAACTGGGCAGAGGAAAAGAAGAAAGGCATAGATAGAGGATGATTTGATTGATATGGTGTTTTAGTCAGGTGGAAAGTATTAGGGGAAAAATTTAATACATATTAATAGTTGCAGAAGAGAAAAAGAAAAACTTTTTACCCAGAGGGTGAAATATACTTAATTTTAAAGAATGGACTACTTTAGTAAAGATGCAAAGTTGAGGCAGTAAGTTGTTCTCAAAGGGCTCTGCTGTGCTCATTCATTCGATCATGGGGATGGGGTGTGAATGGAAAAATTCATTCAGCCATGTCCAGTAGGCTCAGCAGGCCCATGGAACCCATCACTAAATTATATATTTTAGATAGAAAATAAATATAACCTAAATTGTAGAAGAATTTATGTAATAAGTGCTGGGGTTTAAGAGGTGCTTAACTTTTAGAGCAAATTCTAGTGGGAAAAGTACACAGCTCTCTGGCTTAGCAAACAGCAAATTGTGTCTAGGCAAATAATTGATGAACGAGAATTAATAAGGTGGTAAATTTTTTATTTTTTTGAGCCACAGTATCACTCTGTGACCCAGGCTGGAGTGCAGTGGCACTGTATTTGTTCACTGCAACCTCCGTCTCCTCGGTTCAAGCAATTCTCCTGCCTTAGCTTCCCGAGTATCTGGGATTACAGGTACCCACCACTACACCCAGCTTATATATATTTTAGTAGAGACAGGGTTTCACCATGTTGGCCAGGCTGGTTTCGAACCCCTGACCTCAGGTGATCCACCTGCCTCAGCCTCCCAAAGTTCTGGAATTACAGGCGTGAGCCACAGCACCCGGCTCAAGGTGGTAAAATTTTAAAATAAGAACCAGATTCAACATTTTGAACCTAAATATATTTGTTCTTAGGGGGTATTCATTATATTTAAAAGGCAATGTGAGCAACCTAGGAGAAAAAGTTTTACTGAAATGTTCAAGAGTTAAATTTTACTTGTGCCGTAACTAAACTTGTATTCACTCAGGATATGAAGGCAACTTCATAATTAACCTGCAACAGAAGTAGCAGAACTGCTTACCTATCATCCTGCCACTGATGCTCTTCTGCAGTTCCTTGAAGAGAGGACACAGCTGCTTCCTTACCTCTTTCAAGGTGTCTTCTAGGAAGTCTGTGAAGCTGGACCATGTCTGTAGCTTCGATTCACTGAAGTAGATGGAAGAGGGGGCCTTTCCCCATTGGGCTCCCAGCCAGTCACTAAGAACTGACATGATTTTCTTCTGTTATTCCTGCAGTCTTTAGCTCAAATGAAAGAATTCTGTCTTGTTTAAAGTACAACAGAAACGTGGTTGCATTTGTATTGAGTTTATTATCATTTCTCGTTAGAAGACTAAGACAAACACCCATCGTCTGTTTTCAAAGGTAAAAGTTAGAAACTCAAAAATGAGTCAACGAATCATTTCAAATGCATCTCTACTCTTTAATAGATGAGGCTGACATATTCCATTCAAAGTTTAAAAAAGCAGCTGCTGGACTCTGCATTGGGAGCTGAGCAGTCACCTAAGGAAGAATGCTCTGCTTTACCTTTCCAGTCTAAAAGTGAAAACACAAGAAATCCCATGGTACACAGCTTCCCCATTAAACCATTGAAAGGCAACCCCATCATAGCCAAATCTGTATCTTTCTTAAATTATGTCAAACTGCTACCTTGCTGTACAAATCATCTATGTGACCATAGCAGGTGCTTACAGAAAGTTTCTCTTCTTAAAAAGCAATTACTGCTGTGGCTGGCAGATCACAAGGTCAGGAGATCGAGATCATCCTGGCTAACACAATGAAAGCTGTCTCTACTAAAAATACAAAAAATTAGCTGGGCGTGGTGGCACACACCTGTAGTCCTAGCTATTTGGGAGGCTGAGGCAGGAGAATTGCTGGAACCTGGGAAGCAGAGGTTACCATGAGCTGAGAGACTCCGTCTCAAAAAAAAAAGCAATTACTGAATGATGCAGTGGTATGTTAAATTTGATTTTCTGTCCTAAATGGAGAGAGAGCTTTGTTTGCTTCATTTCCTCTACTTTTTGTAGAGGAAAAGATAGACGTGAAAAGCTTTATAACATGTTTTTGTTTTTGTTTTTGTTTGAGACCAAGTCTTGCTCTGTCACCCAGGCTGGAGTACAGTGGCGTGATTTCAACTCACGGCAACCTCTGCCTCCTGGGTTCAAGCAATTCTCGTGCCTCAGCCTCCCTAGTAGCTGGGATTACAGATGCGCGCCACTACTGCCCAACTAAATTTTGTATTTTTAGTAGACACGGTGTTTCACCACGTTGGCCAGGCTGGTCTCGAACTCTGGACCTCAAATGATCTGCTCAACTCAATCTCCCAAAGTGTTGAGATTATAGGCATGAGCCACTGCATCCGGCCACAGCATTTTTTTTTAAATAAGGAGAATTAGAAGAAGAGAGGGGGAAAGGAGGATGAACAGGAGAAAGGGAAGGCAGAGGAGGAGAAAAAGAAGAAAACCTGTCCCCTATTACCAGCAGCAGTGTCTATGCCCTGCCCTGCTCTGCAAGGCCAGTTCCTCTCTCCACAGAGCCAAATATGCTATCATTTGGTGATATTGCTATATTAACTAAAAATTAGCAAGTGACCTCTGCTTCAAAACTGTATTAGGTCAATGCACTTTGTTATATCTACAAAGAATCTTTTCCCTTACCAGTTTCACAATCGTACCAGTTTTCCCAAATTCTAAAAGGCCCTTGGCATTTAGGATTAGAGAAGCAATGATTTATACAGTTTCTGCATCCCTCTCAGCCCTCGTTGATAGGAATCAAGGGTGTGTGCAAGGGGAAAATGACTGGCCTCAGTGTAACAAAGCAATTTGGTTCTCTCGTTGGTCAGCCCATGTCACATTTTAATCCAAATCTGCAGCATTAGTATCTAAATGAAAGTTTGCTTGCAGGTGTATTTTCTCTGATTGTTTTCCCTTGCAGATAATGCTACTGAAATGGAAACTAAGCGAGCCTCTTTGCCATCTCTTCATAGCTACAATTTCTTTATCCAAACAAAACCTATATTTTACTAAGAAAAGTTATTCTTCGTACTTATTCTTTTTCTATATTACCAGCTTTGCTTAACTGTTAAAGATTATGTTTTCAACAGAGTTTTGTAAATGATGGTTTGAGGCAAATATGTACAATAAATAATCTTCTAAGCAAATGACTGCATGATATGAGATTACCTAGTTTGGGAAGTAATGGCATCCCTTCAGGAGAGGAATGAAAGGGAGCAATAATATCAGCTGTACCAGTACTATTAACTGGATTTTGTCCTTTGGAGGTCCTGGAGCTGGCCTGTGTCATTGGACATGGCCGTCAGCTCCCGTAACACTTACTGTGCTGGTAGGAGCCAGTCGCAATCCCGGTGGGGGCCGTGAAGAATGTGCCAGTTAGTTGAGACAGCTGAGAAAGAACTTCAGTTCCTGCCTCTGCATAGTCAAAAATACTTTTGTTAGTTTACTCATATGTTTTGCCATGGAACATGATATTATTTGGATATCTGTTCCCTCCAAATCTCATGTTGAAATTGAATCCCCAGTGTTGGAGGTGGGGCCTAGAAGGTGGTATTTGGATCATGGGGTCAGATCCTTCCTGAATGGCTAATGCCATCCCCTTAGTGAAGAGTGAGTTCTCACCCTGAGTTCACACAACATCTGGTTGTTTAAAAGTGTGTGGCACCTCCTCCCTCTCTCATTCCCACTCTTGCCATGTGACACACCAGCTGCCCCTTCACCTTCTGCCATGATTATAAGCTCCCTGAGGCCTCACCAGAAGCCAAGCAGATGCCAGTGCTGTGGTTACTACACAGCCTGAAGAACCATGAAGTAATTAAAACTCTTTTCTTTATAAATTGCCCACCCTCAGGTATTTCTTTATAGCACTGCAAGAACAGACTAATACAGAACAGTTAAATATTACTTAGGGGCACTAGAGAGATGGTCAAGAAAGGCCACTAGCCACTCATCTTCTGTTCAGATCTTTCCACTGAACAGTTCATGAACACTTTATAGTTCACCCCTAAATACTGAAGGTGAAACAGTCTGAGGACTAAACAATAGGATGCAAAAGGAGAACATGGAGTTTGAACTAGGGCTTCTTCCAGATTTTGAATACTCAGCCTAAACATAGAGAAAAATCTATATATATTTTCAAAGATAGTCTCACTTAAAGGAGGAGTCTCACTGTAAGAGGACAGATTTTAAAAGATTAAACATAGGATGGACTATGATGGTTAAAATTTAGCCCCTTCCATGGGCAAAGACTTCATGACTAAAACACCAAAAGTGATTGCAACAAAAGCCAGAATTCACAAGTGGGATCTAATTAAACTGAAGAGCTTCTGCACAGCAAAAGAAACTATCATCAGAGTGAACAGGAAACCTACAGAATAGAAGAACATTTTTGCAATCTACCCATCTGACAAAGGGCTAATATTATTCAAAGGAACTGAAACAAATTTACAAGATAAAACCAATCACATCAAAAAGTGGGCAAAGGATGTGAACAGACACTTCTCAAAAGAAGACATTTATGCCAGCAACAAACATGAAAAAAAAAAAAGCTCATCATCACTGGTCATTAGAGAAATGCAAATCAAAACCACAATAAGACGCCATCTCATACCAGTTAGAATGGTGATTATTAAAAAGTCAGGAAACAAACATGCTGGCGAGGCTGTAGAGTAATAGGAATGCTTTTACACTGTTGGTGGGAGGGTAAATTAGTTCAACCATTGTGGAAGACAGTGTGGCGATTCCTCAAAGACCTAGAACCAGAAATACCATGTGACCTCACAATCCCATTACTGGGTATAGACCCAAAGGATGATAAATCATTCTACTATAAAGATACATGCACATGCATGTTAGTTGCAGCACAATTTATAATAGCAAAGACTTGGAACCAACCTAAATGCCCATCAGTGATAGACTGGATAAAGAAAATGTGGCACATATACACCATGGAATACTAGACAGCCATAAAAAAGAATGAGTTCATGTCCTTTGTGGGGACATGGATGAAGCCAGAAACCATCATCTTCAGCAAACTAATATAGGAACAGAAAATCAAACACCGCATATTCTCACTCATAAGTGGGAGTTGAACAATGAGAACACATGGACACAGGGAGGGGAACATCATACACCAGGGCCTGTTGTGGGATGGGGAGAAAGGGGAGAGAGAGCATTAGGACAAATAGCTAATGCATGCAGGGCTTAAAACCTAGATGATGGGTTGAAAGGTGTAGCGAACCACCATGGCACATGTATACCTATATAACAAACCTACACACACTGCACTTGTAACCAGGAACTTAAAGTAAAAAAAAAAAAAAAAATTAGCCCCTTCAGTGACACAACATATAGATTGAATTATTAATTCAGCATACAAATTGTATTACTTGGAATGAAATGGGTAGTATATTTTAACTATTTGTGGTCCAAGAATAGATACTCCAAAATGCTTCAATTACTGCATGAAACAGGATGACAGCAGCTGAAAGTTTGGATGTCTCTCACTTACTGATGTCTATAGTACTTTCACTGACAAATTAATCAATGGAATCAAATAGAGAGTCCAAAGGTGAACTTACACATACATAATTGATAGGTTTCAACAAAGGTGCACGTGAAATTCATCAGAAAAAGGATAGTAGTTACAAAGAATAGTGATGAAACAATTAGCCATATATTTAAAAAAAATTAACCTCTATCCATATCTCATGTATCACATTTAAAAAATAGTCAAGTGGATCACAAACTTAAAAGTCAAACTTAAAACTATGAACCATTTAGAAAAAACATAGGAGAAAATCTTAGCGGCCTTTGGTTAGGTAAATAGTTTTTAGATATGATGTAAAAGCATGATCTATACAGGAAAACGTGACATATTTGATTTCATCAAAATTAAGAACTATGCTTCAGGCCAGGTGCAGTGGCTCATGCCTGTAATCCCAGCACTTTAGGAGGCCGAGGTGGGCAGATCATCTGAGGTGAGGGGTTCAAGACCAGCCTGGCCAACATGCTGAAACCCTGTCTCTAAAAATACAAAAAAATTGGTCGGACATGGTGGCAGGCACCTGTAATCCTGTAATCCCAGCTACTCAGGAGGCTGAAGCAGGAGAATCACTTGAACCCTGGAGGCAGAGGTTGCAGTGAGCCGAGATCACACCATTGCACTCTAGCTTGGGCAACAAGAGCGAAACTCCGTCTCAGAAAAAGGAACTGTGCTTTAAAAGAAACTCTTCAGTGAAGGAAAATATGTCATAGACTGGAGAAAATATTTGCAAATTACTTATCCAGTAAATATAAAAAGCTTTCAAAAGCTGAATAAGAAAACAACTTAGTTTTTAAGATGGGCAAAAGAATGGCAAATAAGCATATGAAAAGATCTTGAGCCTCGTTAGTCATTAGGAAAATGCAAATAAAAACCACAATGAGATACCACCACATGTCCACCCGAATGGCTAAAATTAAAAAGGTTGACCATACCAAGTGATAGAATGATAGACAAGTGGAGTTCTCAGATACTGCTTGTGAAAGTGTGAAAGGTAAAGTCACTTTGGAAATCAGTTTAGCTGGTGTTTTTATAAAGTTAAACATACACCTACATATAACCTTGCCACTCTACGCCCAGGAATTCATCCAAGAGAAATGAAAGCATAAGTTCATAGCAGCTTTGTTTTTTTGTTGTTGTTGTCGTTTTTTTTTTCCTCAGGTAGTCTGTTACAGCAAGCAGCTTTATTTGTAAAAGCAGAAACCAGAAAGAACTCAAATATCTATCAACAAATTAATGGATAAACAAATTGTGGTATATGTGTACAATGTAATAATTCCCAGTAGTAAAAAGGAGATATTGATACATACATCAGATGGCTAACCCTAAAATAATGATTGAGTGGAGAAAGTCAGACAGAGAATCCGTACTGTATGATGCCATTTATAGAAGACTTGAGGCCAGTGCTCACTTTGGCAGCACATATACTAAAATTGGAACAATACAGAGAAGATTAGTATGGCCTCTGCACAAGCATGACATGCAAATTTTTGAATTATTCCATATTAAAAAAGAAAAAAAGGAAGGCCAGGCGTGGTGGCTCACACCTGTAATCCCAGCACTTTGGGAGGCTGAGGCAGCCAGATCATGAGCTCAGGTGATTGAGAACATCCTGGCCAACATGGTGAAATCCTGTCTCTAATAAAAATACAAAATTAGCTGGGTGTGGTGGTGCGTGCCTGTAATCCCAGCTACTTGGGAGGCTGAGGCAGAAGAATTGCTTGAACCCAGGAGGCGGAGGTTGCAGTGAGCTGAGATCGTGCCATTGCACTCTAGCCTGGGCAACAAGAGTAAAACTCCATCTCAGAGAAAAAAAGAAAGAAAAAGAGGAAAATCAGTTGGGATGGCACATACCTGTGATCCCACCAGGCGGAGGAAGGAGAATTGCTTGAGCCTAGGAGCTCAAGACCAGCCTGGGAAACCTAGGGCAACCCTGTCTCTACTAAAAAAAAAAAAAAAAAAAAAATTAGCTGAGCATATGTGCCTGCAGTCCCAGCTACTCAGGAGGCTGAGGTGGGAGGATCCCTTGTCCCCAGGAAGTTGAGGCTGCACTGAGCCATGATTTCACCACTGCACCCCAGCCTGCACAACAAAGCAGACCTTGTCTCAAAAAAAAAAAAAGGAAAATTCTAGAAGATGAAAACTAATATATGTGAAATAAGAAAGATCAGTGGTTGCTCAATTTGCGGGTGGGGAGAAGCAGGAGAGAGAAATTACAGAATTACAGAATGGCATGAGGAAACTTTTGGGATTAATGAATATGTTCATTTTCTGGATTTTTTTTAATGGTCTTATGGGGTAGGCATATATATGTCAAAATTTAGTCAATTGTACACTTTATGTACAGTTTATTGTATATTAATTATATTTCAATAATACTGTTTAAAAATGTTTTTAATGCCAAAAAGAATAAATCTTAGATTCTTGGCTTATGCAATAACTGTTGAATGATAATTTTTTTTTTTTTTTGAGACGGAGTTTCGCTCATTACCCAGGCTGGAGTGCAATGGCGCGATTTCGGCTCACCGCAACCTCCGCCTCCTGGGTTCAGGCAATTCTTCTGCCTCAGCTTCCTGAGTAGCTGGGATTACAGGCATGCGCCACCATGCCCAGCTAATTTTTTGTATTTTAGTAGAGATGGGGTTTCACCATGTTGACCAGGATGGTCTCGAGCTCTTGACCTCGTGATCCACCCGCCTTGGCCTCCCAAAGTGCTGGAATTACAGGCGTGAGCCACCGCGCCCGGCCTGAATGATGATATTTTTACTAAGGAATTTGGGGAAGGGGTAGGTTTGGTGCTGGGGAGGCAATCAAGGGTTTGATTTAACTTTGAGATGCCTATTAGACATGAAAATTAAACATCCAGTATGAAGATAGTAAGTGGGAATTCGATATGCATCTGCAGCTCAGAGATTTCAGCATTGGAGACATAAATTTGGGAGTCCTCAGCATATAAATTACGTGTATAGTCATCGATATGGTTTGGCTGTGTCCCCACCCAAAATCTCATCTTGAATTGTAATAATCCTCACGTGTCAAGGGTGGGACCAGGTGGAGATAATTTCATTAAGGGGCACTCTCCCCCATCCTCTTCTTGTGATAGTGAGTAGACTTCTCATGAGATCTGATGGTTTTATAAGTGGCTTCCTCCTCTGCTGGGCTCTCATTCTTCTCCCTCCTGCCACCACATGAAGAAGGACTTATTTGCTTCCCCTTTTGCCGTTATTGTGAATTTCCGGAGGCTTTCCAGCCATGCAGAACTGTGAGTCAATTAAATCTCTTTCCTTTATAAATTACCCAGTCTTGGCAGTTATTTATAGCAGTGTGAGAATGGACTAATACACATAGGAAAATAAGACTGGCTAGTGGGGAGAGTGCATATGTGGAAAAGAAGAGAGGCTAGGATCAAGCCCTGGGGAATATTTAAGGATCTTGCAGAGAAAGAAGAGCCTGCAAAGGAGACTGAGAAGAGGGCACTGAGGCAGGAGGAAACAGGGAGAGTGTGGTATTAGGGACACCAAGAGAAGGAGCATTTCCAGAAGGGGCTTTCCTCTGCATCAGATGCTTCCAAGAAGTCACAGGTCAAAGTGAGGTGGGAATGGAGCAGGGACCACTGGATTTGAGCACATGGAAGTCACTTACAGTCTTCCAAAAACAGTGACAGTAGAGACAAACCAGTTGGAGGAGCTTGAGGAGAGAGTGGGAGGTAAGGAAGGAAGGTCTAGAAGCAGCAGCATCAACATCACCTGGAAATTTGTTAGAAAGGAAAATTCTTCAGGCCCACCCCAGACTTGAGTCTGAAACTCAAGGTGGGACCCAGCAATGTGTAGTTTAACCAGCCCTCCAGTGATATGGATGCATGCTCAAGTCTTATCCAATTAAAAAGCGGTGAGGGAAAGTTTATTGTCCTTTTTTTTTTTTTTTTTTTTAAGACGGGAGATACTCCTACAGGTGTTCCTGATTTGATAGAAACAACACAATGAAGAGAGAAACGAGGCCACAAGAGAGGATTAGATGTAGAGAAGTGTGGAGAAGATGAAAGGCAATGGGATAGATTCCAAGTGCAGCATCTGATCTTGTTTGAGCAGGGGTGCTTCTTCCACCTGGGCAGAAGGGAAGATAGCGAATAGAAAGTGTGAATTGGATGGTGGGAGGACAGTTAGGGAGTTTCCGTGTGATTCTGTTTTCTCAGGGAAGTAAAAGGTGAGGTCAAAGCTGAGAGACAGGGTTATTGAAAGACTGTCTAAAGAGAAGAGATAAAATTGTCATCTCTAAGAGTGTGAAAGTGAATTTACCAAGGAAATGTGGTAGGATGGTCATCAGTGTTGCATTAGAATTTGACAGTTCTGTCACCAAAGTAAAGTTAGACTAATCAGAGCAGTTCTATCACTTATTCCAACAGTCTTTAGCTGCTCTAGTACCCACAGGTATAGCCTGTACAGAGAGTTGTGTTTTAACCAACACTGGGATTTAGCCAAAAAACGGAGAAAAGAAAGTTCAGATTCTTTGCCAGGGAGTGGTGACACAGTTGGGCCATTAAATTCAAGTTTAACAAGGGAGCAAAAAATGGAGATGTGGTGATAGACAGTGAAAAAGTGGGAGTGTGTAGACTGGAGGTCTTAGACAAGGAACTGCCATAGTGGGGTTATCTGAGTACATGATTTGAAAATGGTTCTCAAAGATAAATGCTTGAAATCAAGATTTTAGGGGTAATACAGCTACTGGGCTGACAAGCCTAAGAGGGATGCCCGAAGTGGTGGAAAAGAGGTATTTGGACTGAGAAGTCAGTGATCTTTGATGCATCCAGCTGGATATTACATTTGATGAGAATTTTGGGGCCCAGAATGTTGACAGGAAGTCTGTTATTTGAGTGTCATTACGTTTCGCTTGAGACGATTTTTATGTCACCAAACCCACTGTTCTTTTCTTCCCTTATTCTTATTCTGCCTTCAATACTTTCCCAAGTCCTTTCTTCTACTCTACTTAAAATATTTGCTTTGTTCTTATTATAAAAGTAATATTAGTTCATTACAGGAAATTGAGGCAAACAAAAGAAATTTTTTAAAAGAGAGGAAAAAAGAAAGGAAAACTCACTTGTAAGTGAGTTTTTGACAACTAGTGTCGATACCTTGGTGTACATCCTTCCAAATCTTTTTCTATAAATACATACAGCACCTCACACATATGCATGTTTTAAATGAGATTACACTATCCACACTCTTTATAACCTAGTCTTTTAAAACCAATTTCAAAAGTAGAAAAAAACATAAAACACATCTAGAACAGATGTTGTTAATATTTTGGTATATTTCCTCCTACATTTTTCTATGCATATTTTTTTTTTCTGAGGCAGAGTCTCACTCTGTCACCCAGGCTGGAGTGCAGTGACACGATCTCAGCTCACTGCAGACTCCACCTCCCAGGTTCAAGCGATTCTCCTGTCTCAGCCTCCCAAGTAGCTGGGATTACAGGCGCCCACCACCATGCCTGGCTATTTTTTTTCTATTTTTAGTAGAGATGGGGTTTTGCCATATTGGCCAGGCTAGTCTCAAAGTCCTAAACTCAGTTGATCCTCCCATCTCGGCCTCCCAAAGCACTGAGATTACAGTTGTGAGCCACTGCGTCTGGCCAGCATATTTTCTACACAGCTGAGATTTAATAAATATATGTTTGTATATAAATATAATTGGAATAACTTGGTAAAATTATTTACACATTTAAAAAAGTTCTTTCCCATCCTTTTTTGTTTTTTCCTGTCCCCTGGTTGAAGCCTGCCAGGGCCTTGCTTTGCACATGTTGAACAGTCTGGTGAAATTTGAGGAATAGAAAGAATTTTAAACTCACAGTTCCCCAAGGAATAGCTAACAACAACAAAAAGAAAACAGTGTGAGAAAATTTAATTTCATACTCCCCTGCTCTGCCTGGTAAAACGTCGCCCATGAATGCAGAACTTTTATTGAATAGATCTCCAAAGAGTGAATTTGACTTAATGCTGCTGGAGTTTCTCTTCAAGCCTAGAAATCAACTTTGAATCACAGTTGCTGATCCTAGACAGGCAGGCACTTATAAAATGACAGCAGCAACCTCAGTCATCATCAGCCATACTCATCTTTACAAAGCACTTCACTGTCTTTAATATTATCTAAGAATTTACACTATTTTTAGTATTTAAATACTTATGCCATCTTGATTCTCACCTTAGCATATTTAAGACATGCTAAAGTTGGCTGGGCGTGGTGGCTCACGTGTAATCCCAGCACTTTGGGAGGCCGAGGTGGGTGGATCACGAGGTCAGGAGTTAGAGACCAGCCTGGCCAGTATGGTGAAACCCCGTCTCTACTAAATATACAAAAAATTTGCCAGGCATGGTGGTATGTGCCTGTAGTCCCAGCTACTTGAGAGGCTGAAGCAGGAGAATCACTTGAACCTGGGAAGCAGAGGTTGCAGTGAGCCAAGTTTGTGCCACTGCACTCCAGCCTGGGTGAAGGAGTGAGACTTCATCTCAAAAAAAAAAAAAGATACGCTAAGGTACTGTTGTTCTAAATTTCATATGAGCAAATGGAGGTCCACAAGTTTGCCTAATGCCACAAAGCTAAACAATGACATGGATGGGACTCAAGTTCAGGTTCCTGGTCACCAAAGTTCATGCCTACTCCAGGTTCAGAAGGCGGTAGGGAGTGTTTTCTTAGATTGAATGATTATGGTTCCTATGATGGTCAGGCACCTTCCCTTATATCCTGGAGGCTGGTTTTATTGTGTTTTCCAGGATAAATATAAATCATGCTGCTGGGTCTTGCCATTTAGGGACTGTATTTCTGCAGACACAGGTCACTCTCATCACTATCCCTCATTCCTACATTCCTGAAATACCTGGATATGGGAAGTATAAAGAAAAAAGAAATTGAAGGGCGAAATGTGACTGAATCATTTGGCCCGGGGGAACTTCAATAATTCATAATGTGTACTCATGAAGTGGCATTGGCCGCTGTCTCTCTATAAGGTGTCTGAGCTGACCTGATGCTCCAAGGGGCGCGAAGAAGTCCACGTGGCCCCCTTCTTCTTCAGTGGCCACGTAGCTTCCTAATTTCTCCCAGAAATCTCTCACTTCAGGCTTCAGTAAATTTTTAACACCAATTTTATACCCTGAGGGAAAAAAAAAATCAAAATGTCATGTTAGTTTGTGACATAATCCCGAACAGAAATTATTAGCAGATTGTGAAAATGTAAGCACAAAATCAAAATGCCATCTGCCTTAAGACCAAGATACCCGAGGCATCTCTGCTCCCTCCTGCACCATCCTTCACATCCTGGGTACATTGGACTCTGTGCACTCAGGTTTACGACACTGCATTTCTCCCTCCGCTATGCAGCAGGGTAAGATACCACGCACACACAGGGTTTAGGATGGCTGGCCAGAAAGTCCTGGGATTTTGCAACCAAGTTCCAAAGTAGAAATGTTTCCCATGATTGTCAATCAAAAAATAAGTAGCGCAGAGCAGCAGTAAGGCTCCCAGAGATGGTAAACATCAATGGAAACTCCTTTTCTCTCACTTCCCGACAATTCTGTGTGATGATTCCACTAAGCTGTATGGGTCTGGACCCATTTCTAAAGGAGTCCTGGAAACTCCACAATCCTAGGCTCCGGTGATGAAATGAAAACAGGCACAGAATTCTGGGAAGTCTAGATATTCCCACTGGGAAGTCTAGATGTTTTCTAAATAGCTAGAAAGGACTTTTTCATGTGACAGAGTAGCAAACTTTGTTCTGATGATGATTTTAAAGCAAAAGCTTTTGGGAAAACACCACAATTATATCGAAGGAAACTGGTTGTTTGAGGTATTTTGTTATTGTTACTGCTGCTTAAAACAAAACAAAACAAAACAAAACAAAAAACAGAATAAGGAGCAGGCACGGTGGCTCATGCCTGTAATCCCAGCATTTTAGAAGGCTGAGGCAGGTGGATCACAAGGTCAGGAGTTCAAGACCAGCCTGGCCAATATGGTGAAATTCCATCTCTACTAAAAATATAAAAATTAGCTGAGCGTTGTGGCGTGTGCCTGTAGTCCCAGCTACTCGGGAGACTGACGCAAAAGAATTGATTGAACCAAGGAGGTGGAGGCTGCAGTGAGCTGAGATTGTGCCACTGCACTCCAGCCTGGGTGATTTTGCCACTGCACTCCAGCCTGGGCGGCAGAGCGAGACTCCATCTCAAAAAATCAAAACAAAAAACCAGAATGGAGAAAAGGCAGAGTTTGAAAACTTTCTTACCTGGAGAACATGAAGGCAGAGATCAAGAAACCCTAATAGGACATTCCACATGAGAGAAACTTACTCCCACTGTATAAACTTGCCAATATCTCTGCACCATTTAGAGAAGAGTTACCATGTAATTAACTGTAAATTTAAACCCCAGATAAATAGTATCTGTGCTTTACTTTGGGAGGACATTGGAAACTGATATGAACACAGCTTGCCCCAGGCAAAGGTAAGCTAAATAAGGAAAACCAGAAGTAAGGTTAAGTGAAACAAAAGGCAATTCATTTCTGCCAATGAGAAATTTCACTGAAACTTTCCAAGTACATGAAGTCCCAGCCACAGAGATGGCAAGTTGATGGGTGACTCAGGGACTCACTCTGCCGTTTTGCTGGTTTACTCCAGCCATATCCGGGACCATCTTATTCCTTCTCTCCCCTCATCCCACAATGGTCGAAGATTTCATTTGAGTAAGTTTTAAAACAATTTTACTTTAAGTATAAAAAAAGGAAGAATGCAAGTTTTAAGAAAAAAATAGAAACTAGAAGTTTACTTCTAAAACATTTATCATCTCTTTCCCCCAAAAAAGGGTAACAATTGAGGTTGGTTTTGGGGGGGATTTGGTGGATTTTTTTTTTTTTTTTTTTTAGGTAGGGTTTTTCTCTGTAGCCCAGGCTGGAGTACAGAGGCTCAATGGCTCACTGCAACCTCCACCCACCTCCCCGTCCCACCCCAGTATCCAGGTATCCTCCCACCTCAGCCTTCCAAGGAGTAGCTGGGACTACAGGTGTGTGCCATCAGAGCCAGCTAATTTTTTAATATTTTTTATAGAGACAGGGTTTTGCCATGTTGTCCAAGCTGGTGTGGGTTCCTGGGCTCAAGAGAGCCACCTACCTCAGCCTCCCAAAATGCTGGGATTGCAGGTGTGAACCACTATGCTCCACCCCATTGAGGTTTTTGATAGCTGCCCTGTAGCAAGTTGCTGGTATCAGCCATTTCTTTCCTTTGTAGTGTAAGTCAAGTAGGAATATAATAAATGTTGTTAGTATGCACAAATTTATAGATCTTGGTATTTGCTATTAAAATTGCTGTACTTCCATCAAACTTAAAACTTTTGTGCATCAAAGCAGACAATCAACAGAGTGAAAACAAAGCCTGTGGAATGGGAGAAAATATTTGCAAATCATATATTTGATAATGGGTTAATAGCTGGAATATATGAACTCCTATAACTCGACAGTGAAAAAACTCAATTTTTTAAAATGGGCAAAGGACTTGAATAGACATTTCTCTAAAGAAGATATCCAAATGGCCAACAAGCATATGAAAAGATGCTTGACATCACTAATCATCAGATCAATGCAAATCAAAACCACAATGAGATATGACATCCATTAGAATGGCTACTATTTTAAAAAGAAGGCCAGGCACGTGGCTCACACCTGTAATCCCAACACATTGGGGGCTGAGATGGAAGGATTGCTTGAGGCTAGGAGTTCCAGACCAGCCTGGTCAATATAGTGGGACCCCATCTCTAAAAAATAAAAATAGAAATTAGCTTGATATGATTGTATGCATCCGCTGCTCAGGATACTGAGGACAAATCACTTGAGCTCAGGAGTTTGAGGCTGTAGTGAGCTATGATCACACCAGTGCACTTCACATTGGGCAACAGAGTGAGACTCTGTCTCCAAAAAAAACCAACAGGCTGGGCGTGGTGGTTCATGCCTGTAATCCCAGCACTTTGAGAGGCTAAGGCAGGAGAATCACTTGAGCCCAGGAGTTTGAGACCAGCGTGGGCAACATGGAAAAACCCCATCTCTACAAAAAATACAAAAGTTAGCTCATTGTGGTGGCATATGCCTGTGGTCCCAGCTGCTTGGGAGGCTGAAGTAGGTGGATCACTTGAACCTGGGAAGTCCAGGCACCAGTGAGCCGTGATCACACCACTGCACTCCAGCCTGGGTGAGAGAGCAAGACCCTGAATCAAAAAAGAAGAAAAAGGGGGCCGGGCATGGTGGCTCAAGCCTGTAATCCCAGCACTTTGGGAGGCCGAGGTGGGTGGATCATGAGGTCAAGAGATCGAGACCATCCTGGTCAACATGGTGAAACCCCGTCTCTACTAAAAATACAAAAAAAAAAAAAAAAAAATTAGCTGGGCATGGTGGCATGTGCCTATAATCCCAGCTACTCAGGAGGCTGAGGCAGGAGAATTGCCTGAACCCAGGAGGTGGAGGTGGTGGTGAGCCGAGATCACGCCATTGCACTCCAGCCTGGGTAACAAGAGCGAAACTCTGTCTCAAAAAAAAAAAAAAAAAAAAGAAGAGAAAAAAAACAAAAAAAGCTTCACTTTGTTCATAAACTCAAATCAATACATCTTAGCAACTTGGAACTGAAACAGTCCTCCGAAAGTCACACTGTGGACAAACGCTGCATAGCACGAAGTTGCATGGCTGTTTGTCACCAATCCCCAGGCCTACCTTGGAGTAAATTGATATCTCTGCTATCTCCATCGCTAAATATTCCCATGCTCTGTGCCTTCTGCCCATCCAGAGCTTTTTCTATGAGATAAAGCAGGCTCTCCAAGGTTACGCTGTGTTCATATACCACAGAAATGACACCAGACTTCACGCTCTCCACCACCATCTGGAAAATGAAACCAAAGCTGTAGGAGCTGAGACCCACCATTTTAGAATATTTATTAATGAAAGAAATAGAATGGATATAAAATATGCCATGATTTCTAAAGAATTTTCAGAGATTATGTAAGAAGATAAGTTTCCTCCTTTCTTGGTTTCTATTAAAATTAGTTTATTTCTAATTATAAGAGGAGAAAATTAAGTACACATGTAACTCCACTCAGAGATAAATACTATTAACAATTTAGGCCCAGAATGGTGGCTCATGCCTGTAATCCCAGGACTCTGGGAGGCTGAGGTGGTCAGATCACAAAGTCAAGAGATCGAGACCATCCTGGCCAACATGATGAAACCCCGTCTCTACTAAAAATACAAAAATTAGCTGGGTGTGGTGGCACGTGCCTATAATCCCAGCTACTCGGGAAGCTGAGGCAGGAGAATCACTGAACCTGGGATGTGGAGGTTGCAGTGAGCTGAGAGGGCACTACTGCACTCCAGCCTGGGTGGCAGAGCGAGACTCCATCTAAAAAAAAAAAAAATTAGATCATTTTCTTCCAACCTGTTTATCTTTGTGTACACCATGCACAAAGACATAGAAATAACCTTTTCTTTTCTTTTTGCTGTCCATAGTTTACTGTCTTTATCGGAAAAATCGTCATAGAAAATTGTTTGGTTTAGCTCTCAGCAGCCCGCTCCTGAGCTCTGAGGAAGCTTGCCACCTTTAGAGCTACCCCGTCTTTCTCCTGAGCAAGGGACATTTTGCGCCGGTTCCACCTCTTCTCTTTAACTTCTTTCTTGGGCTTCTTTTCATAGACTGGATTCCCTCGTATAGCAGCATGACCTTTCTTATACATTTCCTCCATCATGTCTGGAGTTAACGCTGTTCTTTATGCATTGAGAGAACTGTTTCTTGTAAGCATCTTCGTCTTCCGTTAAGTAGCGCATGTAATCTGCAACATTCTGGCCCATGATATGCTTCTGCTGTATTTCCTGCATTAAACTTCCTGCTTTTAGAATCATAACCAGAGAATCATTTGGTACTGTGAGTGATAGACAAGCCTCCATCCACAGCTCCCTTCAGGGCGCCAAAATTATTGCCAGTGGTAGTTCTGGCAAGGCTTGCATCCAAATAGCAGATAAAGGCATCAGTGCTTTCCACATTGTATTCATCACCAGTGACCTCCACTTGGCCTTCATAGATCTTGTTTATGCCAAGCCTATTGAGAAGCCTGCAGGCCAGCAGCAGGCCAGTACAATACGCTGCAGCAGAATTTGTCAGGCCAAACTTCATACCATAATTTGGCAGTTTGTGTGCATATACTGTGCAGACTGTCCCCCTCTATATGGGAAAAAGCAATATGACAAATGATATCTCTGTTTGTTACATGACTTATCCTGTATTTGGGTGTGTTGCATTTATTTTTATCTTGTATCACCAAGCGTTTCCCAGCATAGTAATCACGTTTACCCTCTGGTCATCCTCTAAATTTCACCTGGTATCTCTTAAAGTAGGCCTTATTCTTCTTTTTTTTTTTTTTGAAACAGAGTTTCGCTCATTGCCCAGGCTGGAGTGCAACGGCTCGATCTCAGCTCACTGCAACCTCCACCTCCCGGGTTCAAGCGATTCTCCTGCCTCAGCCTCCCGAGTAGCTGGGATTACAGGTGTGTGCCACCACGCCCAGCTAATTTTTTTATTTTTAGTAGAGACGGGGTTTCACCATGTTGACCAGGATGGTCTCGATCTCTTGACCTCATGAACAACTTCAAGAAACCCCATCCTGCAAAACAAGACCCATATATGCGGTTTGACAGAGACCTGCAGGCCCAGCAGTGCTAGGGGGCAGAAAGGACAAATAACTTTTAAAAAGTAATAGAAGCCAAGCATGATGGCTCATACCTGTAATCCCAGCACTCTGAGAGGCCAAGGCTGGCAGATCACTTGAGCTCAGGAGTTTGAGACCAGCCTGGGCAACATGGTGAAACCCATCTCTATAAAAAATACAAAAATTAGTGGCCGGGCGCGGTGGCTCAAGCCTGTAATCCCAGCACTTTGGGAGGCCAAGGCGGGTGGATCACGAGGTCAAGAGATCGAGACCATCTTGGTCAACATGGTGAAACCCCGTCTCTACTAAAAATACAAAAAATTAGCTGGGCATGGTGGTGCATGCCTGTAATCCCAGCTACTCAGGAGGCTGAGGCAGGAGAATTGCCTGAACCCAGGAGGCGGAGGTTGCGGTGAGCTGAGATCATGCCATTGCACTCCAGCCTGGGTAACAAGAGCGAAACTCGGTCTCAAAAAAAAAAAAAAAAATTAGGTGGGTATGGTGGTGGCGGTGTTCACCTGTAGTGCCAGCAATCCTCCTGCCTTGGCCTCCCAGCATGGTGGGATTATAGGTGTGAACCACCATACACAGCCAGCATGATGCACTGTTGAGCACTGGGGAAACTATGGCCCACATGGAGATCAAGGCTCTGATCTTGCTTTCATGTGGATCCACTGAGCTCACCAGTTGTCAATGATCAGAGCTGACTCCTAGATGCCCAGAAGAAGTGAGTTCATATCTTGAAAGGAGCCATTTTGTTACAAATAGAAACTTTTCTAAGTAAATGTCCCTATGTGTGCATATTAATACATACAGGTACACGTATATACAACATATACACCCACATATATAAATACTATTGTCTTCCAAGGTCTTCTTTGTACTTCCTTTAAATTTATATTATTCATATTAAAATTAAAATCTATAACTTCATATTATTCATATAAAATTAAAATCTATAACTTCATTATAGAGAAAGCATATTTTAGTTTAATGGTACCTTAATTAAATCATAAAACAGGATTTCTGACATTCTTTTGTGAGACGGTGGTTACATAGTACTATTAAATTATTTGAGAATTCCAGAGAAGTTTTAAAGTAATTCTTAATCAGCATGCTCCTTTTTTTGATTAAGTGCAAAAAATTCAAATATGTATTGGACATGCACACACGGTGTGGCTTTGTGTTCCCACCCAAATCTCATCTTGATTTGTAATCCCCATCAACCCCATGTGTCAAGAGAGGGAACAGGTGGGAGGTGATTAGATCATGAGGGCGGTTTCCCTCATGCTGTTCTCGTGACACTGAGTGAGTTTTCATGAGATCCGATGGTTTCATAAGTATCTGGCATTTCTCTTGCTCATTCTCTCTCTCCTGCTGTCATATGAAGAAGGTCCTTGCTTCCCCTTAGCCTTCTGCCATGATTGTAAGTTTCCTGAGGCCTCCCCAGTCATGTGAAACTTAGTCAATTAAATCTCTTTCCTTTATAAATTACCCAGTCTTGAGTATTTCTTTATAGAAGTGCGAGAACAGACTAATATACAGACACACTCACAAATGCTCAGACACACAGAGATCCACACATAGCATCAATGGGTGAAGCTAAGAGTTTAGAAATTTTAGGATTTTAGGTTCTAGTGTTTGAAACTTTGACACTTGAGTAAGTTGTCACCTTTCAAGAGGCTTCAGTTAAAAGTCTGAGCCTTTAATACTTCTCCAAATAATTTTGATTTATGATTACCTTCATTCTGACTTTAAAAACTATTTCAGGTCTATACATTTTCACTTAGATGATTTTATTAATGTTTAATTTACGTTATTTATTTATTTTTATTTTATTTTAAACAGTCTCACTCTGTCACCCAGGCTGGAGTGCAGTAGCCTGATCTTAGGTCAGTGCAACCTCCACTTCCTAGGTTCAAGCAATTCTCATGCCTCTGCCTCCTGAGTAGCTGGGACCACAGGCCTGTGCCACCACACTTAGCTATTTTTTTTGTACTTTTAGTAGAGATGGGGTTTGGCCATGTTGGCCAGGCTGGTTTTGAACTCCTGACCTCAGGTGATCCACCCACCTTGACCTCCCAAAGTGCTGGGATTACAGACGTGAGCCACTGTGCCTGGGCTTTAATTTTCCTTTTTCTTTCCTTTTTTAAAAAAATATTTATTTATTTATTTATTTTTTATTTTGTTATAGACGGGGGTTTCACCATGTTGGTCAGGCTGGTCTTGAACTCCTGACCTCAGGCGATCCCCCCGCCTTGGCCTCCAAAGTACCTGGATTACAGGCGTGAGCCACCACGCCCAGCCTAAAATGAAGATTTTACTTCTTCTTCTTTTTTTTTTTTTCTTTTTGAGACAGAGTCTTGCTCTGTTGCCAGGCACTAGGCTGGAGTACAGTGGCACGATCTTGGCTCACTGCAACCTCCACCTCCCGGGTTCAAGCAATTCTCCTGCTTCAGCCTCCTGAGAAACTGGGACTACAGACGCGGGCCACCACACCCAACTAATTTTTGTATTTTTAGTAGAGACAGGGTTTCACCATGTTGGTCAGGATGGTCTCGATCTCTTGACCTCATGACCCGCCCTCCTCGGCCTCCCAAAGTGCTGGGATTATAGGCATGAGCCACTGCGCCCAGCTTTTTTTTTTTTTTTTTTTTTTTTTTTTTTGATAGAAACAGAGTCTTACTCTGTTGCCCAGGCTGGAGTGCAGTGGTGCAATCACAGCTCACTGCAGCCTCCACCTCCTGGGCTCCAGTGATCCTCCCACCTCAGCTTCCCAAGTAGCTGGGACTACCGGTATGTGCCACCACACCTGGCTTGATTTTCCTTTTAGAAGATGAATCATTTTTCATATATGTGGTGGCCAAAAGACTGTCACACACCCTCTAGTCTAGATTAAAAAAACCAATCAGGACAGTACTGGTCTCATAACATACTCTACCTCGTATGCAGGAATCCGAGAGGATATTAATATGACGTGTGGCCGGAGAGCAAATGAAGAGCTGTTGTCATTTTTATACAGTCCATGCCAATTTTTCTTTGATAATAAAGGGTAGGAATGGCTTCCAGAAATATTGCTTCTAAGGAGAAAAAGGAAATACATGAAGTTTTAATTTTCTTTTACCTTGAGTTCTGGTAAGTGAGCAGCATGTGTGCTGTGGGCATCAGCTCTACTCTACAAGGCACGTGGCCTCCATGCCTTAGCTTCTCCCTGTGTTTTGTGGGGCCAGTAGCAAATGGAGCTCCTGGGTGGGGTAGGCCAAATCTGCTCTCTGAGCCTCTCCTCTGCCACGTGTGGGATGCAACAGTCTCTTGGAACTTACTTAGCTCTTATTGGGCACTTAAATGAATGTAATAACATATTTGGGGGTTCAAAAGATATTTAAAAAGTAGCTGGGAGATTTTGAATTTCCTTCTAGGCCTCAGTTTTTCCTGAATAATCTCTTCATACACACATACACACACACACACACACACACACACTCACATATACACTTTTTAATGTGTGTGTATACACTTCATATGTATATATATGAAGTGTGTGTGTGTATATGGTCCCAGATACTCAGGAGTGTATATATAGAAATATAAGTATATATAAAAATATATATATATTAAGTGACAGGGTCCTGCTCTGTCACCCAGGCTGGAGTGCAGTTGTGTGATCATAGTTCTCTGTAGCCTCAACCTCCCAGGCTCAAGCAATCTTTCCCATCTCAGCCTCCCAGGTAGCTGGGACCACAGGTGTGTGCCATTACACCCAGCTATTTATGATTTTTTTATAGAGATGAGGTCTCACCATATTGCCTAGGCTGGTCTCCAACTCCTGAGTTCAAGTGATCCTCCCACCTTGGCCTCCCAAAGTGCTGGGAATGTAGGCTGAGCCACCACGCCTGGCTTCTTAAAATTCTTTAGGTGCCTTGGACAAGTAAATGTAAGTGCACACATTCACAAATGTTCAGACACATAGAGATCCTATGTAGCATCAGTGGGTGAAGTTGAAAGACTGTTGGAATTTTAGAGTTTTAGATTCTAGTGTTTGACACTTTGACATGTGGGTAAGTCATGTCACCTCTCTAGGCCTCAGTTTCCTCCTTTGAAACATAGGTAAGTGAGATTACATGATCTCTAGAATCCAAAGTTAAAAGTTAAAAAGCAATTCTAAGTAGATGCACAATTGTGATGGTTGTGAGAGTCAGATGGAATTGAATTTCCGGTAATTTCACTGTATAATATGATTTGGTAACTGAATGCAGCTGATGTTTCTCTATTTTGGGTAATAAAATTATATTTGTACATACAAATATAAATGGAAGTTATATTTGCATACCATTTGGATACTCTTACTTCATAAAAAACACTTGTGGAAAAATGCAATTTTTGCTCAATCACTTTATTCAGAAAATATACCACATCCACAATATAGCTTCATGGCAGATTGAGAATATGTGAAGTCAGGCTCAGTGGCACGCATGTAATTGCAGCTACTTGGGAGGCCAGTGGGAGGATGGCTTGAGCCTACAAGTTTGACACTAGCCTAAGCAATGTGGCAAGACTTCATCTTAAAAACAAACAAAAAGAATATTTAAAATGTAAGTTTTGGATGTTATATGTTTACCTCTTCAGAAAGCATGTTTAAGACCACTGTTCTAGAAAATTAATTATCTCAGCCAGGTGTGGTGGCTCATGCCTGTAATCCTAGCACTCTGGGAGGCTGAGGTGGATGGATCACGAGGTCAGGAGATCAAGACCATCCTGGCAAACATCGTGAAACCCCGTCTCTACTAAAAATACAAAAATTAGCCGAGTATGTTAGCACATGCCTGTAATCCTAGCTACTTGGGAGGCTGAGGCAGTAGAATTGCTTGAACCAGGGAGTTGGAGGTTGCAGTGAGCTGAGATCACTCCACTGCACTCTAGCCTGGGTGACAGAGCAAAACTCCATCTCAAAAAAAAAAAAAAAGAAAATTAATTATCTCTACCAGTATTTCATAGGATATGAGCCACACAAGATTTCTGCATGTTAGCTAAATTATGGTAGAATGAATTATTGGTATCAGGGGATGGTGCTGAGCCTTCAGTAGATGGAATTTTACATACTGCTTGGGCAAGGTTTCTAATGATGTCAAAACAAGCTGTTTCTCCAAAGCTTCATGTGATCCTGCTCGCTCCCTTACAGTCTGGGAGAGGCGTGGTTGGCATCTGGGCTTTAGCACGCTAGAGCAGCCCGTTCCACTGACCCAAGGGGGTCGAACTTTGAATAACTCCTCTGCAAAACAAAGAGCAGCAGCGGGGCTGGTTACTTCATATTTCTAGCCAAGTCCACACAGAAAAAGGCATCAGAAATAAAGCTGTACCAGGGCAAGGTTCCAAATGACAATAATTATAGCCATTTTCACACGCTTGGTTTGGATTTCTCATCCTCTCGGCACTGTGGCTGCGAGCTACCAGTCATTTCAGGTCAAGAAACAAAGCTCAGAGAACAAGTAACTCTTTTTTTGTGGAGACCAGTTACTCAATTGATAAGTGTCACATTCGTTTGTGCCCTTCTTGTCTTCAAGCAATTTCCTATGTATCGCAATCTCACCAGAGGGTGAGTTAATGGGAAAAAGGCATGGGAGAACTCAAATCAGTTTTGCCGTTTTCTTTTATGCACTGCGTAAAGCATAAGGCCTAGCCAAGGCTGGGCGTCGTGGCTCACACCTGTAATCACAGCACCTTGGGAGGCCAGGGTGGGTAGGTCACTTGAGCCCAGGAGTTCAGGACCAGCATGACCAGCATGGTGAAACCCCATCTCTACTAAAAATACAACAAATTGGCTGGGCATGGTGGTATGCACCTGCGGTCCCAGATACTCGGGAGGCCGAGGTGGAGGATCACTTGAGCCTCAGAAGTTGAGGCTGCAGTGAGCCAGCGATCACACCACTGCACAGCCTGGGTGACAGAGTGAGACCCTGTCTCAAAAAAATATGAAAAGGAGGCTTAACTGAAAGAAAGAGGCTTTAAAAAGAGAGAGGAAATGGCTGGGTATGGTGGCTCACACCTGTAATCCCAGCACTTTGGGAGGCTGAGGCAGATGGATTGTCTGAGGTCAGGAGTTCAAGACCAGCCTGGCCAATGTGGCGAAACCTCATCTCTACTAAAACTACAAAAATTAGTTGGGTGTGGTGGCACATGCCTGTTATCCCAGCTACGTGGGAGGCTGAGGCAAGAGAATAGCTTAATAGCCTCCTGGGAAGCGGAGGCTGCGGTGAGCCGAGATCACGCCATTGCACTGTAGCCTGGGTGAGACTTTGTCTCAAAAAAAAAAAAAAAATGGAAAGAGCTGTCCTCTCTTTCCTCCCTTTTTTAAATGCCATTTTTCCTGCTTCCATTCTCATTTTATTTCTCCTCCTCCTTTCACCACTCCCAATTCCTCTGTTTTGGACCTATTTATTTGCTTTTTGCCCATGTTCAAACATCTTTCCCCTCCTCGTTTTTGGTCTTATGAGCCTCAGAGGAGCCAGAATAGCAATGGAGGCACTGATATTTAACCTTATTTTGTCTGAAATCTGTTTTTCTTGTCAATTAACTTGAAATACACAATAAAAAAGAGCTCATCCTGAAAATACTTTAAAGACTGCCACCCACAGAGTATTCTGAAAGATAGGGCTGTCTTCCTCTGTGGGAATCTGTATGTGAATCCATTTGTTTCTACAATATTTATATAAGATACAAAGTTTTAAAATGCTACTTACTCCTACGCAGTGCAATTTTCTCCCAAATTCTTTTTCTTAGGCACTTTTCTCTATGTCTCTCCAGTAGTTCCTCATCTTCTGTTTTGGGTTCATTCAGCGTCCCATAAGTAGCAGCAGCCTCCCTGGGTGTCAGCCAGTCTAAGTGGGACACACAAGCAATGTAATGGTGCTTCCAAGCACCGTACTCGTTATCTGTTGGAGTATAGGGCAGAAACCATCCGAACTTAACGCATTTGGGCATCCATAAGCAATCCTTCAGAAACAAGAGGAAGAGGAGTCACAAATTGTTTTCAGACAGTTTTCCAGCAATAATATTTTCAGGTACACAGATACCTTTTTCATTACACTGAGATTTCTGGTACTAAAATCTCCTCTGTGCAAATTTGTATGCAAATTCATTTGTTTCTATAATGTTTATATAAGATATAAGGTTTTTATTTATTTATTTTTTGAGATGGAGTCCCACTCCATCACTCAGGCTGGAGTGCAGTGGTGCAGCCTCAGCTTACTACAAACCTCTGCCTCCCGAGTTCAAGCAATTCTCTTGCCTTAGCCTCCCAAGTATCTGTGATTACACTTATGTGCTACCACCTCTGGCTAATTTGTTTTTTTTTTTTTTGAGACAGAGTTGTGCTTTGTCACCAGGCTGGAATGCAGTGGCGTGATCTCGGCTCACTGCAACCTCCAACTCCCTGGTTCAAGTGATTCTCCTGCCTCGGCATCTGAGTAGCTGGGATTACAGGCATGCACCACCACACCCAGGTAATTTTTGTATTTTTAGTAGAAATGGGGTTTCACCATGTTGGCCAGAATGGTCTTGGTCTCCTGACATCGTGATCTGCCCACCTTGGTCTCCCAAAGTGCTGGGATTACAGGCATGAGCCACTGCGCCTGGCCATATTTTTATATTTTTAGTAGAGATGGAGTTTTGCCATGTTGGTCTGGAACTCCTGACCTCAGGTGATCTGCCCACTTCAGCCTTCCAAAGTGCTAGGTTTACAGGTATGAGTCACTGTGCCTGGCTAGATACAAGGTTTTTATTTATTTAATTATATATATATATAGACAGAGACAGAGTCACACTCTGTCACCAGAATGGAGTGCAGTGACGCAATCTTGGTTCACTGCTACCTCCGCCTCCCAGGTTCAAGCAATTCTCTTGCCTCAGCCTCCCAAGTAGCTGGGATTACAGATGCTCACCACCATGTCCGGCTAATTTTTGTTGTTGTTGTTGTATTTTAGTAGAGACAGGGTTTCACCATGTTGGCCAGGATGGTTTCGATCTCTTGACCTCATGATCCACCCACCTCAGCCTCCCAAAATGCAGGGATTATAGGCGTGAGCCACCACACCCAGCCCAGATACAAGGTTTTTAAATGCTGTTACTGACTTACTATCTGAACTTGACTTTGAAGAAAAAATACTATTTGACGAATATATATATTATATGTAAATGTATATATTAGTCATTGTTGTGACACTTATCCAATATTCCAATAGCATTTGGTTACATTGACCCTAGATTCTGATAATTTAGCTTCTAGCAATAGTGGAATAGTTTATTTCAGATTAACCCTCTCATTGACAATAATTTTGACTGAACCATACGATATTGCCAGTATGCTACCATTTTGATATATGAAGACAGAAAATTTCATGTGGTTTGATCTAATGAAATATCTAGACCAAATATTATAAAAACAGTTATTTTAAGGCTATATTATAGAGCTCTCAATGCAATAAGGACTTGTTCAACCAAGACCCCAGAAAGAAGGGAAATCCAGAGAGTAAGAGCCTGATACTTGGTATCACTTTTTATTTCAAAGGATTTGTCAGTTCCAAAGTAAAGCTTGTTATCCTGAGAAGCAGAACAGAAATTTATGGCTAAAAGACTTAGATGCTAAAAAAGAATCTTAGGCATTCTCACAGGGAAGAGAGGACACAAATGGAAATTTAGGGCCCATTAAGGAGAGCCTTGGTAATCATACCAGCTTTCAGCTAAGATTCTTTTCTGCTTTGGGAGGCCAAGGTGGGCAGATTTCGAGGTCAGAAGATCAAGACCATCCTGGCTAACATCGTGAAACCCAGTCTCTACTAAAAATCCAAAAAATTAGCCAGGCATGGTGGTGCATGCCTGTCATCCCAGCAACTCAGGAGGCCAAGGCAGGAGAATCGCTTGACCCCAGGAGGCAGAGGTTGTAGTGAGCTGAGATCATGCCATTGCACTCCAGCCTGGGCAACAGAGCAAGACTCTGTCTTGAATTAAAAAAAAAAAAAAAAGATTCTTTTCAGGAAGGATAATACTGAATTAGACAAACTCTCACAGAGACTGAAGCCAGCTTTGAAATATCTCATTCCTTGACTGGATTTGCATGATCTGTTCCTAGCATTTAGACGGGCCAGAAGCAAAAGGAAATTCTCTCTGGAGGAAGATAACATCACCCAGAGACTCAAAGGATTACATCAATTTTGTAAACTCAGTATCTGGTACTCAATCAAAATCAACTAGAACACACAATAGACAAGAATCTTTTGTTCCTTCTCTTTGGTTTTTAGTAACTGTAGAGAGATCCTCAGGTAATCCAAATGTTGTAATTATCAGACATGAACTTTGGAGAAATAAATACTCTATAACTAATATATCTAAAATAAATGACTAGGTAGAAGATTTTGGCAAAAGAATTAAATCAGTATCCTAAAACTGAAAAATATAATGACTGAAATATATAACTCAATGGATGGATTTAAGATCATATTAGAATCTAGCTAAAGAAATAGTAAACTGAAAGATAGGTCCAAAGAAAACCCAGACTGAAATAGTGAAGGTCACGGAAATGGAAAATGTGTATAAAAGAATGTGAAAGTTATGGGACATAGAGAATCTTTCCAACCTATGAGTATTAGAATCCTAGGAAAAAGAGAATGGGGCAGAATCAATATGAAGAAATAACATCTGAGAACATTTCAAAACTGATGAAAGATAGTAAATCTCAGACTCAAAAATCACTGCAAAACACAAAACAAGATAGATGGGCACGCACACACACAGACACACACACACGCCCCTGGGTATATCACAATGGCATTACTGAAAATTAAAGAAAAAGTCTGAAAAGCAGCTAGAGATGATAGAAATGTTATCTTTAGAGGACCAACAATAAAACTTCTGACTTCTCAAGAAAAAAAAACCAATGGAATAATTTCAAAGTTCTGTTAAAAAAAATTAGGTGCCAACCTATAATTCAAACTTCTTATTAAAATATCCTCTAAGTATGAAGATGAAATACTTTCTTAGACGCACAACTAAGAGAATTGATCAGCAGCACACTCGTACTAGAGGTAATATGAAATAGAATGCAGAAGGAAAATGATCCCAAATGGAAATTCAGAGATGCAGGAACAGAAGAAAGGGGGCTACAGAGAAAATAAAAATATGGTTACATATAAATATTGACTACATAAATAGTAATAAAGATTTGCGAGCTATGTGTTTGTGTTGTTTATACACTTAACCCTTGAACAATGGTTTGAATTGCATGGGTGCATTTGTACACAGTTTCTTCCATTCTGCCACCCTCAAAACTGCAAGGCCAACCCCTCCTCTTTCTCAGCCTACTCAACGTGACGATAAGGATGAAGATTTTTACAATGATCCACTTCCACTTAACAGTAAATATATTTTATGAATTTTTAAATAATCTCTGTTCTCTAGCTTACCATATTGAAGAATACGGTATATAATACATATATCATATAAAATGTGTGTGACTGTTAGTGTTGTCAGAGTCCTCTGGTCAGCAGTAGGCTATCGGTAGTTATTAGTATATGTAAAATAAAAAATTTTAAATAAAAAATTCACAGAAACTGAGAGGAGGGTAAATGAATGTAAAGGGTTCTATGCTCCTTGCATTGTCTTAGAAATGGTAAGATGATATTAATACAAGGCTATATGTTGTAATCTCTATGGTAAGATATTAATACAAGGCTATATGTTGCAATCTCTATGGTAAGATATTAATACAAGGCTGTATGTTGTAATCTCTATGGTAAGATATTAATACAAGGCTGTATGTTGTAATCTCTATGGTAAGATATTAATACAAGGCTATATGTTGCAATCTCTATGGTAACCATGAAAGAACTGTTAAAGAATCTATAACTAACAATTGAAAAAAAATTAATTCATGCAAAGGAAGACAGAGGGGAAAAAAACATAAATAGGACAAACAAAAACTAGTAAAAGGATGAATTAAGCACAAATATATCAGTGTTAACAGAAGTATAAACAGACTAGGCCAGGCACAGTGGCTCACACCTGTAATCCCAGCACTTTGGGAGGCGGAGATGGTTGATCTCTTGAGCCCGGGAGTTCGCCAGCCTGGCCAACATGGCAAAACTCCATCTCTACTAACAATACAAAAATTAGCTGGGTGTTGTGGTGCATGTCTATAATTCCAACTACTCGGGAGGCTGAGGTGGGAGGATTGCTTGAGCCTGGGAGGCAGAGGTTGCAGTGAGCCAGACAGCACCACTGCATTCCAGCCTGGGCAATAGAATGAGATCCTGTCTCAGAAAAAAGTATGTGTATCATTACATGTTTAAAAATATTCTGCAAGAAAATGAAGAAACAAAGACACCAGAGGCAAATTAATGGCAAAGGACGTTGATTTTAAAGAGCTGCTGCTGTTCCTGGCTTTCAACTGCTGTGAACCGATCTCAATGTCTGTTCTTTGACAGGTGTTAGACAGTAAGGGATCAGCTGAGGCAGTGGTCGGGCAGCAGTTTCTAGAGCTGAGTTATTAGAGATAAAATAATATACAAAACCTAAAGCATAAATAATTTTTCATGAAGAAAAGTGAACTTTTTTAACCAAGATAAAATGTTCTCTAAATAATTATTCTGAGTAAAGATTTTTTTTTTTGAGACAGAGTCTTGCTCTGTCGCTCAGGCTGGAGTGCAGTGGCGCCATCTTGGCTCGCTGCAACCTCCACCTCCCGGGTTGAAGCAATTCTCCTGCCTCAGCCTCCCAAATAGCTGGGATTAACAGGTGCCTGCCACCGCGCCCAGCTAATTTTTGTATTTTTAGTAGAGACAGGGTTTCACCATCTTGGCCAGGCTGGCCTCAAACTCCTGACCTCGTGATCCACCTGCCTCAGCCTCCCAAAGTGTTTGGATTACAGGCCTGAGCGCCCACACCTGACTAAAGATTTTTTAAAGTAACATGAATTTTTGGACTAGTCTATGTTCCTTCTT